TTTTTAAGTCGCTGCCATTTTGCTAATATCAAAAAACAGCTATGCTACTTTTTAGATAATGTCTTTATGCTTCAGAAAATCTAAACAAAATCGTTTTCCTATGTTTCAGGACTTCTAAATCCATGAGGCCAGTGAGGTGCTACTTTTTGATGACCAGCCACACACGGGGCTGCCACCAACTCATTTTTTATTATTTCGTAAAAGAAAAAATTCCAAAATAGACTCAATTTGTAGCTAAATAACATAAAAAAACAAGGAGTCTCTGCATTGTCTATTACTTAATCTTTCTGTTAATTTTTTATTCGGCTTTTGCTATTTTTTATTGTTAATTTTTAATTGTTTTCTCTATTGTTATTTTGCTTCACTATATTTTATACATGGCTCCACCAAGAAGAAAAAGGTATAAAAGTTAAATATGTAGTTCCACAATTCCGAAAACAACTAATTGGAGATATAAAAAACAACTAATTGCGCGACAACATCGAATGACATTATAAACCTACCGCAAGACAATGAATCTGATAGAATGTCTACATTTAGTGATATTTATGACTCATCTGATGGACTTTCTTTCTCTGATTATGATTCAGTTCTAAGTGATTCGGAAGAGACCCGAATCAATCAACAATAACTTAGATCAACAATGTCAGCCAATTGATCTGAGTTTAAGCACAATTGCAAACAGTGACTCCAAATCTTCAAAATTTGAAGCCTTGTTAATGTGTCTCCACTACGCAATTAGGCATGATTTAACAAATAATGCAACTGTGGACCTCATTGAATTTATTTAACCATATTATCGGATCTGGGATTTTCCCTCCTAGCATGTTTCTCCGAAAAAAACTTTTTTCTCTAAATTTGTAATATATATTTCATTTATATGGCAAAAATTGCTTAACTTATATTGGAGAAGTGCCTTTTAATGATAATAACCATAAAATTTGTGATGTATGCACTGAAGTCTTCTCCACGAAATTACATTCCCTGTATCTGAAAATGGAGTCGGATTTAAATGATGGAACTGGATTTCAGAAATTAGTCAAAAATGGGATTTACTGAGATGGTGATCTATCAGTAACTTTTAGTACTGATGGAGCAGCAGTTTATAAAACCTGCAAAACACCTGGTGGCCCATACAATTTTATTTGAATGAAAGGTTTAATGGGTGTAATACCATGCTCGCTGGTGTCCGGTTCGGCAGAAAAAAAACCCTGTTATGTCAACCTATTTTACACCCTTTATTAAAGAAGCCATTGTAAATGTGGTTGTCCATATTGCTATCACCCTGGTGATATAGTTGAAAACAGTCAACTAAAATATACCTTTGACACCTTTTATGAAAGAAGAAATTTTAACCAAATGAAGAAAAATATGATTGAAGCTGAGCAATCAGGAGAAATCGTTAAAGGTGTCAAAGGTCTTACACCCTTTGCTGCTCTGCCATATTTCGATTTAGTTTATGGATTTCCTATCGACTACATGCACTGTTGATTGCTGGGTGTTGCTAAGTTAATGGCATACATTTGGACCTTTTCGTCAAATCATCCAAATGATTATTATTTATCTAATGATAAATTACAAAAAATTGATAATAATATTGTGGCAATCACTCCTTCACAAGTGATTTCAAGAAAACCAAGAGCATTCAGTGATTTTGTTTACTGGAAGGCTAACGAATGGCGAGCATGGATACTATTTTATTGTGTCCCATGTTCAGACAACATTCTGCCAACAAAATATGTCCAAAATCTATCGATATTTTCCTCAGCACTTTGCATTCTATTACAAGCTAATGTTAAAAAATCAGACGTTGAACTTGCAAACCAGATGTTGCACCAGTTCGTTTATGAGTTTCACAAACTGTATGGTGCTTTACACAAACTTTAATGTGCATCTTCTTTTGCATTCGGCCAAATGCGTCAATGTGTGGGGTCCATTGTGGCTCTATTCTGCCCCTTTGAAACTGGCAATGGCTACCTGGTAAAATTTATTAAAGGTACCAATGGGGTCGCAAAGGAGATAACACAAAAATATTGCTTATTTTCATTATATGAATTCGAAATTATTTATCGGATGAAGTTATTGAATACTGTGACAAAATTTTTACCTATCGAAGGAATAAGAGCTGTAAAGGTTGGAAACATTACATCACTGGCACAGTGGAGAGCATTCCAACCAAATGAGGAGCTTTAATCTGTTCATGTTGGTCATGAACATAAAGCTGTTAGATTTGGTTCGAAAATCTGAATGAACGTTAGCTTTTAATTATTCTGATGGAGCAGCGAATACAGAAGTCCAAGATTTTAGCTAAGGCAAGATCGAACTATACACCTTCTACGCTGCTATCATTTATTGACAAGAAAGATTTACAGAATATGTATAAAGAAGCTAAATAGTGAGGTATGTTTAGATAAAAATTACGCTTTTTCTGTACATCTTTAAGTTCAAAAAATGCTGAAGAAGCCTGACAACCATGTTTTTCTATAAAAGCCAGTTGTCGAGTCCTCCACAATCCCAGACATTTACGAAAACGAATGAATCTGGTAATGGTGGTCTGAAATTTTCTATCGCCCTTTAGTTCTAGGTCAACATGTAAGGGGATCAACTGCAGATGAATGATGTTCGTCTCACGATTAGGCTCATAGAATATTTTTTGAAATGGGGATAAAAATTACTGCAAACCAATTAGAAAAGTTAAGTCTCCTTTATGAAGAATAATCCGGAGCTTTACAAAGATGAATTAAATGCAAAATTTACCAATAAAGACTAACCAACCAATATTTATTTTCGCAACAAGGTAACATTGTTTTAACAACTGTGGGTTTTGAAACTAGATAGAAAAGTTAATCTCTTTCATGGAAAATAATCCCGAACTTTATAAAGGCGAATTGAATACAAAATTCACAAATAAAGATAAAGGTGGTTAGCACCGCAATTAGAATTGCATGCTATTGGAAGCTGCCATAAAACTGTGGAGAAATGCAGAAATAAGTACTTAGTGTAGGATATTTATTTCCATGGTCGTCGTTGGCGGTATTCGTTTCCTTTCAATATTTCTGACAAATGAAGAAAATTTTCAAGAAATGGCATTGAATTCTTTAAGTTAAAAACAAACAAGAATGAGAATACAATTTTGCCGGCATTTGATAAAATTCTGATTATTTCTCTTATGCTCAAAACTATTGTTACTGTAGACTTTTTGCTCTCTTAATAGTTGGACCCCCGCGATGCCTGTTAGTTAATATGTATCAGCGTTTCCCTTACTTTTTTGACTGGGGCCCAATACAAGGAAAAAATTTTTGCGACCCACTTCATAAAAAAAAAACATTACTAACAAGAAATTTTTGTTTTATTTTACTAGAAATCGAATTTTTTTTGTCTTCATTTCATTATAAATAAAATGGAAGTTATTTAAGTCCACATTGCTTACTTCATTCTAATGAATAAATGTGATTTCAGAACGTGCAAAACTGTAATAGTTATAGAATATTTTTCTTTTTATATTTCATGAAATAGTATATATTTCTGTATATAGAATAGTTATTATATCTTAGAAAACACCATTTGGAAAGTATAAAAAGGGCTAGCAATATTTATTCAGTTACACAGACGAAAGAAGGACATTATATTTTGACTAAAGTACAAGATGGAAAAATTATCACCTGTTCACCTATGACGTGGAACAAGAGAACAGTGCCTTCAGCAGCTCTACCACAAAAGGTACATAATCTGCTGTCACATATACTTTGTGAGCCAAAAGTTTAAAATCGTGCATAAAATCATTGAAGATGGTATTTGCCCGAGAACATCTGAGGTAAAACAGTTATTGACATTAAGGAAGAAGAAATTTTTGAGAATAAAAAAAAAGATCATTATTTTATAACAGATACACAAAAAACCTCTGAAAGTCATTAAGGAGAAAAAAATGGCTATATAATAATTTCGTTTACTCTGTTGTCTATTTTGTGTGCGTTTTATCGTCTATGCTGTTTTGATGAAATGACATTCCAAATGCACCGTAAATAGAATTGTGAAAGGAGTTTTAGGTCTTGGACTTGGTTACTCAGCATTAGAAACATTTTGTATGCACTTGAATATGGAAATTATGTCCAGTAGGACATTTACTAAGTGCAAAAATCAATATGATGTAATGCTATCTGAGTTTACTCACAAAATGTTATCATTGCGAAGACAATGCAGAAATAATAAATGTCGGGGTTTCATATGATGGAACGTTGGTTGCGTTGTAGACATTTACACAGGATATGTGCTTGATTTTGAAATTATGTCAAAAGAGATGCTCTCAATGTGAACACTCCAAATCAACTTTAGGAGAAAATTCTGGTGAATTTCATATGTGGTATCTTGGGCACAAAAGTTCTTGCTGCATCACCCATAGTGGTTCACCTGGCTCTATGGAAGTGTCAGCATTGAAATTGTGGAAGCGATCCGAAGCAAAAGGCTTCAGATACACAACTATGCTATTAGATGTGGACTCCAAATCTTTCAACGAACTAAATAAGCACAAAGTTCATGGGGATGGTGTTGAAATAGTAAAAGAAGAATGCATCAACCATGTGAGCAAAAGGTTAGGAACAGCCTTGCGCAATGTTGATACTGATTTATTTATACAATGATGATACAATAAAACTAGTATAAAACTGATTTATTCATTTAAAAAAAGGGGACCCTGAAGGTAGTGACATAAATTTTTTAATGTTTGTAATATATCATTGTTTTCGATTACCCCCAGATGGAATCGTTTCATTTCAAAGGAGTTAATTAGTTAGTATCTAGTAAGTTAAAATGTTAAATCCCTTCATATTTATTTTTTTGGTGTAACTGTATTTTATTTTGAAGGCATGTTTAAATACAATTAAATTAAAATTAATAGAACAAAATAATCTAAAATATAAGCAATCAATGTCCGCCCACCCCCAGCAGGCCGCAGTAAAATTAGCAAACATTGACAGGTCCGCGGTGATAAAAAGGTTGGGGAACACTGCCTTAAGGATTGGCATGGTATCTTCTTTTCCGCATGATCCTATGAAATTAGTTTAACCGGGGATGATGAGAAAACTTCTATACTCGTGGAAAGGAAAAGGATCATCGCACCTTGTAAAGGTTCGGGCAAGGGACAGGATCAGATTCGATATGTTAACATTTGCCAAGTCTTTGTGGCCGTCTGATTTCGCTCGTGAGCCAAGGTCTTTAAATGAGCTAGATTATTGGAAGGCTACTGAGCTCAGACAATTTCTTCTTTATCTTGGTCCATGTTAAGAATTGTCAAATTATGCCACGAGGCGGCGCTTATGTCAATATCAGTTGCTATTCAGAATTCAGTTGACATTCAAGTCTGGAGCAGGGCGCATCTACCTGTTACCTTACAATGATCTTGTCAATTTTTATATCATTAATTTGTAAATAACTTACCATGTGTGTTACAGTCCACTGATTAATAGATCGATACATCATGAACACTAAACAGTCCAGTTTTGTTGAAAGATAATCTTCCAATCGAATATTATTCTCATTCCATGCTTCTTTTTATCGCTATCAATATAATGAGAGCTGCCAAATACATGCATCTGATGGATGTTGCAAAAAAGTGTTTACCAGACTTAGTGTGTGATAGTAAAAAGTTATATGGCAAGGAATTTGTAATCTATTATACTCATTCTTTATTACATTTACCAGCTGATGCAGAGAGATTGGGTCCCTTGCCTTCTTTTAGTGCATTTCCATTTGAAAACTTCTCGAGTAGCCTGAAGAATATACTGATGAAGCCGAATTCACCATTACAACAGGTTGTACAAAGGTTGGCCGAAAAAAATCTTTGAGACAGAAAATGTTGTTGGAAAAAGCAAAGTTTTTAATTCTTTAAAGGAAAACAATGACAAAGATTTGCCAACTGCTGGAGTTCAAGGGCTGAACTTACATGGCCTTGCTTGTGAGGAATATAAGTTGACAACAAAACCCAGGGACTGTGTTGTTCTCCTTGAAGGAAACATAATTTTAAAATTTTTTAATTTTGTTCAGAATGAAGATGGATATCATTTAATTGGAAAGAGGTTTAATCTGAAGAGTTTTTCGAGTTTTTATTCAGGGCCTATAAACATGGAAGTTTTTGATATCTTCAGAGTTGATGAACTTTCTGAAAGTTCTGAATCCTTTCATTCTTTTCATATCAAATGCAAGGCCATGTTGATCAAATATCATGATAGTTATGTGCGTGTACCTCTTCTCCATGCATCAACATAGCACTACAAATCCATTACATCTCATGTCGACATTGTCCAAACAAATCGCCACACCAACTATTGTTATAAATTGCTTCTCCAGTCTACTTTTTTGCAATCCTATTCCTCTTCAGTTATGCTACTTATTATTTATCTCAGCTTTTCCAGTAACATAATAATTACCTCTGATGAATCAGTGCTATTTACAGTGGCAAGTGAAGAAATCTTGTCTTGAGCACTAACTGAACAGAATCGGCAAATATTTTTATTATACTAGGAATTCATTCTGGTTGTCAAATTTTTTACAGAATTTTTATATCTTTCTTACAGTTAGAGTGACAGTCTATATAAATTTATTTAAATGCTGCAAATTTATTTCAGACAGGCCTAGATTGATTGTGGAGTTACATACATTAAAAAAATATGTGCAATCAAAATATGTCAAGCTTAAATAAAAAAAAAAATTGAAATAACAGTTCTAAGCTAAGTCTGTCTTCCAAGGAAGCATTTTATATCCATCTGAAAAATGATTCCTATCAATAATTGATCTTGGTGAGTGTTGAACAAATCTAATTAGATGCAGCAGGTAAATCATACGAGATTATAATTCTATGGCATGATGAGCAGAAGTTTAAATCTCCTATTTAAACAATTTATTTATTATTATTTCAACAAAGTGGTTGATGAATATTCTTATTTCCTACATATAGTTATTTCTTATGTGCGGAACTTTTGTGTAAAAAAAAAAACGAATGCCAACGTTTGGTACAAACCAATCGATTTATCAGATACGAGTTTTGAACTCCAGCTTCCAAATAATGTAAATATGTATTACTATTTTGATCAAGCAAATTATTTAATGCAACTTTGGTCATGAGCGCAATGTAAACAAAAGACATGGTTAGTTTCGATCGCTACTTTATTTTTCTTCGTTTTTTTTTAATGTCACTTAACTGCATTTAAACTCTGGGTTACCAAATAATGCTAAGAGCTGTATTTAAAGGTAACGGCAGAAGTGCTTAATTAGAAATTGAATTTTCCCTATGAGAATTCAAACGATTAAGTGATTACGATTGCTATTGAAAAGAAAAAAGCTATTAAAACTCGATATTTCCTTACACTGCCAAACAATAGAACCCAGAGCGAATACCACTCTCACTTCGAACCGAAACCAGAAAACGGATCTTTAGTCAAACGATCTTGTGCAACCGTACGTGCCTGTCAATTATCGAGATTATTTTTGACAGTTTGCATGGTCCTTCACTGGTAACATTATGTGGCATTGAGGTACCTTTATCCATATCTTTGATGTTCATGCTTTTTTATCTTTTCAAGCTCAGGTAATAAATTATCCGCTGTTATAGCAGCTATTTTTAGATCGATAGTTAACTTTTTGCAGCTGCTTTTAGAGCATCTGCACAAGAATGAGGATCGATTCCACCAGTATTTGCTATGGCTCTGTTTTTTTTTTTCTTCTTTAATTGCACGATTTGGCACTAGAGCAGAATGAATAAAATCAGGAGTGTAACCCTTATCTGGAGATTTCTGTTTTGCAACGGCTAAAATTGACATTGTAATTTCTGAGAAATAGTCAAAAACAAGTTTTTCCAAATGAAAATTGATCTCATGGATAAGCACAAGACGGACTTTGCTACAGAGTATGGTCTCTTTGAATGGAATAGAGCACCATTTGGATTAAAAAAACTTCCCCAATAGTTTCCGAAGATTTATGTCATTAGTATTTTCAGGATTAAAACCCTTACAAATAGCAGTACAATTAACAGGTAGAGAGAAAATTTCAAAATACGGTGGCACAACATATTTTATAGTCATTTCAGTGTTCCAAAATATTTATTGAGGGTCTCTGTCTGGAAATTAGTAGTAAAAGGGGTAAATTTTTTTCCCGTGCAATTTGAAGAGAAATGTAAATAAAGTTAAAATTAACAAATAATCTTTGAATTTAAGGAAAAACTAAGCGCCCATTTAAATTTCAAAATAAATCGATTTTTTTTTTAACATATAAACTTTTCATTTTATACCATGAATTATGTATCAATATTTTTTTTTTACAATCCTTGCAAGTTACAGCAAAGTGAAAAAGCTTTATCGCATATATTTACTCCTTCCACTGCGAGTGCAAGCAAACTGAGCCTTCAAAATATTACTAATTCTGAATTGCTTACTGAACAATAGAATTGATACAATCAAGACTATATTTTCAGAGCTCTGTTGTATTGCCATTAGTTTGGTTGAAGATAGCAAAGGACTTAGTTCGCACTCCTCTATAAAATGCCAACAATCTGATCATGCTCCCACATAAAACTTCTCTTAAGTTATTATTTGTGCTAAACTATGTGATCTATATATTTTAAAAATAATCAAACAAAATATAAGATGTCCCAAATTCTGAAGTCTTGCTTATTATGCAGCAAAAACATTTAAATGTTTGAAGGAAAAAAAAAATTCACTGGGGTACCTCGGGTGCGTGAAACCCGTGTTTGCCATGCAAACCCCCTGAGGAGGATAAAATTTTTAAAAATTGAAGTTCTTAGAAAGCAGAGAACAAAAAAATGTTACAATATTTTAAAATGCATTCTTCTAGAAATTTAATGAAACTTTTATTTATTTGAAATTTTATCCTTTTTTTTTTAGACAAACTATTATCCTTTACATAATTTCAGTTATTAAACTCTAAGCATTCATTTTAGCCTTAAAATTAAGCTAAGTTTGCCTTTCTATTGTGATTAAAAGCAATTTAGTTTGGTTTAATTGTACTATTATACAGTCGAAAACATTTTAACGTGGAAACAGACAAAAAAAATAAATAAAAAAAACAAGAATTAGAAACTTTTCAAAATAAATGTAAGAGATTTATTTTTAAAATTTTTGGACCAAACAAGACAACAAACAAACAAAATTTAAAAAACAAAAATAAGGACAACAAAAGATGACATTCTTAGAAAAAGACATAATTGGCTGGGTCACATACTTACAATGCCCAGAAGAAAAAAATAAAATTTGTAGCTCTCACATAAGCTTGTGAAAGAAAGAAAGAGGAAGACTGAAACTCACTTTACAATGCAAGAAGTTTAAAGAGTTAAATATCTTGATTTCTAGATAGAAACAGGTCAAATCTATGGTTAAGAACATAAAGAGATAGGCTGAAGGCTTATAGTAAGTAAGGAATTATTTTGATGCATAGATAATAAAATAAAAATATTAATTATCATCAACACTTAGTACCATTAATCAAAATTACATTAATTCAAACTTGCATGGTTAAAATTAAATTACACTTGCTATTAATATTTTTTTTAGATAACTTTTCAAGTCTTTTTAAGGCATAATAACTACCAACATAAAATATATCAAAATTTGCAATTCCCCCTCCCATCATCAACATAATTTATGCAGCTGATTTTCCATGAGAAAAGGTTGCAACTGAACTGTTTTGAATTATTTTTTTCTATTATGTTTTAAAAAATATTTCATTACAAAATTTTATTGCAACTGAAACAAAAATGAAACCAAAATAATAAAGTATATTTTGATTTATTAGACACATACAGATTGATACACTTTTAGTTATAAATTAAAATTATAGTACATAATTTGAATAAAAGAACTTCACATATAACTAAAAATATACTTGAGTTTATTGCAAAACAATCACAAGCCACATTATACGTTATTTTACTAATCTACGAGTATGCACCAGATTTGTTATAAAGATTTTTATAAACTTGGAAATTTTTGAATTTTTTTTTGACTTGATAATGTTTTACAACAAGACTTCAACCTAAACATTTTTATTAATCATCAAAATAAAAACTGCATAACATCACATTCCTATTAAGTTTTATTAATTTCAAAAATAATTAAAGAAAACTTTCTTGTTCAATTTCTAGAAAGAAGCTTTATCTACATTAAAATAATTTTTTTAATAAAAAACCACATAAACAATTTATAACTGCATATGGTTAAAGCAAGATTTCTGTAAGCAAACAGGTTTTATTTTTACATAGCTTCTTCAATGAAACCAGGTATACATATTAGTAACTGGTTTGTTTAGAAAAACTGTAGCACAAAAATGTTTGATAGTGAACGTTATTTCACAAATAGCAAAAAATAATAACTTTGACTAAATAACTATTACAAGTTTTACACCTTTGTTTAATTGAAGACGAACTTGAAACTAAAACTATTTACTCTCAGTTGCAGAGGTTTAAACCAACTCTAATTGCATAAGGTTTTTTTAATATAAATAATTCACAGAGAACAGCATAATTCTAGCTTAAAAATATTTAGAAATTCTACATTAAATAACGTAAAATATCGCAGTAACACAATTATCAGAAGATTTACAGATGCTAGTACATTTTCAATTTCTACAAATAAATGTCGAAAAACGATAATCTAAATGAGTTAATAAAATTCTATGCAGTACAGTTAAGAAAAATTAGTAAAAAAACCTTAAAGCATTCTTACTATAACATTTTGTAGTTCTAAAAACCTGTAATCACCTGATAGTATTTATACTTGTACATTGGACAGGGTTATCAGCGCTACGCTTTTTGCGAAATGCTTGATAGAGTGGTAGAAAATTAAAGTGGCATTTCAAATGAACTGTTAGATCATTCAAACGCTGTCATTGCAAAAAATTACTTAAATCAAATTTACTAAAATAAAAGTTGAACATACACAAACTTTGGGAGAAAAAAAGCACCTAGTTTTTCCAAAAATTTCCTTAGATTTAAATCAGTTTTTTCCCCCTAAGCTACTGTAAGTTATTTAGTTAAATTTTATGCACACAACTGAATTAAGATTAAAGAGCTAACCATAAAAATGTATAATTTTAGCATATTACTGCATTAAATATCGTTTAACATACACAAATGAACCATTCTACAAGAAAAGAAAACAGACTAAAAAACTAATTGATGTATAGATATATATTTAACTTAAATCCAGAATATCATTTAAAAGTACTGTAATTTATTGGACGAAATAACAAAGGTACATATTTTAATTTAAGCTTATCAACTCAGTAATATATACTTACAACTTTAAAACAATAAAAAAAAGATAAAAATATAAGAGATCTTGCATTAAAATACTTAATTTTCTTCCAAATGTCTCTTTTATATCATTTAATATAATACAATGACATTTCTCCATGGAAAAAAAAAACGACCTTGTGTAAAAAATTGATATATAAATTAGAACTTGCATAATGAAATATATTTTTCTAATTTGCTTTTTTAAAATTTGCCAATCATAGTCTTATATGCAAATTTTCAGCATATAGTTAGAATAGTTCCATAATTCTAATGAAATGACTATATCAAATTATTATCTTTAACACATTTGTAATTTAATTAAAACATAAGATCTATCAATGCATTCATATAACTAAATGTAACAGATGAAAAACGATATAGCAATAAAGTAATTTAAAAAGATTATCATCAACACACAACAATGCAATACAAGTTCAGTTTAGTTAGAGTTTTAACAATATAACAGTATGAAAAAGGACATCTAAGCATTTGCTTAAGGCTTATAGAACTGATGGACCACCACCAGAAGTTACCATTATAAGAGCCATATAGAAAAGATTAAACAGAAAATAACTAAGCCTGTTTAGCAGATAACCACTGTTCTCCCTAAACATTTTTAAGAGTGGTCCAGCTTGCCCTTTATCCAAATAAATGCTCTCTCTTTGTCCATTATATAAAAATAAGCCTTTTCATTCATATTAAAAAAAAATTTCAAAATTATTCATCCAAAAATTTATTCACTGTTTCAATAATAATTACACTATGTTAAAATTATCTGTGTTTTTAAGTTTAATTCTGACTACTGTTACAAATATTTAGTGTGTTAGGATTATTCTCTGCTGGTAAAATTTTTATAATTATCTTTTTTCTGGAAGGAGATATTAATAAACTTCTTAATTGATTTTAAAACTATTTTTTGAAGAAATATTTTCTTTCCTTTTTTTTAAAAAAATGCACTTTTAAATGTCTATTTTCTTATAATTTTCAGTTTAAATTATAGAAAAAACCTTTCAAGTTGTTTATCAACTAAACATTTTTTGTGAGTTTAGTCTTTTTGAAGAAAAAAATATGTAAGGATTTTATGTAAGGTCTTTAATTATTTTTATAAACTAAAAATTTTTCGCTTATTTCAATAATGAGTGAAATACTGTTTGAAATATACACATAAATAGCATGAGAGGGTAATTTAACAATTGTTGAAGATAAAATTCAAGATTATTACGGTATCAAGTGAACTAAAAAAACTCACTTTCAAAACTCAAGTGTCCTTTTCAGAGAGGAAACACCCTGTCTCTTTTTATTCAAAGGGAGAACTCTACTAATAACCATATGCAGTTAATGCCATTTTCAATATGCATTTATAAATATTTTATTAAAGTTATCAACCCTGATTAGCTAAAATTTTAAGAAGTTTAACTACTCAGCCTAACTATATTTCTAAATTCTGTTTCTATTACAAAAGTGTAGATACATAAATCTTAAACTATCCAGTGTCAATCACGGAATCAAACACCCTGAGTAATATGCATTGCATAGATAATTAATAGCTATTTCATAATATATATCAATGACAGTTTAAGTGCTAAATATCTATGTATTCAATCAAATTAAAAAATAAATAAATATTCATAAAATAAATGAATTTTATAATATATATATCAGGCAGTTAGCTAGTATCTAATTCCGCTTCACATTTCTCGCAGCCATCAGGCGCTAGTTCAGCAACAGGGGAAGCTGAAAACGTTTCATTTGTATCACAATTTATAAATGTTTCATTTTCATCATGAAGGCAATTAGTGCAACAGAAGGCAGCTTTCTGAACATTAGAATTTTGTATTATGTTAGGATGATCTATTTTGCCAGTTGAGGCATCTATTTGTAACAACCCTTGATTAATAAAATATGACAATGTATTATAAACATGTTCCATATCAAAAGAATCATAATTTGAATCATCAGATTGCTCACAAATTGACTTTATACCATTTAATCCATAAAAACTAGTTAAAAGCTTGTAAGCAGCTATAGCTTCTTCATCACTCACCTTAATTTCAAATAAATTCTTGCCAACAGTTAACTCAGAATTCTGACAGTTGAATTCATCCCCCATTCTCTCACTATTTAATACATTGTTTTGTAAAATATAATTACAATTTGCTGCAATAGAATTTGCTAAGGAACCAGAAATTTCGGATTCATTTGATATTCTAAGATTTGGGAAAAGATCATTGACGTCATCAAAAAATGTCATGCAAGATTTGTGCTGCGAGTCTTTTTGTTTCAGCAAATAACTTTTCGCCGACACATACTGTTCCAATTTATCCCAACCACCTTTCGAAAAAAATTCGTTTCTTAAATCGTAGACGAAAACTTGCAACCAACACATCGATGCGAAATCAAGGTATTCTACAAATCCCTTTGAATGGCAAAATAATACGACTTTATAAACAAAAGCACAAGTTTTTAAGAAGACAGCAAATATATCTTCGTTGTTTGCGTGATATTTGAAACAATAGGTTGCTATGAATGTGAATACACTTCTCCTGGAAATTCCGTGCACAGAAAAATACTTTTCCAGTCCTGCATTGAAATCAGCAATTGTCAAAGAAGTTAAAACAGTCACAGCTTTGGCAACTTCCACTACTAGTTTTGAGGATTCTCCAATTACTTGAGCAGCATTATTTTCTGATAAGAAGTTCTCTGTCAGCCATAGATAGGTGAAGAGCGCTTCAGAGAAGCTTTCAGTTTTCTTGTCATCTCCCATCATGAAATTTGACGACTTGTTAGACGCATGATTTTAAATTGTGACATGGCAAACAATTCATATTATTACGTCTTAAGACAAAAGAATTCATAAACATAATACATTCACGTGCGGTAAAAAAATATAGAAGTATAAGGTTTAGTGCTGCCATTTTTTAATCGCAAATATCTAAAAGCTGAAGATGAAAAAAAAAAAAAAAAAACTCAGTGTAGAACTTTTCAATTTTTGAGCTATTTAAGCAGAGTGTGATCAGTACAGAAATAGGCAGTCAAAAACGTATGAAATAAATTTTGTTTTTCTTCTCTTGTTTTTGAAGGTTTCCTGATGAAAATTAACGTCGTTAATATAGTTGTGGTAAGTAAGAACTACTTGAATGTTATTAATATTTTAAAAAAGTTGTTTTATATTTGAATGTATCAAATTTCTATTTTTACTACGTGCCAGACGAAATTTTCAAAATCATGTTCAAACTTGCCATTCAATATTGCCAGGACCATAAATCTATCATATTTGTTTAAAAACCAAACTGTCTTACTGTTTTTGGTGTTCTAATTTGCATTATTGGGAAAAATGTACTTCAGGGTGCCCCTTGGCGAAGTTAGCGACTTTTGTTTGGCGCTATTCCTGTTTGCGCCAAACACCGTGGTAACAGGAATCACGGCCAAAACATAATGATATTTCTATAAAACATTGGTAAATTTCAACAAAACATCGGCCAAAACTTGCAATGAACCCAATATAAGCAAAATTAATAAACCCAATAAAAAGGATTTTGAATCGAAGCTAAAATTAATGGAGTAGGCGCAGAAAGAAAAGAAAAAAAACAACTCTCTTCTTCATTAAGCTTGAATATTCTCAAATTCAGGTGCTCAGAATTATCTAATAACAGTTAGATACTGTCTACATTTATCATTAATAGAATCTGTGTACCTCCATCGCCACATAAATTCAACGAAATAAGAATCGAAAATGGTGTCTGTAATGCTGGATTAGCGGTGACATTTTTTTCTTACATCCCTTTTTATGACTGCCCACATACCTTCGATCTTATTGACTACATTCAAAAGTAACCTAACCAGCCCGTATCCAACGTAGAACTAACAGACTTCTGAAATTACATATACTATTGAACATTAAAAAATAAATCCAAACCAATCAGAATCATGATTGGGTTTCAACATCGCCCAGCTTGGCGATCAACCATGATCACAACTTGGCGAGAATCAAGGGGCACCCTCAAATATAGTCTACCCGCATTATTTACTGATTGTTCTTCAATTAATTATAATTAGTGGATCTTATGTTAAATTTATGTTTTTGACCGAACAGAAGTGAGTTTTTGTAAATGTTGGTTAGTTTTAGTTACTTTGGTTATAAATGAAACAAATATCTCTTTTTGTAATGTTTTCAAGACCAAAATCATTGTGTGTTACAGGATTAGGGGAAATTATCTATCCTCTTCTAAATTACTATTTACCAGGGTTGGGGTTTTGAACATTCTAAACTGGTTTTGGACAGGAGACTGTCTTAAAGTGTCCAAAACCTTGAATTTTGGTAGAAGGTAAAAATTCTATATATGTTACCAATGTACACATAATAATTACATATATCAATAAATAATTGATATTTTTTATACAATTTACTTTAAGTAATATAATATAATATGAAAAGGTTTATAATTTTTGAAGCTCCGTAATTCATTGAACAACTAAAGTGAATACCTTATCCTTTAAATATAAGTATGCTTTTAATACTGATAAATTATGTTTTTGCGTAAGGATAAATAATGCAATGATAAAAATAATAATTTTTTTTTAAAAAAATAATAAATTTGTTTAAAAATTAACCTTTTATTTTTCACAATATTTTTTTAATAAAATGTTATAATTTCTGCATTTCAGGATGATAAAAAAAGACATCTATTTTTAAAAAAAAATTGTTTTTAAATATAAATATATTAGTTTATATTGGAAATACAAAATAACTGAAAAATGTGTTAACAGTTTTGAAGGACATAACATCAGTTTCAGTTACTGACACTGGTGATGTATGACCATTATGCTAAGAGAATTGCAAGTATTAAAAATTACTCAAGCAATGTAAATATTTCATTTCTCGGCTTATTTATCAAACCCTAAACATGAAGGAGAAGGTTTGTCTGATGTGCAAAAAGAAAGTGCTCGGTCATATTTGTCTGACAAATTTCCTGGGTGAATTTCTTTTTTGATTGTCTATGTAGCTGAAGCGACATCATTTCCGAAAACTTACTTCACAGAAGCTGAGGAACCATTAAACGAGTGACATGGTGGACAGCTATTGAAAAATCAATATCATTTGGGGAATATTCCAAAGACATTTTTAAATTCATCACTCTTTTACATGTCCAGCAAGCTCAGGGTCAATTGAAAGGATCTTTTCAAATTTTGGAGTAATTCACTCAAAACTTAGAAACTGTTTTGGTGTGAATACAGCAGCTAAATTAGTTATGTGCTATTGAATGTTAAGAGGACCAATTGAACTTGATCGCTGATTAATCCTTTGTTTGAATTTGAATTTTTGTTTGAAATTGAAGAGTCAAAGAATATTAATAAAACATTATACTTTTAAAAACAAATATTCTCTAGTAGATTTAATTAACAATATGTTATTAGTTCTATGTTTATTTTACCTTTTAAATATTGTTCAGACAAAATTGTGACATGATTTGAGTAAAAGGGTTTTGGTTTTGGAAAGTTTAAGAGAGTTTTGGACAGGACGGTTTAAACCGTGGATTAATCCATTCTGTCCTAAACCTTGCCAACCCTACTATTTACTTAATCTGTGTACTCTGTGGATTCTACTGCCGTCCATTATTATCCATTGGAAAGATCAAGTGTATAATATTTTTGAAAATGTGGGGAGATTTCCATATCGTGACCTATGGCAGAATAATCAGCAAGTCTTGGACACTTCCGGGCAGTGGCCCCGCGAGAAACTAATGAAGCAGAAAGGGACCAACTCAAAAGGTATAACTCGTAGCCACACCCGGGCAAACATGGAAACCTTTTTTTTCTTTTCTTTTTTTTTTAAAAATATGCAAATTTAAAATCTATTTGTCAATTGTAGTTGGCGTGACAGATTAAGATATGGAAATATTCCCGAAAAGGCTTCTGTAACTTAGTTATTTCCTTATCTGTTTGCACTTACTATCATTGCCGAGTCACCAAATGTGTTTCTTGATTGCTAATTTTTTTAAAACAATTTTTCGGGTTTGATGATTTGTTCAATGTTGCTGTGAGTTCCTTTGACAGGGTTCCTTCTGAAATTTTTTTTTCTAATTTCCTGTGTGTTCCCCGATTGTTGGTAAAATATAGCAACTTTTTTGGCACCAGTATTGTTATGGTTGTATGTTTCTATAAATTTGTAACTAATAATTCTAGTAATTCTTAATTGATTATGGGCACAAATTATTTTTTTGGGCACATATACTTTTTTTTTAACTCACGTTTTACTTTATAATATTCAGCAATACTAGCACCATCATAAATGTTTCCCTTCTCTCCCTACTCCGAAAGTGGATCATTCCACAGATTGAGCGATCACAGCGGCAATACTTGCACAGTAGGAAACAGCTTAAAAATTGATTATCCTTTTTTTCGTGAGTTGGGAGGTGAACAGCTGCTGTTCCTGTAAAGTGGCCATCCACACTAATAGTTAAGTTGCTGTGTGAAATAGGATATGTATTGTGATAGAAAAATTATTTGATACATATTATACGCCTCTTCAATATATTTTGCAAAATATTATCTTCTTATTTAGTTAATTGAATATTTTATATATTTTTTCAATATTTTGTTAGTTGTTTCATAATATTATTGCTTTAATTCTAATCTGAGTGTGCTATATTTAGTTTTTCACCTAGCTGTCTTTCATATGAAGTTTTCTTTTATTGTTATTTTATTACTTTACTCTCACAACATATTATATTTGAATTTAAAAGTTGCACTAATTTCTTAATATTTAAATTTTGTAATCTCTAAAATATATTATGAGGGAGCATACAAGTGCTTTTTCTTATATTATGGAATATCACTTTTGGTGGGAGGTTTATACTTTACTAATGATCTTCAGTTTATTTTTGTCATTTACCCACCCTAATGAATATTTTTTAAGTTAATTAAATGAAAATTAAACAGTGCTGAATTAAATATTATCATTATTTTTTATTAAACGAAGTTTTTATCTTTGTTTTGCGATGTATTTCCAAAACTGCTGAGTTCCTGGTGTATTGTATTATATTACAAATACAACACGAATATTGAATTTTAACATTAACAATAATAAATGTAAGTTTTGATAATTTTTCAATACTGGCTAAATTTATTTATATGTGAAAAATATTAAGAAATTTTTGAAAAAAATTTGCCATTTAGTAGAATTTTCAAGACTTATCCGAATTATTTTTTGTCACCACCTTATTCTTAATGTTATTTTGACTGTACTTTTTGGTCAGCTGTTCACAAGTGACAAGTTGTCAAAAAATATATGCGTCCATGACTGTTTTTTTACTTTCAGTTTTAAATACATATAACAAGAATATTGAATTTTTTGAACATTTATTTAATGTATCTAGACATATTAAAATTAAATAAAATAAGAAATATTTTTTAAAAAAACTTTTGAATTTTGTTTCATTTGACTACCCCAAAATTATCATTTTGACTTAAAATAGATAATGTTAAATCAAGTATTTTTTTATAGGATGATGATGATGTCCCATATGAAGAGGACATACTTAGAAATCAGTTCTCGGTTAAAGCCTGGTTGAGATATATTGATTTCAAAAAAGAAGCTCCTAAAAATGTGATTAATCTTCTATTTGAAAGGGCATTAAAAGAGCTACCTGGAAGGTAACCTCACCTTGATTATTGTATTTTTGTTTCAGTTAACTTTATGTACTTTACCTAAAATTAAAATCTAAATTATAACTGTGATTTCTATATTTCTATTATGATTGTATTACAGTGATTGTACAAAGTTCTAGAAACACTTCTAGCACTTATTTCTCTTCATATTTCTCAAGATATACTTAGAAATTTTTTTCTCATACATGCCCTAGCAGCAAAATTACTTGGGCTCTCATTGGAACCCAATAATCCCATTGGAACCCAAATCTTGGCTTAATAAGGGTTCAAAAGAGCTTTTATTTTTCTGATATTAGCCATCTATAGTAGGGGTGCACAACCTTTTTGAGTGAAGGGCCACTTGCACAGCAAGTAGATAAACAAAGGGGCTGCATGCATATTCACTGATGTTTGCTGCAAATATAATAATTTTTATATAAATATTAGTGTTCTAAACACTAAGTTTATTTTTATCAGTAAACTTAATAACATATTTGCAGAAAATTAAATACTTTAAATTGTATGAATTTATTTAAAAATACAAAAGCTGATACTTTTGAAAAACTTTTTCCATAAAAAAAATCTAAATATCACTTGGATTTCTGCTGAAATTAGAAAAAAAAAAGAGCATGTCAAAAATTGATTATTTAAAAGGGTTATTTGAAATTGCTTCTCGTAATATCGTACAAGTGAAATCGTAAGAAAAATATATGATTTCAAAATCATGATGGAAAACGTACTAAGAATTTACTTTGAAAAAAATATCAAATTGGCTCAAATAAAATGTTTGAGTATCAATAAAATTCAAAGGTTTGACAGTCAGGCAATAAATTGCAAATGAAAAAAAATGTTTTTGAACATTCTGTGCTGAAAAAAATATAGCGATTAGCTTGTAGTTTATATCAATTACTTTGGTTATTATATGCAATAACTGCACAGAATTTTGTTAACCTGGCTTAACTATTTATAAAAATTGACATTTTTATAAAGAACTATTTTTTTTACTTTGATGTTTTCTTGATATAACTCCAGAAATAATTGTATCTTAGCTACCGCTACAACTGTTCAATTCCCATTCACTAATATATAACACACATTACTTTATTCTATCCGAAGATACCTCTTGATAGAGGACAGTTTACTCCCACATTGATCTGAACATGCCTGCCTTGACTGAAACCCTCACTTCATTTTGAACACACCTAGTTGGGCGCATGGTTCACAGTGAACAGTTGACTTTCTATTTGTGACTGTCGTATTGTCCTCCTCACACTGTTGCTACTCAGTCGCGATCATACATAACGGGAGCATGTATACACTAGACTGCTAATAGTAGCACAGGAACAACCATGCCCACAACCGTAATCTTAATATACATCTCTCACAACCAGCACTCAAACTCTGATGATCTTAATTCAACTTTTGCAAAACGGCAATGACTCAACTAGTGAACTAACTAATGAACCAACATTCATCGAATTCTATTGCAGATAAAATTCTGGTGGGGGACTAATGTAATGTAGCTATTGTTACTACTATTAAATTCCCATTCACTAGTATATGACACGTGTTAACTCTATTCTATCTGGAGGAACCTTTTGATAGATGACGGTTGATATTTTCAGTAGCCAACGCCCATACATTTAATAAAATTAATGCTCATACTTTTTAGAGTTATTTTTAATTAACAATAAAAATATCATTTTAAAATTTGAAGAAAAAAAATCATTAAAAATTTTGCATTATATGAATATTTATAGTAATCTTTTCATAGTAATCATCATCTAATCTTGGGCATGTGCAGAAAACTTTAAAAAACATTTTTTTCATAATTTTGATTCAAATTGCATTTGGTAACTTACATATTTGGTATTTGTCGGATATCTGCGATTCTTGCTCTCATGCCTTGCTTAGATAATGGCATCTTGAATTTGTGCTCTTCTTTCAGCCTGATCAATGTTTTAGACCATTAATTAATAAAATATAAGATGTTAAGCATCTGATAGTTTCAAAAAAAGTTTTATATTTTTCTTTCATTTCGGATTTATGTAAACTGGTTGTGTTAAATTACTATATTTCACTTAAGGAGCACTATTAGCCAATAACTGTACATCAGTTAATTCTTTGAATAATGAATAAAAATTAAATGNTTTTGTTTCTTGGATTTCCTCTTTTTTACTTTCTGACTACTCTCATCCCTGACATCAGTTAATTCTTTGAATAAGGAATAAAAATTAAATGCATGTAAAAACTACTGCATTTTAAGTAAGTTCTTCAACAATTTTCTAGTAAGTTTTTGCATTTTAAAAAATATGGGGGCTGGCAGGAATTGTTTTCTCAATGGTATTATTTTTTATTGAAGTTTATAAATGGAGTAAATTTGTAGTAAGGGAATATTACTTATGCTTAAAAAAATCATTTACTATTCAAGCGTTTCCACTTTTTAAAAAAATATAAAGCAAGTTAAAAATAGGTATTTATAATCAACATTAACAAAAATAAAAAAAGCTGTAATGTTAAAATAAATTTTATTTTGGTTTTAATTAATTTTCAAAAATTATATCAAATAAAAAAAAATTCAAATGAAATAAAAATATTTGTACATCTTTATAAAAAAAAACTATTCTTAATTTATAGCTATATCCTGCGGCACCGTTATTTAAAACTTCGCCGTTATTTAAAACTAATTTTATTTTAGTGTTAATAAATTTTTAAAATGATATCAAATAAAAAAATTCAAATGAAATAAAAATATTTGCACATTTTTATAAAAAAAATATTCTTAATTTACAGCTATATCCTGTGGCACCGTTATTTAAAACTTCGGCGTGCACAAGTGCGTGGTCTATGTGTCCTTGATCCAGCCGTAGAAGATGTTAATAGTGCATTTGAAAGAGCCTTGGTTTTTATGCACAAGGTTAGTATTAAATTTAATAGTTTAGTGTTGGAATCTTTTTCAGTTGATAAATAGAAATTATGTTTTGTCCAGATTTTTTAACTATCTTCTGTCAGTATTTTAGGTTTTTATTATTTTCGTATCTTAGTGATTTCCCGTGCTTAAATAAGTATCCTATTATCATTTATTTTAAAAAATATATTTGCTTTTTCAAATCACTCTTTTTATTTCAGAAAAACTACTATTTTTCTACTACTGAACAACTCTACACAAACCAACAGTTATCAGATGTGCCAATTATTACGATTTATCCATAATTAATAGGATTTCATAGTCATGATTACACTCTTACTATTGAGTAATAAAAATCGGATTTTTTTTAAAATTTTTTATTTTGTAATAATATATTTGAAGTAGGTTTTTTTCTCTTAACTACCAAGAGTTAGGAAATTGATTTGCAGTTTCCAACTAATCTCCATTGAATAATTTAATATCTTATTATACACCTTTCTGAAATTCTTAAAATGACAAATAAAAAACAAAAATGATTTGATAGAAACAAGAAATAAAAAAAGGCAAAAAAGATAGCAATTAATTATGAAAATATGTATTTAAATTTGTTAAGATAATTGTATTTTTGTCAATTTAATTTCACTTTGTTGTTGTCTTCATTTTACAGATGATATTATGTATTGTTAATTGCTATTAAATCTTATTCTATTCTTTTTCTTTTTTTAATGTTGTTTGAAATAAGTTACAATTAGTTTAAATATTTATTGATTGTCGCAATTTCTGTGTATTCGTCATAAGGTAACACTATTATTTTGTACACTTCATTTCACTATAATTTTTCAATGGCGGGCACTTGGGATGTATTGTCCCATTGGCCAGGAGTGCCAGAACTGCTGCTCTCTTCTCGTAGCCCACGACACACACCCACAAACCCGTTTATAGGGTGGGTCACATTCACACAAAGGAGAAAGGACATAGAACACAGGGAGAAAGAAACATCCATGCCCTGAGCAGGATTCGAACCCGCAAGCATCGGCTCCGCAGTCACGCACGCTAACCACTCGGCCACCTGGTTGGCATTTCACTATAATTAGTTATTAAATATTATAATAATATTTTGGCTTCTTCCTATTTCTTTAATATTAACACATTTATAAATATCGCAATTTCAATTAATTCATTGTGTGAGCTTTTAGTTTTACATTTTTGGACGGACAGCTAGCCGAGTAGTTAGCGTGCATGACTGCGAAGCCAATGGCTGCGGGTTTGAATCCCGCTCAGTGCATGGATGTTTCTCTGTGTGTTGTTGTGTGCATGTGGCCCACCCTATGATTGGGTATCTGGGGCAGTGTGGCGCGGTTAATGTTGCTCGCCTTCGTGACTTCGGTTCACAGGTGCCTACCGGGTAACGATAATTGAGCAACACTTCCAGCATCTTCTAAGTCGAAGAGCGAAAGTTCAATGCCTGCCATTATTAAAGAAAAGTTTTCCTTTTTTGCTTGTGTATGTGCTGTTATTGTGAAATAATGTATTAACCCATATAGGTCATGGAAATTTATTGGTGAAAGTCATGAGTTTAAAAACTTTCTAGCAGATTTCCTGGATAGTGTATATTGCAAACATTATTGGTGATAGTTTGAATATATTACTCTTTCTGTAAACTTATTGGTTAATAATCTTAAATTTTGCATTCCTTTTGTGAAATATTATGTTATTTTCTTATGTTTTATTTAGATGCCACGCATATGGCTGGACTACTGTGAATTCATAATGGCTCAGTGCAACATAACTAGAACCAGAGATGTTTTTGATAGGTCATTGAGAGCTCTTCCCATTACACAACATCATCGAATATGGCCACTTTATCTTAAGTTTGTTACTAAAAAGGCTCCACCTGAAACAGCTGTCAGAGTTTATCGACGATATTTAAAGGTAAAAAGTTTTTCGTGATCTGTTACCCATTTTTATATCTAACTGTTCATAAAGCCTAATTTGTGAGAAGTAATTAAATAACAGTTTTTTAATGTTAATTATTTAACATTTTCATAGGATTTTTTTTTTATCTATTTCATTTAAACTTTTACTGATAATAGATGGGGTGATATGTTTTTAAAATAAGTGTAAGTAAAGAATTTCAAATATAAAATGAAGTTATAAATAGCTTGACTACTTATATCAGTTGATTGACACATTTAAAATTCTTGATCTACAGAAAGTTGAATCAATAAATGTTTTAATTAGCTCCAATTTCATCTCTCAATGATATTATATTATGAATATTTTTATTTTGTTTTTATTAGCTATGTTATGAAGATACTGAGGATTTCATAGATTATTTAGCAGAAATTGATAGACTGGATGAAGCTTCAATTAAGTTGGCTGAAGTTGTCAACAACGAACGCTTTGTGTCGAAGCATGGTAAACCAAAGCATCAAGTAAGTTACAGTTTAAAATTATTTCATAATATTGTTTGTAATTTGTTTCTACTGTTTGCAAGGAATTAACTTAGTCATTATTGGATCATATTGTCCGCCTGCAGTGTTATAAATTGAAAATTGTTTTATTTTTTATTTCTGACATATCTTTGAAAACGGGTCTCTGTTATGTTACAGGTTTCTGTGACTATTTGGATTGTGATTCATCTGCAAATTATTACAAATTATAATTAAGTTACAAATTATTCTATAATTTATTTCTCATAACTTTTTTTAAATGTCTTTGTTTTTAAGTAAAAAAAAAAGCATTTTTTAATCAAGCAATAAACATGTTTTCTTTTTTTTTTTTGGTATCTGATTCTCAATTTTAAACTTAAAGGGAATTTTTTTGAAATTAATTCTGTTATTTTGTAACTATTTGTTAGTTGTATGAAATATGAAAGCATTCCTTAGAAAAAATGTGCATGAAATTTCTCAATTTAAATTTTGTTAACATTGAACAGTTTGTAATTTGTATCACAGCGTGGTAGACCAAAATAGTAAATTTCAGTTTAAAATTGTTTCATCATATTGTTCATAATTTGTTTGTTTCTACTCCTTGCAAATGCCAAAATAAGTCAATATTGGATTATATTGTCCATCTATATAGTATTGTAAATTGAGGAGCTTTTTTTTTTTCTATTTCTAACATATCTTTGAACACAGGTTTCTGTTAAGGCATTTATATACAACTATTTGGATTATGATGCAACTAATTTTCAAATTTACAAATTTTCGTATTATTTATTTCTTATAATTTTGTATCTTGTTTATAAAATTGAAGTAATATAACATAAAAAAATAGTGGTGCAAATTGCATTATATAATCAAGCAGTTCACATTTTTTTTAATATCTGTGTTTAAGTTTTGGAGCTTCATGACTTTTTTTTTTTCAGTTTTATATTTTTATTTTTGTAACTTATTTAAAAGCTGTACAAAATATGAAAGCATTTGTTAAATAAAATGTGTATGTAAAATTCCTCAGTACCTTTATAAGTACCAGAACATCATTTAAAAAAGACATATTTTCTCCTCCACTTTTTGGAATTTTTCTTTTACCTCTTGCATATTTTCGTATGAACAATCTGCTCATAATCTTTTTTGAACTGTTTTTCATACTAATTCCATGAAACTTTAAATTTAAAAAAAAAATCAAGATTAAAATTCTTAAAATAAAATATTAAACAAAAAAATTAAATCTTTTGACTTATTAAAAAATAAAACTTTTCAACTTTTTTTCAAAGCATGTTTAAAATGATTGTAGTTCAAAGATTTATTTAAAAATAAAATAAATTGTTTGTACACAGAAAATAAATACTATTTTTTTAGACAGAAAGTTAAAAACCTACTATAATTTAATTTTTTAAAAAATAATAAAAGAAGACGGAATTGGCAAACCTGCAATTTTTTTTTAAAAAAGCATGCATATACTTTGTAAATAAGTAATTTGCTTTACTTTGTCTCTGAATTTTTTATAACAATTTGATGTTGTTATCATTACACTAAATCATTTATTATCACTTGATTCAAATAAATTCATTGTAACCAGCACAACTATATATTTTTTTCTTGTAGCCCTCATCTAATGAAGCTGTGCACCCCTTTTCTTATAAATATCAGATAGTGATGATTTAGGTTAACTCCTCAGCAGTAAAAATAAGTAATACTGTTTATTAAAACCCCAAATTATAAAACTTATAGATTCACATTTATGCAGTATTTAATAGGCTGTAGTAATTAGCAGAGTTTGTGACTTTCAAATTGAAATATATATTATGGATTAATCCCAATATCTATCCTTATAGTTTATTTTCTAAATGAAGATTCATTTATAAAAAAAATGCTATTATAGCATCTAATTAATGCTGTCATAAAATCTATTATAACAGTTATGTTTAACTTAATTTTAAAATTTATTTGGTATGTCTTTATTATTTAGCTTTGGAATGAGCTGTGTGAGCTAATATCCAAAAACCCAGAAAAGGTGAAATCTCTTAATGTAGACGCTATCATACGTGACGGTTTGAGAAGATTTTCGGACCAAGTTGGACATTTCTGGAATTGTCTTGCTGATTATTATATTAGAAGTGGCTTGTTTGACAGGGTAGGTATTAATACTAATTTATTAACAATTTCATAACATGTTTAAATATTTATTAGCTTCTTTAAACTTGTCATATGTTAAAAAGGCTAAGCCACATGTTTTTCTATAAAAACATATGCTTTTTAATTAGTTTATAAAATAATATGTCAAAAAATGCAAACTGTTTGACTTTAATTAAGAGAAAATGTTTTACCAAAAAGGGAAAAGAAGAGCTCAATAGAGAGCAAACAAATGACTATCAAGGCTGTCTGAAAAGTTTGCAATCTCAATATAAAGATTACACTAGAAGTCAACAGAAGTAGAGACTAGTTTCAGCATGTGTTGATAATTCCCAAAGAAAATTATTGCTATTTTGAGCACAAATTATTTTTGCAGAAATTAAAAAAAGAAACTGAGCTGTCGTTGGATGCTTGTGTTTTTAAAGTATTACACCTACACAAATTTAAGGGATTGGATGATGCATACTGGGAAACTGTATTATTATTTATTATTGAGAAACATCGAGCGATAAAATTTTTCTTGAAATCTCGAACTTATATGTGGCTGTGCGGGATTCATACATCTCATGGAAAACTTGGGATTTTTAATTAGCTTAAAAAATTGCAAATCATCTTGAAATATTAAAATTTTTCTAAAAACCTGGAAAAATTTATTGAGTACCTAGAAAAAACTGTACTCTAATGTGTGATTTTCTTTATACCTTTTCTGTCATATATAAGGTTTGAAACTGATTCTTTATTAAATTTAATAATCAGGAATTAAATTGGCATCTGCAATAATGCACATTTATTACTCTTTCTTCCTAAGTTTTTTACAATTGAAAAACTTGTAATCACATTCATTGACTAGCTAATTCAGAAGTTAAGAAAAGCCAGAGATTTTTTTTTTCTAAAATTGAATTGGAACCCTGTTAACATTAATTTTAGGATTGTGTTAAATTTTCCTATAAACTTTAAGAAATATATAAATTGTCATTACTATTTTTTTATTTATTAAATTTTCTAATTTTAGGCACGTGATATTTATGAAGAAGCTATCAACACAGTAATGACTGTGCGAGATTTCACTCAGGTATTTCTTTTAATTATTTGTTTCATATTCTTTGAAAATTTACAAAATTCGACAAGTTTTTGTAGTTTTCAAACAAATGTTATTTTTGATTTTTTCTTCTGATGCTGGGAGTTGCTTCGCAACTTTATCCAAGTTATTTTCAAAATTTAAACAAGTTGTTTCACATAAGTGTTTTGAAACTTTATATTTTTAATATTATTGTTGTAAAAATGATTTGTAGAACATTTTATGGATGGAATTTTATTGAGATGAGATTAGATGTATTTTGAAAAATGTCAACTATGAAACCTAATTTTTTTAAAGTAAAAAACATGGTTGGTATGCAGCAGTTAAGAAAATATAGATATTTCTTTGATATAAATTAGATTGCTCTATTTTAATTCTGCATACCGAATAAAGCTTTAATAGAATCTGTTAGTTTTTAATGTTATTTAAAAACAGTATTCTGACTAAAATACTCAATATTTCTTACTAAAATGATTGAATTATTAACTAATTATTACAAGATAATTGTATTAGCTTTTATTACATTTCAAAACTCTCATGAATTTATAAATACTAATACCCAAATATGTTATGTTGAATAAAAAATAAATTGATACTAAGTAACTGGTGGTTTTTACATTTTCATTTTTACTGTTTCAAAATGTTCACACTTTTTTTTATTTACAAATGTGGCTTAAATGACTTCACACATTAGCCAAATATATAACATAGACACTTCATACTAATTTTCCTCTCCATTCAGAAAACTGTGGTATAAAAAGTAATTTTTATCTTATCGATTTTTATATAGGTTGATGTTTCAGCACTTAAAAATCAGGTGCTTTTTCTAAGCATTTTCTGCGTGCACAAACAAATGAGAGGATAAAAATAAAAATCACAACTTTCTACGAGCAGAACCCCAGTTATGCTAAATCTGAAGAAAATTTTTTTTAAATTTATGATGTCAGATTAATTTTTTCTCCATTATTTATTACACAAACTACATGTTCCATAAGTTTCTTTGTATTTTAAACATATTGGTATTTAAATAAACATAAAACTAAATTGATGTAATTGAAAAAATTTTATTGAAAAGCAAATTATTTTACATACAGCTATTGGAAAGTTATAATTTAAAAGTTTCACATCACTTTAATCTGCTTTTCGTCTTTTTTTTTCTTCTATTTTGAACATCAAATTTACGTAATATCTTTCTTCTGAATCCTCTATTATCCCTCTCCCTAATCCTCCTCTCCCTCTATTGTTATTGCTTCTATTGATAAAATGTTCAATATCAGTAAAATGAGACTTTTATAAAAATTATGTTTATTATTCATTAGTTATAATTAACTATGAATTATTTACGAACAATTAAATTACATTGAAAAATGTTTTGTAATGAAATCAATGGTTTTAAAAAAAATCCAGTGATTTAATAAACCATGCCAACCCTGGAAAAAATTATCTTGATCAATTTCTGAATCAGATATTAATATTTAAAAACTATGTTTAACAACTTTGAATAATTTCAGTTCATTTGAAAATACTATTTGAAATTTCACACATGACTGAAAATGGCCGTGTATTAAAGCATAAATCTTTGAGAATTCATTTTCATGAAAAAGAAATATTCTTTTTTGTCTTTAGCTATTAATAGAGGTTTCAAGATACTTTTTGGTTAAGATGAAAAAATATTCTTACATCAAATATTTCATGTCAGTTATTTATGTTTGTAAAATAATTTTTTTTTTCTTTGATATTTTTTTTCCTTTTTGTTCTTGAAAAGGGAATTTTTTTTTTCTTTAAGGTTTTTGATGCCTATTCTCAATGTGAAGAAAGTCTCATAAAAGTCAAAATGGAAGAAATAGAGAATGGGGCTGTGGCTGCTGAAAGTAAGCATTTAGTTTCCATCAGAATTTTTTTTATGCTTAGTATTTTATTAAATATATGTCAAGTTATAATGAAAGGCATTTGCTCATATTTTTATGCATTATTTACCATTAAAAATCTAACATTTATGTAAGCTAGCTACTCTGGAGATCTCAATATAGTGATTTCTATGGAAATTGTACTTATGTTTTATTTGAAAAGTCCCTTTTCCCTTTTATTAGTTATAGGCTTGAAATTCTCCAAAACAAGCTTGCAATTTTCGACGTTGTGCAATGTTATTCTGCTTCTTTTTTATTTTATGCCATATTTTTATTTTTCACAATTTTCACCACATGTGTAGATATGAATGAATGTTTCTACCATATATTTTGTATCATACACTTTCCTAAATTTAAGAAAATTAGCAAAATATAATCTATTAAATTTAATGTTATTGTTAATTGAAATTTTTTTTTCTCTTGATTATTTTTGTTTTCTGATGATTAAAATTTCATATTTTTTTACAGATGTCCTTCATTTAGATTTGCTGATGGAAAGGTATGATTATTTGTTAGAAAGAAGACCTTTATTATTAAACAGGTAATTTTTTCCTATCTTTCAAAAAATTTATATTTAGATCTACCATATAATATACTCTGAAGCATCCCATAATGTAACTTTTCTTAACTTTTTTAGTGTTTTATTAAGACAAAATCCTCACAATGTCCATGAATGGCACAGACGCATAAAGTTACTGGAAGGCAAGCCCAAAGAGGTAAATTATGTTTTAGACAGGTGTTTAATTTAACATATCTAAATAAAAGCTGAATGTGTAAACATTAATAACACTGCATAACTTTAATAGTTATTGAGTGTTTGATGACATCTGCTTCAGAAAAAAATTTGGAAATCTCAAGAAATGTGTAATTTGCTTAAAAAATCTGAAAAATCTCAGAAAAAAAGAAAAGTTTAAGGAAAAGGTGAAACTTTTAAAACGTTTCTTTTTCTAGGATAAATTTTAAAATATCCTTTAAAACACATGCACAAATTGCACATTTTTTTCTTCTTTTAAATAACCAGAAACGGTGTGGATTTTATTGCTTGTGCATTTTTTAAAACTTGTAGTGGATGACATTTGATATTAATACAATTTTTTCAACTATTAATTCATTAATTAAATTTGATTAAATAATTTTAGTTTTGTATGGGAGAAAAAATTTTAATTATTTAATAAAAAGTAACTAAAATGAAATTTTTCTTTATTGACCTAAGTAGGAATTGACTTTAAAATTTTATATATATATATATATATATTTGTTTTATTTTAGATTATTAGTACATATACTGAAGCTGTACAGAAGGTAGATCCAAAGTCGGCTTGTGGAAAACTGCATACATTGTGGGTATCATTTGCTAAATTCTATGAATCCCACAAGCAAATAGATGATGTAAGATTAATTTTATTTAACTAGTTTTGCTTAAACATAATTTTTCTCTCTCCATATTTTAATTTTATTTTTTATTTTGTTCTGTATTATAGGCTCGTATAATTTTTGAAAAAGCCATCCAAGTGTCTTATACTGAAGTTGACGATCTTGCATCGGTTTGGTGTGAATGGACAGAAATGGAAATTCGTCATAAGTAAATCAAATGTTTTGAATTATTTTAGTTTTAGACATTTTATCTCTATGTAGCAGGGTTTGAAAATTATATTGCCTAAAGCATTTAAAAACTCTGTTTGAGCATGTAGGACTGTGTACCAAAGTCAAAATTTTGGATTATTTTTCATTCATGAACCAATATAATATTGATGGTGACCATCAATAATTCCATCATGAACCATTATATTTTTTTATAATAACCAACACAAGTAACCATCACCCCAATGTAGGAATTCGGACTGATTTATGATGGTCCAACATAAGAATAGCAACTCGTTTTGACGGTTTGTTCATTTTGAACCATCAGAAATTTCCACCAGAGTTTCCTAGAAATCAAATGTTGGAACCATCATGAGCCTCCATCACCCCAATGTAGGAATTCAGACTGATTTATGATGAGCCCACATTAAAAAAAATTGTTTTGATGCCTGCTGAACCAACAAGAATTATTATTAAACCAACATAAAAATGCATAGTTGTACCATTAAGGACCATCACAATTCGTATCGAACAGCCATCATTTGGATTTAAACCCTCGCCTCACTGGGAGGCGAGCTCTCTATTCTCTAGGCCACCAAACTCCTCTCTATATATAAGAGATTAAAAGCAATTTGAACGACATGGAAGCAAAGTAGCTGGCCGCAAACAGAGCTCAATGCTTCAATTTAGAGTGAAGAGGAATATATATATATATGTATACGCACATTTATAGAAAAATCAAGGTTTGACTTGCCTACTTGCTAAGCATCTAGTATGTTATTAGAGGCAGAATTAATTTTTTTTTTTGTCATTCTTATGTAAGAAATGTTCCTTATTTTGGGAAACATACTCGTTTTGATTTATAGCTTTTAACAAATTTATTTCATTATCTGTGATTTAATATGTCACACATTCATTAGTGTATTACAAGCAGTATATAAGCTTTTTCACTTTTAAAGGAACTATTAAAATAAAGTGTACATTGGCAGGTTATCAGTTGCTTTTTGAACTTATATTTAGCTTTTATAAATATTCTCCCCTGTTATTAGAAATATTTTTTGACTTGTTCATTTTTTAATAAATTCAAAACTTCATCGAAGATTTACTTAGTCTATCATTTGGTATTTAATCCAGGCTTTGTATGAACTGATAATGTCTCATTTCATAGTTAACAAAACCTTATTTGTTGGATTGGTATTTTAAAAAAATAATATTGTTAAATGAAAAACTTTAATTGTCATGGAATCAATTGAAGTGGTGTAGAACAGTTTAGTCTAATAATAAATTATATTAATCAGCGAAACCTATGAAACTTTTATATTAACAAAATGGATAGCGATTGTCTCCCATGAAACTGATATTATTTAATATACATGAATTACTTATTATAATTTTTAAGAAATTTAAACTCTTTTAAAATTATGACATTAGTTGTTCTAACATTGAGTTACCGATTCATTTATTAAAATTATAAGTAAACAAAACATTTAATGTTAGTTATAATAAATGTAATGCAATACATCTCCACATCAACTCTTTAAGAACACCCCTCCAGTGTCTTTTGAAAATTCTATGTGTTGCATAAAATACATTACTGTTATAAAATACATTATCAAATTTTAAAAATGTGTGACATATATGCGTGCAAAATCTTTATATTAACTTAAAATTAAAAATATTTATTTTTTTAATAACAGTAATTCTAAAAATATGTCATTTTATTTCAAAAACTACTGCTTAAGTGTACTTTTTTTTGTTGATAAAAAGTTATTAAATTTCAAAGAAAAATGTCTTAATTGATCTGCAAAATAGGTTATGAAAGCTCACGTCTTTAGCACTGTTATTATTTGATCAAAAAAATTTTCTTTAATTCTATGACACATACATTGTTCAGATTTTCAATGTACACAAATATCACCCATTTTTAGCATGTATAATGAAAAATTATTATTGATAATGACATTTGATTAGAGAAGATGAATTATTACAATACAAAATTATTAATTCAAGTTAAATTACAATGGAGATTCTGAATCATTTATAAAAACCATTGTTTTATAAGACTAAGAATTATAGCTTTGTATTTGTTTTACTTTATTTAATTTATGTGTTTTCTGCTTAACAGTAATTTTGAAACTGCTCTGAAGCTGATGCATCGAGCCACTGCTGCACCTGTTCATAAAGGATCGTATCATGATCAAGTAAAATTTTGTCCTTTTATATTTTTAAATAAATTATATTTTATTTTTTAAACATCATTGCTACTACAAGAAAATTTCACGAATTGGATTAATTAGTCTCTTTTTGACATGACGATACGACTTTTTTTTATCCACTTTTTCACATTTTCGTATATTTATTAAAATCCCAATATTTTTAATATGGTATTATTTATTACAACACATAAATCCCCCTAACCCCTTTTTAACACGCCTGATTCGTGTGATTTCGTCGTAAATATATGTGATTATATCATCAATCTTTTTTTAGCTATTGCTGTGGATTTCACAAAATTTTATAAATTTCACTTTTGTGCATTAAAATGAGTTTCATTTATCTTCTTTGTACAGTGAAAAAAAAATGAGCATTAAAAATATCTACAACTTGAGAAAAAAATATTCAGATTTCTTCTTCAAGCAATCACATGTTTGATTATTGTTTATTCTTTCCTTGCTATTATTTCTTCTTTATTTTTAACCACTAAGGTTTATGTATATATAATATGTATATTAATTATTTCAGTCTTTGCCCGTGCAAGAAAGACTTTACAAATCTTTAAAAGTGTGGCTCCTGTATGCAGATTTAGAAGAAGCTCTAGGAAAGTTTAAGGTTAGAATCAGCTAGTTTCAATTTAAATTTAGAATTCTTTTTTAATAATTTATTAATTCTCCAATGTTGTGATGTAATAAGTTATTTTTTTTTATTATTATTATTTAGTCTATTAAAGCAGTGTATGACAGAATCATTGATTTGAGGATAGCAACTCCTCAAGTAATCATCAATTATGGCTTGTTTCTTGAAGAAAACAATTACTTTGAGGAAGCTTTTAAAGTAAGTTAGTAACAATAATCAATTGAAATAATTTGTCTTTAAATTCTTATACCTTCTTAATGTTTGTTTAACTCTTTAAATTTATTATATTAGGCTTATGAAAAAGGAATATCACTCTTCAAATGGCCAAATGTGTATGATATATGGAATACATATTTAGTAAAGTTTTTAAAACGTTATGTAAGTAAAAATATATTTTCCTCAATATTAATCAATTAAACTATATTCTTTAAGCAATCTGTAATAATACAAAACATAACCTATAGAATGCAAATAATCTTATTAATTTTTGTATACCTGTTGAAATAAGATATATTATTGCTCTAATTTTGATAAATTTGTATTTGTAAAAATTTATAAACCAAGTTTTCGTTAGTTACGTAGAACTGATGTAAACCAAATTAAATGGTATCATTGTGTGTTCAAATTTTGCAAAATTTTAATTCGGTTTATATCCACTTGATTTTTTGTCATGTTTGAGATACAAATCTGAGTAGTTTACTAATCATTTTATCGGCATGATGTAATTAAATCTTGTAAAATAAAACAAAAGTAGTAAATTAAATCTTGATCCATTTCCTCTTTTCTCTTCCTTTAATTGTGGTGCAAATTTGTGTAATTTTCTTGTTGCTTTGTTTTACAAATCATTCGATGCAAATCTATACTATTTTAAAATCGGGAATATAACTTAAATGCAGCTAATAATCAATTTTATTTTGTTTTATTATTTATCTGAGAATTTTATTTTATTACAAATCTGAGAAATCTTTAAATCATGTTGTGCGAATACGCATATTTATGTGATTTTTAAATTAGGAGTTTACAGGACTGATTTTTTTACCTTTAATTGTGGTGCAAATCTGTGTGATTTTCGTGTTATTTATTCATTTTTTTTCTTTTAATAAAAGACAAATCTGTACTATTTTGAAATTAGAAATTTAATTTTAATACAGTTGATAATCAAATTTATTTATTTTACTTATTCAGGGTGCAAATCTGAGAAATCTTCTTATCATGTGCGAATATACATATCTATGTGATTTTTAAATTAAGAGTTTGCAGGACTGTTTTTTTTCCCCTTAATTGAGGTGTAAATCTGTGTACCTACTTTTCTTTTTGCTGTAATTTTTCTGTTGCTACTTTTTTTCCTTGCTTTCTATTAAGATTCAAATTTAAATGATTTTTAAATCCCGAAATTTGAAATTTTATACGCTTAATAATCCATTTTAGTTATTTATTTTACTTATTCGGGATTCCAATGTGTGAAAGCTTCTAATCATGTTGCACCAACATACAAATCCATTTGATTTTTAAATAAGGGATTTTAGAAATTATTTTATTATTATTATTATTGCAATAATGTGACTGCACTCATGTTTACAGTATAATAATAAGGAAATTTTTGTTTTATTAAATAACAAGTTACAGCCTTCCATGATAATTTTTATTAATTCATAAATGTGACTTTTAACAGTTTCATGTTTAAAGAATAACTGCTTTAATTTTGTTTCGTAGCACTATTCTCTGTTGTTTTTCTAATCAAGCCATATACTCTTCACATGACTATAATTTTCAAATTAGGCAGTTAATAAATTTATTCACGTAAAAAATTATTTGTAAAGTTATCACATTTCTCTCAGGTATTACCACATTGTAATAGTGAGTGTTTTTGTTTATTATTATTATTTTTAAAAATTTTCTTTTCTTTCATAATTTTTAAAAGGCAATATGGTTTGAATAATCCAGAAATTTAAAATAATGGAACTCTACTGTGCTTGCCCAACCTTAATATTAAAAGAAAGTGTGATTATGCTTAATATTGCAAGTTTGTCATAGTACGATATTCTGCAATGATTTCTGTCAAGAATCTGTTTTGCTTCTAAAATCTGAATAATTTTTGAGATTTTGCAATTTACATATAGATTGTTAATAATTTAATGTTTTTTTTTGTTTTCTTAGTGCTCTGAAGCTTTAAAATTTTTATTTTATTTTTTAATAAAACATTTTAGAGAATAGATTCAATAACAAAATGGCATTTTAAGAGTATCTGGATTCTTAAAGAACTATTATTTGAAATCAATAGAATGGACAAAACCTTATTCCTGTGTTTCCTTCCTAGCTAATCGATATTTGTCAGTATCTGCAAATAACGTTAATGTTGAAATATCCATTTTTGAAGTATAAAAATGTGTCAAGTCATGAATAGTACAACATAAATGAGAATAATTTAACAATGTGCATTATTTTGTACTAAAACTCTTCAGTTGAATAAAAATACAATTATCGCAAAATGTTAAAAGAAATAATTTTTTTAAGCCTCTTATAAAGTTATGTTCAGCTTTTTTTATAGATTTGCATTATTATTTTTACCAAGTTTATGTCTCTCACTGCCTATATTGTGTATTTTTTTTACGTTATTTGTGAACTCACTTGATGTTGTACTCTATTGACATTCTTCTCCTTTTAAGGGTGGAACTAAACTAGAAAGAGCTCGAGATTTGTTTGAACAATGTCTTGAAAGATGTCCAGCTGAATTTGCAAAATGTAAGTTAATATTTATTTGATTTATATTTGTTATTTTTGAAAACTGGGAAAGATCCGGGAATTTTATGAATAGAAAAATCGTAGAATTAAACTAAATACCCAGCAGAAAATCTGGAAAAAGGAATAAGTTTATGTTTGTGGTATCTAAAACTCCAATATTTTTACCAGAAGAATTGGTTTGGTAATAATATTTTTTTTAAAAAAAGTTGCTTATTTTGAACCTTACGTATAACTGTTTTGTAATACATTTTACATGAACGAATAACTTGCAACTGAAAAATTAATCATTAATTTTTCCATCTTTAGAGGTTATTGTTTTCTGAGTGTACACTGGAATTCCAGGTTTTTCGTATCTTGCCTCCGGGTCTAGGAGCAGGACATGAGATTTTTTTCACAGATGTCCGTGCATCAAAACTTATAATCCGACAAAATTTTAACTTAATCTGAAATTTAAAGTAAGAATTAAAAGCTCTACTATTTAAATTTTAAAACCTTCCCTAAATCCTGTTAATGAAACCTTTTCATACACATGAGTCTTCCACAATTAAAAAAAATTTTTTTTGTCAAATTTTCTTCATTTTTAACATTTGAAACTATGGCGGAATCCGCTAATATTGTGATTCATATTCACATGATTTTAATATCAAATTTTGTATTTACCTAATTTAAAAGTCACTCATTGTGAATCGCATTCACGCAATTTAAAAATCCAATATCATAATTTGAATTTGCGCGTTTTTGAATTTAATATATTTGTATTCACTCTATTTAAGAATCCAATATCACGACTCGTATTTTTTGCGTTCTGAAATCCATTATCGCAATTCATACAATTTTAAAATTAGATATTGCGATTTGTATTTTCACGTTTTTAAACTTTATATCGCAATTCATATTCACGCAATTTTAGAATCTAATATTGTGATTCTTGTAAGAACTAAATTTTTTCTTACTTTTGTTACTATAAAAATTTGATATTCTTTAGTAGGCAATTTAATTATAAATCTTAGTTCAAAAATTTTTTTTAAATATTAATAGTACATAAATTGATATCTTCTTATCTAGTTTACACATGAAATTTTCAGGCTTTCTCACTTTGTATCACAATCACCCCTGTCTCATTATTTCTCATGATGAAACCTTCAACTTCGATGGGATCAGACTTATAAAAAAGTTCACAACCTTGGGAATATATAACCTTGGAAATTGTCCTAAATAAATTAATTAAAAAATTTAAATAATTTTTTTAAAAAGTCAGTTGATTTAAATAATGCCAACCCTGATTTTCTAACATTCTATTTTTTAATGCAGCAATATATTTACTGTATGCTAAATTAGAAGAAGAACATGGTCTAGCAAGGCATGCTATGTCTGTCTACGAACGAGCTACTAGAGCCGTTCTTCCTAAGGAGCAGTTTGAGGTATGTAACATTTTTAACCCATTTAAAATTATAATAAGGTTAAAGCCAATAGTGGAGGTTTAGTAGTAACTAGATGATGAAAGCCTTTATTTAACAATTAGTTTTAATTAAAAAACAAAGTATATGCATGGTATAAGTTAAAGTTTTTCCACTTTTAAAAAAATTAAACTTTAACAAGTTTCTACTTTCTGTGAGAAAAAGTCTATTTTATTATCTCTTTACTACATAAATATTACTTAGCTTTTTTTTTTCTAAAACAATTCCTAAAATTAATTTCTTTTGAACATGTTTTGTCAAAAATATCCTCTTTAGAATAATTGGAAATGACAAAAATTCTAAATCTTTTGAAACCCTGAATCAGTACCTGAACATTTTGTCATTTTGAGTTACAATATTTTTAAAAGTGTATTGAATTACTTACAAAATTCATTGGGAAACATAGAATAAGAAAGCATTTTTTTTTTTTAAAGAAAACTATGTTTTCTTATTCTATGTTTCCCAATGAATTTTGATTAATAATGAGTATTTAAGGACCAGCATGTTGTGCTCTCATTCATTATCTTATGAATCTAAAATTTTCAGAAAACTGGAGTTAACTGGAATATGGTTTATCAAAGTGATTTTTTATTTAAAACAATAACAAAATTTTTGAACTGAAATAAAGATTGAAATTTTACTTCTTCCTTTCAATAAAAACTTCATTTTTCTGATTTGCCAATTTTTTTAAAAAAATTATGAAATATTAAAGTATGCAGATATAATTGTTTAAATAATCCCCAAGTTTGTTGTTTGCAACATAAAAAGTCACTGTTATTTTATCTAAAAACAATTTTTAAAGCTTTTTAAAAATTGATCATAGGAAACTTTAATTATTGCTGACACTATGGCACTAATAGATAAGGGTAAAGATTTAGAAGAGTGTATATATTAGAATTACTAAATATATTCTAAATGTAATTTCATGTGTACATTTGAATAATAAATTTGTAACAGCATTATTTTTAATCAACTTATGTTTTGCTTGCAGATGTTTAACATATACTTGAAAAAAGCAGCTGAAATATACGGAGTAACGTATACACGACAGATTTATGAGAAAGCCATAGAGCTATTACCAGATAGTGAAGCAAAGCAGATGTGCTTAAAGTTTGCTGATTTGGAGAAGAAATTAGGCGAAATCGATAGAAGTAGAGCTATTTATGCTCACTGCAGCCAAATGTGTGATCCAAGAGTAAGAAATAAAATATATTATCTTTATAAGATAGTCAATCACCAATTTTATAAATTTTTTATAAGAAAGAAATTAAAAATTAATTAATAAAAGAAAATTGTATAGCTGTCTATGAGAAAATAAATTAAAGCTATGTTCATTAAAGATTTAACAGAGTTTGTAAATTTTTTTTGTTTTATGAATTCAAATTTTCTTTTAAATATTTTATTATATAACCGGCATTACAAGTCATTTTTGGGTTTATGACTATCAACTCTGTAGCCTTGTAATTTTGAACTCTACCCAGAAGATAAGGGAAATCCTCAAACAACCATTGGGACAAGCTAACTATCATGGAGAACCTTTAGATAGAACTAAATCACTTATGCGTTACATTGAGAGGAAAACCACGAAAAACTTCCACGGTTTGCCTAAAAGCAAGAGAACTGGTCTGTCTACGTCAGAAGATGTTTTATGTCAGCACCATGGTCGGTGTAAACTGGGAGTAGAATTCGCATTAATCTCTGGGATACAAACCTCGGTCACCTCTAATTTAGAAATTTATTTCATAACCATAGGTGAACAACCGACCTAATTTTGAGTTTACATCTACCAATATTTTCTTTGATCTCCTTCTTACGACAACCAAATAATTTTCTTTGTTTTCTGCTTTATTGACTTAGCAACCAAATCTCTGCAATCTCAGCTTCCAATTTTTGCTGATCTTTTTATTTTTAAAGTGTTAATAAAATTTTCATGTTAGCATCTTTATCTTCGTTTGAAAACGTTTATTTTTAATGTTCTTTACCATCTCTACTTATAAATATTTATATGTTAAATAACATAAAAATAAGAATTTAGTTACAGATGAAAAAATATGTTGTTAAATATGCATAATAAAATGTATTAATAATATATTTATATGTTAAGTAATTTAAATAAATGAATAAAAATCCCAATAATATTTGTTAAAAATACTAAGTGTTTGCATAATTAAAATAATTCCTACTTACAAACCTATTATATCTCTACTACTGCAAAGAATCTTAACCATAAACTGTAAAACATTATAGCTATGCATTGATAGATTACTACGAAAGATAGTAAAGGGAAAGTTAATAATGAAATTCTTGAGAATAAATAAAAGAAGGAGATAGAAGAAAAAGAAAAAGACAGTCACAAGAAATCTGCCCCTTTTTATACGCCACCACAACAAAATTTATTGTTTACTCCACAGTGTAGCTCCGCAAAATTACTGTACTTTTATTTTAGGGAATAAAACTACTGAAAGATTTATTTATTACAAAATTGGAGTCATTTTCTTTGTGTTGGAATTATTTAAGAAAAATTGTGTGTCTTGATTTCTTATTTTCCAATTCAAACAAGGTAAACTTTAAAATATTTAACTTTCACATCATACTGTTAAAGAGTAAAATTTAAAGTTTCACTTTATTTTATTGTTCTGTTATTGAATTTATAAGAAAGGTATCATAATGCAAAGTTAAGCAAAGGTTTATAATTTGCTTTGTAATAACACAAATTAATTTACTGTTCTTTTGTTGTAAAGCACATTTGATTACACAAAACCATTAACACATCTGTTGTTATTTTCATTTCAAAGTTTAAACATAAAATAAACAGTATTGCATAAAACAAAAGTTTTAATGACTCAATTATCATGTTTATTTTAATTCGAACTTATCTTCAGTATTTTAGTGTTACTAAATTTATTTTTGTTGTTTGTTACATTAAGAACTACTTTATTATCATAAATATATCATTTTACCAACTAGGATATATTTTATAATTGAAAAATTAATTAAGGTCACAGATGTGTTTCGATTTGACTTAAAAAAATATTAAACTTATTATTTTAACTTAAATTATAATTTTAACTTTGACTGAACTTTCTGACACTGTTTTAGACTAACCAAGACTTTTGGAGGACGTGGAAAGAGTTTGAGGTTCGTCATGGTAATGAAGACACTATGCGAGAAATGTTACGCATCAAGCGTAGTGTCCAAGCAACCTATAACACCCAAGTGAATTTCATGAATGCACAAATGTTAAGTGCTGCTGTTGCAGCTGCTCGCATTGAAGGTATTCAGTTACTTTTTATTCATATATATATGTTACTGGCAAAGTATGAAACGCCAGCATTGTATATAATACCTAGGCATTCTATAGAATACAAATGCTATTTAGGCGAAGTATAAAAAAATGTCCTGATGAGGTTATCATAGCTGCCAACCCTTCTGTATTTTGCAGAAGCTTTCTGCATTTTTACTTATTTTAGCTATTTTTTCCTCTTTTATGCGCAGAAGATAAGATCTTCTGCATTTTACCCATCTGCCTGATAGCTAGTATTTTCTTTAAGTCAGACGTCGCTGTTCCTCTTGTAACAGCGTTTGGCAGGGCCGTAACTACATTTTTAATCGAATATTGTACCATCAAGTAGCTGGTCGAAAGTTTTTTTAAAAGATATTTCCTTTTTTGTTTTAAAAAAAGATGAGTATTGCTTTTTTTTTTGCTAATATTAAGTGGATTTATAAATAAATAATTAATTAAAATAATTAAAATCCGCTTCTTTTATAAATTTATTGGTAATTAGTATGTGCTTGCGAATCTTCTGCATTTTTACTCATTTCTTCTGCATTTTATTTGTCTATCTTCTGCATTTTTATAACTAGAGGTTGGCAGCTATGGGTTATTAAGTTAATGATGTGCATTTCTCAAAAATAAAAATTTTATTCTGAAAAGATAATGAGAGTGCCATTAAAACAAATGTATTCAAAATGTGTTAAGAAAAAATGAAAGATGTACAAAACACACTTTATGCCTTTCTTTAAGGAAACAAAATTTTCATATAAAAAATAAGAAATTTACTTACTTGTTGCATCATGGTAGGCTTGAATGACATTTTGAATTACAGAAATAAAGTGAAATCTGAGATGTATTTTATACTTTGCCGGTTTCTTTATTGGCATTCTATAGAATGCGTAGGAAATGTGTTAAATATAAATCGTTTAAATATAATTATACATTGCCGGCTAGTTTTAGGCATTATGTACAATGCCTTCAAACTTTGCCGGTAACACACAAATATATATTAAATTAATATTTAGAAATTTTTTTTAAAAAATTTAAAAACCATTATATTCTAAAAAAAATCTGCCGATAAAAATTAGAGGAGATACGTATAATATACAATACAAAAAGATATTAAAAAATTGTGCGTACTTTAATCATTGAGCTGTAGAAAAAAACTAATGGAAAAAGGTGGGGTTATCAATGCTAAGAATAGATTTTATACTAAATCGATCTAATAGAAATAAAATTTTATACTTAGCCAGAATTTTCAGCCGTGATTGACATTAATTTTACGTGGTTTTTAGATCTCCCAATATATTTCAGGCGATATAGGAAATTCGAATTGCCCATTTATGGTAATGATTCTGTCGATTTTTTTGGCAGTTTTTGCTTTTGAATTCCACATAGCTTGTAAAACCCGATATTATTTATTAAAACAATCAAATCTTGAAATGAAACATGCCTTTCTGAAGAGTCTGATTTACGTGATTTTGTCATCAATCTGTTTTTCCGTAATTACTGTTACAGATTTCATGATATTTAATTACTTTTTTAATGTGATGATAATTTTTAAAATGCCATAACGGAAATAATTGGTGCATCCTTCTCCCAATATTAAAATCAAAAATAAATTACATATTCAATTAAAAAAATCATTGTTTTTTTTTGTAAATACAGCAGTTTTGTTACCTTAAATTAGTATTATACATCTTTGTTATTATTGAAAATATCTTTCAGAAAGATATTATTGCTAGGGAGTTTTATCGCAGATAGCTCGAAAAAATTCTGCCACAGGAATGGGAGGGGGGTTGGGATTTCCTTTTGTGTGCTGATAAGGAGAAAAGAAATACCTAAACTGCTAAAAACATGTCCACATAATATTTGATTGAAAAATTTCATAACAGTTTGATATCCCACTCATAAATTTTTTTTATTTCTACTAATTTAAATATCTTAACAATCTGTTTTCTTCCAGTAATGTCTTGTGGCAAACAATAAGATTTTTATTTGTATTGTTTTCTGCATGTTTATTGTTTTATAGCTTTTGAATGATGGAATATAAACAAATTGTCCTATTTAAGGATAAAAAGCATTATTTGGCTAACCTATTAAAAAATTATGGTAAAAGGTAATGCTGAAAGGTATATTTTGTTGAAGGTAGAAAATGAGAATTTGTCCCTCCCAAAAAGCTATTGCTGGGGTAAAACTTAATAACAGTTTGATTGTCTTTGGAATCAATTGTTTATTTTGTTAATAATTGTTTATCTCATTTGTAATGTTTTTTTCCCTGATACATTTTAGTCCCTGAAATTGAACCTAATGTGATGCAAAACTTAGAGGCTCAGGCTCAAGCTATTTCAAATACTGGAGAGCCATCATTGATGAGCAGAGGAAAGGTGTTGTTTGTTAGGTAAATATAATTGACTAAAACTTAAAAGTTTTATTTGTTTATTATATTAAATCCTGGATTTTGATGACATTTTTATTTTTGACATTTATTTCATGGCATATATTTATTTTAGTATCTCTTGGGCATTTTTTATTTTAAGGCTTTTTTTTTTAAATTTTTGATATTCCTATTAATATTAGGGTAATTTTTGAACTCTTTTTAATTAATTCTTACAATTTTCATAAATTACTCCTGTAGCCTGTTCTTGTCTTAAATAACTTAGAAGAGCTTTAGTTGATTTACAGCTGGTTACAAAAGTACAGTGTGTTTAACAAATGCCTGCACCCAAACCATCTAAATCTAGCTATTTTGAGAAGTTAATTTTTAATGTGGAGAAAATGATTGAAAGAGGTTCTTTCACATTTGAAAACATTAAAAAGCATTTAATAATCCAATTAAGCTCTGATATCTTTTAATTTCTTAAAATTGAATTTTTGAAATATATACCAGTACAATATAGATGTTAAGAACTATGAGTCAATGTAGATGTTTAAAAACTATTTTTCTTTCTTTTTACTAGAGAATTTTTTTATTTATGTGCATTTTTTGATGTTTTTAAGGGCAATTTTAACTGTTTCTAAGTCATCAAAATCTGGGCTCTATTTATTATTAGCTTAATTTGGATTAATGTACTATTTGTTGTTCAGAGGTGAAACAACTGAAGAAGAGAAGGCCATGATTGAAGAAGCTCAAGCTTCCAATCCAGCTGAAATTGATCTGGATTTTGACAGTGATGAAGATGAAAAAATTGAAGGTATGTTCTGTCTATATCAATTTACTCTGTACATGTAATATTTGTCAGATATATAAGGCGCTCAAAATAAAAAAAAATACTTTAATAAACGTTTGTGTACAAAATACATTTGTGAACTGAGAAGCAATCTTAAGAGGTTCGTTCATGGAGGTGACCTAATTTATGCTAATTAATTTATCCATCACTTTAAAAAAAATTTTCAATGTAGTTCTATAGTTTAAAATGTATTATTATGATTTATTTTCAATATTTCGACTATTAATATGTTTGTAAAATTTAACTGTTAACTTAATTTCTTCTGATTAACTTAATTTCTAAGTTAGAATCACAAACCCTAGTTTTTAGTTTTTAACACAACATTTCTTATAGTATTTTTTACGTTTTAATTTTCTTGGATCATGATCAAATTTTAGGACATCAAAATACTCCAGTACAATGATATTGTTACCATGAAAAGATGGGAGTGTTTTTTATAAGATAAAAAACAGAGTTCCTTTTGTTTGAAAGGGAAGACAGGTGTTACTGTTTATATGTTTACAGTCTATAATTACTTTCAGCTGTATTACAATATAATTGGTAAAACAACTTCTTCTGTCGGGAGGGGGGGATGGTTCTATGAGTAGACAGCATTTCCTTATTTGTCCTAGATTAAAAGATATTGACACTGGAGATACTTTTCCATTTAACATTTATATTGGACGTGTATGTTAGATACAAAATTGTTGTGCAAGCAATTGTACTTAACAATGTTTCTCAAAGCTCTTTTGCCAAGGAAAATTTAAAAAAAAGAAACTGTAGTTTAAGTGGAGGAGTAAAGCTATAATTTTAAAAAATATGTACCTTCTTGCGAAGAAGAATTATCTGGGCTTTAGCTCAAACAAATTAAATATTTAAAAAATTATCAAACCTTTTTAAAAACCTCCAATTTAGCTAGATTATTTCAAATTATCAAATTTAATGAATAATTCTTCATTTTCACACATTTTTATGAGCCCATCAGAACAACATTGGAGTAATCTTCTAAATATTAAAAATTGAATTCCCAAATGTTTTTAAATTTCACAAAACTGTTGCTTTTTTCCGTATTGTGTCATGTTTAGAATTACCTAGAGGGCACTATTCTAGACAAAACTTTATTTAACAGTCATAAATATCAGTTGCAAATTGACTCAACAGTTATGAAAACAGCTTATTATTAGCAAAGAAACATTGTAAAACAATCTTAACCACCGAAGAAAAAAAAAATTGATGAAGATTAAAATTATGATAGTGAAAACAAAAGGTTCATTAAAAATGTTACAATCTTGAATAGCAGTATAATACATAAGCAAATGATCAAATGCAAGGTCCAGCCCTTAATGCCATGCTCTTGTTGAATTGGAATTCAAAAGTTGTAATAGAGAAGCACAATTGAGCACGGATTATCCGAAATCTGATATACTGGATTGTCCAATTATTCAGATCATTCAAGGGCCATTTGTTTTCCTTACCTTCATGAAAGTTCTTCATTTTCAGAATATCTGAAAGGGTAAAAAAAACTTCTTTTGCCCTACAGTGACCTTGGAAAGAACCTTACATTTTGTACACCCAGTTCAATGTGAGGATTTTGACATTCAAAAAGTATGAAGGAACTTAAGAAACTTAACTTATAAGAAACTTAAAAACATTCTCATAGCCGTTTTTTTAAAGTTCTCCAATTACCCGGATCGGCTTTGATCCCAGCGGATCCTAAAAATCAGCACTTAACTGTACAATGTATGCTATGATATCCAAATTACTGTAATTGGGTATTTGGCTAGACTAAAAGTACAAAAATATTTAAATAATATGCTATCCAGATTACCAGATTACTATAATTTATTTGGCTAGTTTAAATTCAACTAGATTAAAAATTCGAAAATATTTAAATCTTTTAAAATTAGTCCTGGCTCTTTTTGAAAATAAATTTTGAGTTGACCGTTGATCTAAACTGTCCAGAAAAATATTAATGACAACCAAAAGAATGACAAATAGTTCTAATGTTCTGTAATCACAACAAAATTTAGATTTGATTATAAAATTCCCTGAAAGCTTGGAAAATAAATTAAAAATTTAGCTTTAAAGTTAAAAACCCTTAATTTTTTGCTGTAATATTGCTGATTTTCAGTTTTAAGGAGTTTTGCTTATGTGCCTTCATTCTGAGTAAAGTTTATGATTATTGAAATAATATTTAAATCAGTAGTACGGGTATTATCATAATTTGCTCTTTTTTTTAAAACAGAAATTCAATTAGAAGAGAGACAGGTACCAGATGAAGTATTTGGTGCACTGAAAGAGAAAGATGATTAGAAAAACATAATTCAGAAATATTCCGCATGTAAATAACTCATCTATTGTTGTCATAAAAGAAATTGAACTGTTGTAACCTTCCACTGTTGTAAAATAAATATTTGATTTTGTGGTAATTTGTCTGTTTTCTGTTATTCATGAATTTTATTTGCTAAATTGTAAAAATAGCTAATGATGCTAACCCTAATGATAACAGTTTAAAAATTTTGCATTTTCTTGAAAAGAATTGCAGGCTTCAAAAGGAAGGGTGAATTAATAGCTAAATCGTCTATTGTTCGATAGTCTATATATAAGATAAAAATGCAGAGAAAATAAGGAAAGTAAGAAAATTAGAAAAAATAACGTTATTTTTTCTAATTTTAACTCATTTTTATTTATTTATTTTATTCCTTGTTTTCTTTGCATTTTTATCTTTTACTATGTACTTGCAGCTTATGCTTATAAATCTTTAATTCTTCATTTTTCTTTCATTTCTCTTATTTATATCTTCTTCACTACTGAAGTATAAAATAATATTGGAAAGAAAATATTTTACAGTTCTGAATTTCTATTTTACTACCATAGTAAGATAAAGCAAATATGAATTATACAGCCAGAGAGCTAATAATTTTAGGTCCACATACATGGATCTAGGGTCTTAAGTAAGTAAAAGAATATAAATATTTCAAATGTTAAATTGCAACTAAAATAGAAACAAACATGCATACTTGTTATATTTCAGGCTATTTAAATGCAAAAATGAATAGATTTATTAATAATTTAGTTTTTTTTTTAAGCACATTGAAATACGGCTTTAAATATTGGTTTCAAAACTATTTTAATTATGCATACCATTCAAAATAAATAATTAATAGAAAAGAATGTACCATTAATTATAAAAAAGTATATAATTCTTGTAGACAAAATTATGGAAAACAACTTAACATAAAACAATTTATTAAAATTCACATAAAAATATTACTCAATCGGTATAATCTCTCTAAATATATATATCTTATGTAGATTTCATAATATTACAACGTATTACATATTTGACTTCTATGCTGTTGTAAATTTCGCCATATGATACTAAGGTCCACATACGTGCATGTTCTTGACTATATTATAATTAAATATAAATTTAAAGGCTTTATGCAAATCACGGAACTACTAAGTCAGAAGAAAAAATTATTTTCAGAATAACTAAATTATATAAAATGTAAAGTTACTATCATTTTCAAGCACGTGGATTTTGTGTCATTTTTCAAAAATCACTTCTGTTTATGTGGCATTCTATCCAAATAACTTACATTTTCTGCATCTCTTGAAATCCCCAGAAAGCTTAAATGCCCACAAATGTTTCAGTGAGAGTAAAACTAAAAATAGCATGTTTTTAGAAGCGAAGGTTCACATAGGTGGACCGAAATAATAAGAGGATATACAAATTATACATAAGGTATATGTATTTACACACACACACACTGAAGATCCAAAACATTATGACCTACCTCACATTTTTCAATTAATTGGTCTGGTTGATGGCGTGAAGGGCACATGATTAAGTTTGAATGGTACTTTGCTATTGCAGAAGATAAGGAATCATTCTTGCATTTATCTACTTTTGCAAGTGATAAGAAAGGTTACTGATTCATAATAGCCCGAAAACTCAGAACAGGTATCTTCCAAACTGCACAACTGGTAACTATGATGATCTGCAGTAGTAAAAATTTATGCTAAGTAATAATGACAGAGAAACCAGAGCTGGCGAAAACCCGTTTGGCGCTCACACTTCATCAAAGAAAAGGGAGGCCGGGAACTGCCCTTGCTTGCTTGCCACCAGATTAGCTCAGCTAACAGCAAAATAGAAAGAAGGGTTTCGAAACATACAGTTCAGTGGGCACTGTGGTATATGAGACTGTGCAGCAGACATCCCACTCGTTTGCTTCTGTTGACCAAGCATCATCAACTATGCTTACAGTGGGTCCGGAACCATGGATAACTAGAAGACAGTTGTCTGGTCAGAAGAATCGTGATTTCTCATTCACCAGGTCGTATCGGACACACCTTCTTCAAGGCTAATAGGTCATACACAGGCTGGTGTTCTTCTGACCGGTTATAGGTCCCCTTTGCTGTGGTAGAACAGACACTGAAAGCTGCTGACTATCTGAACATAATTGTGGATCAGTTGCACTTATGCATGGTGTCTCTTTTTCCCAAATAGAAGTGCAATCTTCCAGCAGAGTGGCACTTAAAATCATAAGGCTTAAATTATGATGGAGTGGTTTAAAAAGCAGAATGATGAATTCCAATGAATGTCCCAGCCACCTTACTTGCCTGATCTTAATTTGATAGAGAACATTTGACGTGTCTTAGAAAGCCATATCAGATATCATACAGGGATGTGATTCTTCCGCGGATCCGCTGATTTCCGCTTTTTTTCAGATTTTTCCATATCTTCCGCTCTTTTTTTCATAAATTTCCGCGCGGAAAAAATTTTTATGCAGTAAATGATAATTTGTTGAAACTTTTTTTCTTCCGCGGAGCGAGAGTATTGAAGCCCCCAATAAACCTTTCTTCACATGTCAATCTGCTGGCTGGGGTAAAAGTGGTTGACCTTGGTAAAACAATGCCGTCTCCTCCACTACTCTCTTATCTTTACAGGGATGAAAGACTTTTTAAAATCTCCGACCATGTTCCAAAAACTTTTGGGGAGTCGAATGAACGATATAGTCGGACTTGCGACTTGTTGCTTTGACAATCGCGACTTCCGCTATAGATTGGAAAAAAGAAAAAAAGTCCTAAGCAGTTTCGTTTCGGCCGCTGATATTTGATTTCTTTTGATTGACTGATTTACAGAATTTTAAATATTAGGAACTGGGCCAGATTCTGCTAAAATTGCGATTCTTATTTAGATGATTTTTATGTAAATCATCGATTTTCTTATTTAACTGATTTAAAAGTTACTTGTTGAGATTCGTTTTTACACGATTTCAAAATCATTACTCGCAATTCCCATTCACGCAATTTAAAAATTCAATATCGCGATTTGTATTTAAGCGTTTTTAAAACCCAATATCGCGATTTGTATTTAAACGTTTTTAAAACCCAATATCGCGATTTGTATTCATATATATTTTTAAATTTCAATATTGCGTTTCGTTATCACGCGGTTGTAATATCAAACATCGAATTTCGTATTTATACGCGGTTTAAACATTACTTGTTGCGATAAGTATTCACGGACTCTAAAAATTATGCATTGTGATTCTTATTTACGTGAATTAAAAATTCAATGCCGCGATTTTTATTCCCGTGATTTTAAAATTCAATATCGTGATTCTTCTTTACGCTATTTTAAAATTGAACATCGCGATTCTTATTCACGCGATTTTAAAATCAAACATTGTGGTTCTTCACGCGATTTTAAAATCCAATATCGCGATTCTTATTCAAGCAATTTTAAAATCCAACATCGCGATTCTTATTCACCCTATTTTAAAATCGAACATCGCGATTCTTATTCACGCACTCTTAAAATCCAACATCGCGATTNTATGAAATCCGTTATTTTATAGAATACCTAGTTATTCCATGAAATAACTGATCGTGTCCGTTAAAGTGTAAAACTCTCTTGTATTTCATGGTTTAACTAGTTATTTCATAGAATAACGATCTGCAGCCCGTTAAAGTGTAAAATAATCTATATGCTAGAGCTCAAAGTTTAGGTACTTTTCAGGGCTTTAAAAAATGCTCGTGTAAAACCCAGTGTGACAACAAAAAATGTTTTTGTTTTAGAAATAATGTTCTTTGTAATTCCAAGTGTTATTTTAGGTGTCATTTTAGTAATCCTTGTTGTAACAAATGATTTTATGGTACGTTTCCATAAATACCATTTATACGCTGCATAAATTAGATAAATCGCATCTTTTTCATTTTAATCGTCTATCATTAATTTATTTATAGAATAAATAGTTATTTCATTTTAGATAAATTGTTTATTTTACACTTTAACTGTCTCTCATTAGTTAATTTATAGAATACCTAGTTATTTCATAGAATAACTAGTTAAAGTGTCAAATTAATAACATATTACACACTTTAACAGACACAATCCGTTATTTAATGGAATAACTAGGTATTCTATGAAATAACTGCATTATATACTTTAACGGTAACATATATATATATATATATATATATATATAAAGTAGTCAGAGTAGCTATAGAATAGGGGAAAAGTTAGAAAATTTTATCAATCTGGAAAAATTGAAGAATTAATTATAAAATACCTAAAATAAATCATAGAAAATGTAATAATTTGAGTTTAAAAGTTTTTCAAAAAAAAAAATTTATTTTTTTTTAAATTTATTTATTTATTAAATTTATATATTTTTTCAAAAAAAAATAGGTCTTAACTTTAAAAGATATTTCCTGATGTTGAATTTTGGTTGTTTTTTTTAATATTAAATTAGCTTCTAAAATTTCTAGTATAAATTTTGTGTAATTATACTATATTAAAATACTATACTAAACTATAGTAACTGTATTATTATTATATACAGTTACTATATTAAAATTTTATCAATTTAAAAAAAATATTTTTAAAGCCAAAAGTTGTTTCAATGTCTCTCAGAAAATTTACTGTGCAATCAAAATAAAAAAGAAAAAAAAATTTCTTCAATTTGAAGAAAAATTTTTAATACTAACAGCCACACACAGTATCATAGCATAAAGTAAAATTTGTGTATACTGCCACTCTTTACTGCGATCATGCCATTTCTCTGAAACTTTTCACTTGGTATGTTTGTTTAATTTTAATAGCAATTATTTAAAAAAAAAATTCAACTTTTAAAGTGAGTAAAACTGTTTTATAGAATGCTTTAAGTTTATGAATAACATAAGTGACAGAATGGAAAAATCATTACACACAGTCGATGCTTGACATAACGACTCTCGTAGTCAAGGCAAAAACAAGCATCATAGCGTGAGGTTCTATCGTAAGTTCTAAAAAAATTTGTAATAATAGTAAATAATACCTCACTTGTCTTGCTAAGAGTTTCAGACACCCAAATAGGCATAAGTCAAAATTTTTATATTCACAAAATACTAGTCCTGTCAGCTTGGTCTTTATGCCAATGGGTTAAGCATAAAATATACACAAAAATCAATAACTCACTTGTCTAGATAACAATAACTCACTTCTAAGTTTTCCCCCTTTTTTATTAAATTCAAATTCATTTAGTAAATTCAAGATGGCGGTTAAAAGCTCATCTCTTTAAGGAGGATTAACTTAAGATTTCCATATTGGGCTTTAAGTTAAAGGTTAAAATTGTTTGAAAAGTTGTGGTAGTGTTTAAAAAAATTTCCAATTTTTCCCTTATTATTTAAATACTTAGAAATTGACCTAGTTTATCCATAAAAATAGCGCATAGAGATTTTAAAAAAAAGTTTTTAAGAAACAAGAGGATACTAAACTGTCAAATGAGTGTTATAAAAAAAATGATACAATAATGAAATCAACAGTTGTAAATTAGAAATTTATTTCTAAATAACGTCATGAAAAATGATGTCTGTCTTTTTGCCAGATGTCTACAAGGATATCATCTACATTTTCATTCTTAAATCTATCCAACCATGATTGAATCATTCCCTCTGGTGATGCTTCATAGTTTATTAGTTTTACTTTTTCATCTAAAGAGAATTGAAATATTGGTTAAAAATGTCAAAATAGGCATTGTATATTACATTCAAATAATATTGATTTAGGTTTTATTTGGTTTATGAACAGTTAAACAAAATTATGAAACAGTGTATCTGCAGCTGTGTATGCAAGCTGTAGTAAAGTTACTAATTTACTCGAATTTAGTAAAAGTGTATATCCTACCAATAATCTCTTTTTTTTAAATACATTTATATATAATAAAGTATCATTTAAAAAAATTTATGCCCTATAACTCAGAAGTTTTCTATCATTAATAAAAAAAGCATTGAATCACTACATTTAAGAAAAAATGTAGTTTGCTACATTTGTAATAAATAAATAACCCAATTATAATTCTCAACAGTTTTCACCTTTTACTTCAATTTTAAGCATGAGTGTAAGTTGAATCTTTCAGCTAAATAGCTCTCTTAAAAAGAAAACATTCTGAAAATAGTTTCTGTCAAGGCTACATTCTGAAAATAGTTTGAGAGCACAACATTAAAAAAAAATGTATTTTGCTACATCTATAATAACGTAGTTTTATTTACAGTAAACTGGAGAAAAAAAAGTTTTTTTTTACAATGAAACAAAGTAGGCAAAAATAGTCTTAAAAAGCTGGAGGGTGGACAATTTTCTACCTCCTTGTTAGTTCTTAAAGACTAGCAAGCTTCACCCCTGCCCTCACCAATTACCTATTTTCATTCAATTTCGTTTCTTTTTCTTAAAAATCAATATTTCTCAAATAAAAAACAATTTTGTTCATAAAATATGCATTTTAAAATGTATATATTTTGTTAATATATCTACTGAAACAAAATAAGCTGTTACTTATATAGTACTATTCTCGAGAAAAAAATACTTTAACTTAGCAATACAGATTACAAAACACAAAAAAATAATAATAATTTAGAAGTAATTTTACTAAAACGCTAATCTCATATGAATATAAGTGTTCAAATTAGAAACGACTTTCTATTGAGTCTTTTATATTTTTAAAAATTTTGATATAAATGTTAAGATTTATATCTGGCAACACTTAATCTCTCATTCTCTTAATTCTTATTACATTTATTCCATTTTTTAAAAATATTTTTGACAAGTTAAGCATTAAGCACAATCTTATAAAATAAAGATCTCAAAGGAGATAAATTTTTAATAATGATGGATTAATAGTCGTTATTTAAGACAAACAAAAAAAATTATGCAAAAGCACTTAAGACTGCCACAACTTGCAAACAAATGGGAATACTGAAAAGACTCTCTTTAAATTCATAAATGCAAATCGCCCTTTCAGCACGTCAAATTAACTTTTATAACTCTATAATAACGTTTTTGCAGTCTAACAGAGCAGCCCACATGGCATTTGTTGCTACAAGTTTATCTGGTTATAATTCTTGAACTAATATACAAATTGGAATAGGGAGGAGCTTCTTAAATGTTCAGTCTTAAACATAAATATTTGATTCATATTGAGGAGAGCCAAGAAAGAGACTCAACTGGTTCCATTATGTAGTGACCTCTACTTTGTGTATGTTTGAGGAAAAAAGAATCCTCTTCACACACTTCAGTATAGTGCAGCTTTCAGGAGAATTTGTCCAGATATCAGTCTTGCGTTGTGGTGGGTACCATGGTTACGAGGAAAAGTTACTTTGAATAAGGATGTGGGTACCTTCATTCCTCCATTGCATCCCCATTAGAAATGTGCTCTCACTTGTTACTATATCAGCAGCCCCAGACTTTTAGTCTTGAGGATTTTTTCTCAAGGCCACACAATACAGGTTTTTGTTTACATTTCGAGCAAAGAGGAAACCTGGCTGTAGCAAATATTTATATTTTGGTTTTAAGCTCAGTTAATTTAGCTACGTCACAAAATGAAAAGTTGACCTAATTTAGAATTCCAGAACATTAAATTGGACACCTGGCAGCATCTCTAACAATTTTTAATTACACAGGGACAAGAAAATAATCCAGCACAAAACAACTCACCTTCAACAACAGTGTTTGCTTGCACACACAATCTTCTTGGTTTACGTCTTTCCAGAACAATTTCTCTGTACTTCAAAAATGGATTTGAGCCTTCAGAAGTAACAACTGAGTATTTTTCAAACATAGCTTTGGCAGTCGAGACATCAGCAGTTGATTTGTACAGCTTTAAAAATTTATCAGATAATTATCTTAAAATCCAATAAAATAAGGAAAATAATAACATAATAAAACAAAAATATTGTAAATCAAACTAGAAAACGATTTTATCTATAATACAAGCATACATCAAGTAATCAAAATGCTTTTTATTATGAAAGTTACATCGTTTTTTAATCTATTTTCCTCACTAAACTCAGAAAGTTAAGTTTTTTTTATATATAATAGTGCTATATAATGATTAAATTAAACCAATGTCACCATAGACTTAACCATGGTACTTGGAATGCTGCAGGTATGGTAAATTATTTTATTACTTTTATCACTCTTATTGTTGTCATATTTACATTAAATCAGTTATGTATTATTATAATTACTAAGATAATTATAATTATTTATACCTAGAAATAGACTTAAAATATTTTTGGACTGTTAAGGGTCTTTTAATAAATGCTTTTTTAATAATAGTGCTACATAGTATTTAAATGTAACCATTTTTATTCTTGAAGAAAATGGTCAGTAGGATTTTATGCAAGTACCCAATTTCATATATTTTAACTATGAAAAAGTCTTAAAAACTTTATCTTAAAACTTGTCATCTAGGTTCAATAAAAAAAATTTATAAAGAAAATAAAACAAAAAATTTTAAAAGATATTAATTATAAAATTATCAGATAAATAAATTGTACTTAGATAATTTTTAATACATTAAACATGGAGGAGTTAGAATCCCTTTTCTATCAAAAAGAAACTTAAACTTTATTTAAAGTTCATAAATAAGACTAGGAAATCAAATAATTCCATACTTGAAGTTTCTTCAAGAAATTTCCAATGCAAGGTCTGCCTACTGACATGATTTTGCCACGATCTAAAGTAAACAAAAGGTCTGGCTTGCCATCAGATGCTGTTATTTGTTCGACTTTTACAAAATCTCCACCGGCTTCCAAAAGAACTTGAAGAATCACATATGCAGCTTGTGAGTGGGCCTTTAAATGCATAAGGGAATTTGAGAAATATTCATAATTAATCAATTAGAAAAATTCAATAAAAAATAATATAACTAATAAAAATGGTAAAGCAATATTTCAACAGTAACAGTTTTTTAACTTCTTCAAAAACTTGTCACACTTACAAACCTACAGCTTCTTATTGCAAAGTAGTCAAAAATTCAAGTTAATAAAAAAAGCATAAAATTAAACTGTACTAGGTTAATGTATTAGTTAACTGTACTAGTTGACTCGAAATGTGGCAAACCTTACACTTTATTTAAGTTGTGATATTAATTTTCTTACATTTGCTTTAGGCTCACGACCTGTTAGAATTTTCTAAATTGCAGAAAACTCATATGAATGGTAAAAACTTCATGTAAATATGAACAAACTTCACAATAATAAAACTTCCTAGAATATTGAGCCTGTTCGCATCTCCTTGTAAGCGTAACATAATGAAGGAATACACTGGAAGTTTTCTTTCTTTTTTTCTCCCTCTGGTTTTAAGCAGCCTGTTATTGTTGTCAACCATCCTTACAATAGCCAGAGATAAGAGCCATGGTGATTCAGATGAGACAATGAAGAAAAGTTTTAAAAAAATATTGAAAAAATATGACAGCCAAAGCTGACGTCGTCAGGGGGTACCAGCTTCGGATGTCATAAATGCAAAACTTTGGTGATTCAGCGGATAGGGCATTCACCTTCCAATGAGGTGAACCGGTTCGAATCCCAGCAATAGCTGGTCGATACGAATTCTGCACCCGGCTCTCACCAACAGCAGTACTGACGTAAAATATTCTCGGTAGTAAACGGATTATCAGACTTCTTGCCGTCAGGCTAACGATGGGGGTTTCCCTTTCCATGTAACACAAATGTGGGTTGGTTCCATCAAAAAAGTTCCCGCATAGACAAATTTCTACAAATACTTGATCCAGGAGTTCCCTTGTCTTCTGGTTTGGGATCTAAATTACAAGGATACGGAGTTGAACATTAGTAACCGTAAACCCAAGATTGGGTCTGCTGTTCAACGAGGGTTATAAAATAAAATAAAATAGCTGGAGATAAAACCCCAACCAACTTGGTCAACCTCAAAAATTTGCAGCTGCTCACTACACACTTGTGATTCTTTGGAAATTATAAGTTCTGGAGACTCAGGACTTACATATTTCTGCATCCCTTTTTACTAATAGTGGATCCTGATTTAAAATATGAATTTTATACTACTATATTCATCTATTAAAATTCCCACTTATAATAATTCTATTTAGACCAAAGAAAGAATTTCAAAACGAGAAGACATTTTTGAACAATCAAAGTTTTTGATAAAATCTGGTCAAACTCCTGCAAAACGCAACAATACAATTTAACACTCTGGATTATTTTATTTTATAACCGTCGTTGAACCCAGTTTTTCGGGTTTACAACTACTAATGTTCAACTCCGTATCCTTGTTAATTTGAAGCCAATCCAGAAGACACGAGAACTACTGAATCAAGTATTGAGAGAAATTTGCCTTTGTGGAGGACTTTTTTGATGGAACTAACCCGTGTTTGTGTTACATGGAGAGGAAAAACACGAAAACCCCCCACGCCTAACCTGATGGAAAGGGGTCTACCACTGAGGATATTTTACGTAAGCTGGTGTGAGCTGGGTGCGAAGCCATCTATGGGATTCGAACCCAGTTCACTTCATTGGAAGGGAAACGCTCTATCCCCTGAGCCACCATGGCCTCACTCAGAACTATTATAATCTTCTTCAGAATTATTTTAATCTTCCCTTTTTATAAACCAAGTTGTAGGTGCAGTATGGCCACAAATGGCTTTTGTAAAATTAATTCCTAATTAACTAACTATCCTTCAGCTTTAATAATGAAGAAAAAGAAGTTTTTGCATGCATATTTTAAGTATAGTTACAATTTTTCTGATATAGATCAGAGGCTGTATTCATTTAGAAGTCATCACTATTCATCTATATATCCACCTACAAATCATATAATATATTCATCTATAAATCTTCAAATCACCTATATCTGCACAGCAATTAGGATGCTGGGGAATTATCTTCCCAATAATTTGTTTAAAAATAATTTATTCCATAACTTTTTGTTGTTGTTTCGTTTAGGATATATTTGGTATGTTTGACATACTAGAGTCAGCAGACCACATCACTGGTACACTATGCATCTTGTTAATAAGACATCAATAATTCATGGAGAAAAAAACTTCAAATTAAGCTGTAATAGAGTCTATAACTAACTATTAACATTAAATGAACCCTTGGTAATTATCAAAAAAAAAAAACGTATTAGATAGAGATAATATTTGTTTTCTAAAGCTCAGTCTGAATTATTGAATACAGTACAGAACCCGTTATCCGGAAACCAAAAAACCGGAACGAAATTCGGTGAATTTTCCCGCCATTTTTAATAAAAAAAAGATTTTAGGATTTTTCGTTCTTTTTTTAAAGATGTTTACCATACCATCATTTTGAAAATAATAATTAGTGTATTACTTCATCGTTTTTTCTTCTTTTTAAGATTATTTCCAATTTTTTTTTCCAGTAGGATTTAACAATAAAAAAAACGGCTTTTTGTAACGATTCAGAGAACCGGAAAAATCAGTTATCCGGAATAGCGATGGTCCCGATCGTTCCGGATAATCGGTTCCCTACTGTATTTAAAAACTACAATCATTACTCACAGATTATTTTTTAATCATTAATACAGTATATTCTCTATATTTCAGAGTTGAAGGAATGCTGAAAAAATTTCGAGATAATGAGTTTTCAAGAACTAAATATGTTCTAAAAAGTAAAAAAAAATATCTTTTAAAATACTACTCTAAGAAGTAGAGTCAAGAAACATAAGAATAACTACTTTTAAATATATATGTAATGATAGTTGACTATAAGACTAAATACAGTAGTGATAATTTTATTTTTAAAAGTAAGACAAAAACAATTATGCATTAAATAGAAAAGAATTGGTTCATAATGAACTTACATTGTGATTTTTTCAAAAAAATTTGACATAGCAAGGTTTTGAAAAGAAACCCTTCGACATAGGAATTGAAATTAACATTAAGTGGATATATAATGCAAAGGTGAAAAATATTTTTTTGACATAAAAAGTCTTCAAATATCGAGACTATACTGCACCTAATTTGCTTAAAAAGAAAAAAAAATTCTTGAGCATTTGCTCACTCAATTCATTACAGTTTCATATTTTATCACTCTAAAAAAATAGTTTTTTTTTGTTGTCGTATGCCTGTTTAGGCAGTGGAGGTGCGATTGTTCCTGTTTTTTTCAGTGGCGCCATCTATGGCCAGGAATTTGACTTCTGCCACGCCATTCACACGACCACAATCCATTTATAGGGCGGGTCACATTCACACACAAAGGAGAAAGGACATAGAACACACAGAGAGAGAAAGAAACATCCATGCCTTGCCCGGGATTCAAGCCCAGGACCTTTCTGATGCAAGGACAGTTCCCTGNAACAAAAAAAAAAAAAAAAAAAATAGTTCTACTGTAATTTATACTAATAATATATTCAGTAAAAAATATACCTAAAAAATGAAAAAAATTATAAAAATTTTTAAAGTTTACAAAGGTTGAGGATTCAAGAAATTTACCTGAAGCCAAGTTTCGGTTTTAGGTTCATACATAATTAATGAACCTAATCCAGCAATTACAACCATAACCCAATTGACATACATGATATCTTCTCTTAAACTCTGATCAGGAACAAATATTCTGCAAAAAAAAAAAGAAATATATATATACATCAGGGCTCGAAAAAACTCAGAAATTTTAGCCGTCCCCGAGGACAACTTGTCCAACAATGTACCTGTCCTCCTTTGACACTAACTCGCCGCTTCTAAATAAATAAAAATATAATTTTCTCTTATTTATTACAAACATTTATATAAATTGCACAATGAATTAGTAGTTACTAGGATTACAAATAGTAGGATTACATTATACAGTAATAAAAGAAATACTAGGTTACTAATAGTAAAACCTAGTATTTCTATTATGAAATAATTTATTTCTTTGATGAAATAATTTAAATAACAAAGGTTAAGTTATCTGTCAATTATCATGTCAATTTATCCGATGGTACTGCGTTTTTTAAATGAATCAAATATGACGTTTGCCAGTTCCACAATCAAGCCAATGATTTACAGAGGTTTCTGCACAGAAATCTGAAAGAGGTTTTCCATTTAGGTAGATGTTCATAAATGCGTTTAACGCTTCTTGTTTAAGACCAGTAAGTAATGTGTTTTTTTGTAAGTTCATTGCTGAAAAGCCCCTTTCAACAGCTGCAGTACTCCCAGACAGAGAAAACATCAATTCCACCATGTGCAGCATGTTGCTGTATTTCGAGATTAGAGGGTCATTTTAGAAGTGAGGCGCTAGACTCTTGTAAGATAACAAAAATTTAAAATGTATCACGAACATTAACGGGAAAATGGCCGTCCGCGTGGACACTGGATTCGAGAAATTTGTTGTCCGCGGGGAATTTTTGACCGCCGAGGACGGGTGGTTTTTCAAGCCCTGATATACATATTTATTTACAATATACATATTTACAATATTTACAATATTTACAATATACATATATGATATACATATATGATATACATATTTATTAACAGCATTTTTTTTTAAATTAAATATCCTTTCAATAAAAATATTTTCATAAAAATTTTTTGAAATGTATAATTTCTAAAAAATAAATAACTATATCACTTGACTTAATTAGAAAAACAAAAACCTAAATCACTTTTAGGAATAATTTTAAATGAAGAATGATCCAATTTGAAGTTTGCTACAATCAAGAAATTATTTCTTTCTAAAGCTTTTTAAATTTGGTAAATTTTCACAAATGATTTCAATGTAATAACTACCTTTTTAGCAAAAAAGATCTAAAATTGTTTTCTGTTTTGATTACACACTAATAGTTGATTAGCACAGAAAAATCAAAAGATGTCAACACTGGCATATTTTGCCTAATGTTTTAGATTGTAGAATTCACATCGTATAATTCAAACTTAATTTTTCTTTTCATTTCCTAGTTATATAAGCTTTTTTATTGGTTTTACTAATTTTCAATTAAACCTATTTTTATATGTAACATCTTGACAATCGACCATGCCAATTTAACTGACGTTACTAGCCAGAATTCATACTTTTGAATCATATTATTTTACGCTAAACTGTGCTTATTTTACGCTTATTAGCTTATTTTACGTTAATTAGCTTATTTTACGTTAAACTGTGTTGGCATCAACATTATGCAAATTATGTGAGAGTTTAAATAGAATTGTCACTCGTATTTCAGTGCTTACTGCTTGTTTCTATTTGCTTGTTTTACCGCAGATTTGTATTTTCACTGCGTATTCATCATCAGCCTAAATTTATGAGTTAGTTTTGATGTGGTACATGCTCTTTATTCACTTTTTTTCATTCATAATTAATGTAATGATTAAGTCAAATAAAGTGTCTGAAGTTTTGCTTTGCGCAGCATCAAGCCGGTCTCCAGCCAATGGAACTCCTTGCTCATACTTCTTGCATTTAGTGAGTTGTCCTAGTTATGCTTTATTTCTATGCTTTTAGATAAAGCATGGGGCAAACCAAAAATACAGTCAAGCAGATGCATGACAATTCTTAAATCATTTATTTAGCTACATGTGAAATTAACTCATTGCATAATAAAAAAAGCTCTTGTTCTCCATATTGCTATTAAAATTTTTTTTTAAAAACCTAACATATTTGAATGTAAACTGTAAAACGGTGCACATTTTTTCTTAAGTTTTATAATAAAATAAATTAACAAAATAGTTAATATAACGTGTACAGTTTTAAAAATGGAAGTAAAATATCATAATGAGTACTTACTCCAATATTTCAGGAACAGTGCATAGATATAAGCCTACACATTCAGCTTTACACTCTTCATATGGATTGCTAAGAGAACCGAACACTGAATCGTATGATTCTCCAAAGTTGTACCAGCTTTTGACCTGAAATTAAATCTCATCCATTAAATTAGTCCTCATAAAAAAGAAAATTTCATTTAAAAGATTATCTAAATCATCAACTTAATTAGGAGAAGAAAATAAAAAAACCTATCATGACCATGAAAATCAATTTGAATGGACATGTTTGGTAGAATGAAAAATAAATGCATAAATGGCAATGTTATAATTTATGAGAAATCCAACCAATTGGTTATTCATTAATTTTATAATTTGGATGTATGACAGGAAAGCCTGGTTAGGAGGAGGTTAAGCCCTTGTTCGATCCCCGTCGGCCAAAGACATTGGTAAGTAAATGGTGACTGATGCACGTTAAATCTGTTGGGTCACTAAGACATCCATAACAAATCAAAACTTCTGGGGGCACTGAATTGGAGATTGATCGTTCTCTGGTTCAGGTGAAAATTATGATCTGTGGGTGAATAAATGAATGTATGAATGTTAAAGACTAAAATTAATATTTTAATTCAATGGTAAGAAGTGTACTGTTTTATGGGTTAGTAGCATGGAAACTAACAAAACTTTAGAGTACAAAACTAAATAGTTGGCAAAACTGATGTTTGAAAAATATTCCAAGAATATTCTTGGCTCAGACCATATCAAATTCAGAACTCTGTAGTAAAACCCGGCAAGAACCAATTACCATCAGTATGACAAGAAAAAGATGGAAATAGATAGGTCATGTATTGAGAATGCCTTCTGCAAGAATGCCATCAATAGCCTTAACGTGGACAGCAGATGGCAAACAAAAAAGAGGTAGATGCTAACATGGAGAAGAAAGGTGAAAGAAGAAAGAGGACAGGCGGAATGGATGAGCTGGTCTGGGGAGAGATTTTGTGCAAAAGACCGAATGAGCTGGAGCAAGAATATAAGGGCCTTATGTGCCATCAGGCACAAAGTAGGATAAACACAACAATTAATAAAAAAATATTTAGAAATTCATATTACCTTTTCATTAGTATCCAGATGAAGAACACTATTAATGTCAAAATTAAAGTCTCCATTACTTTCTCTCTGAAACAGTTTGCCACTTCCATGACCCAAAAGTTCATGCAAGCCAACTTGAAGCTCTAAAGCAGAGGGATAGTGCTCCACAAATAAATCCTGAAATAAAGTATTGAAATAAAACCTTATATCAGCCTCTTTTTTTCCAACAAGTACTCAAGGACAGTGGCTGATTTCCTAGAATGGCAAATTTTTTTACTAACAAACTGCTAGTAAAAAAACTAAATACTAATTACAGAAAAACGTGACAGCAAAAATTGTCTCAACTTTTAATGGTCGAGATTTGCAATCGTTTTTTTTTCCATCTTTTTTTCAGGTGATTTTTTCAGATTTTGATATTTTTAACACGATTACGACACGCGAATTTCGAATTAGTTATCACTTTTTGACGATCTAGATTAACAACGATCCCACCGTTAATACTCATTGTTTTCCAATCATTTTTTCGATAGTTATTTATCGTTTTTTCGGCGATCTCTACATGATTTTTTAAACTTTGGTATTCTTAATACGATAATATTGTGAGGTCCGAAGTTCAAATTTGAGTAATCACTTTTTGATGAGCAAGACGCACGGCGACTCCGTCGTTAATCCACGTCCATGTCCTTTTCTGATCATTTTCCCGGTAGTTACTTAAGCTAATATTTCTCATATTTACGACATTTTTACATGGTCAACCGAATTCCGATAATTTTAATACACTGTTAATGCGACATGTGAATATCAAATTTGAGTAAAAATTTTCTGACATGGTCAATTTACGGCGATTCCACCGGAAATCCACCTCGTTTTTTTGGGAGTTATTTATCGATTTTTCGGCCATTTCAACACGATTTTTTATACCATATTTCGATACCCTAATTTTGAATTGGAGTAATCACTATTTTACGTACTTTATTCGCGTAATGAATGTATGTATTCGCGTAATGAATGTATGTATTCGCGTATAGAATGTAATGTACAGTGCGGGAAAAAAGCAGACCACCCCGAATGATTTTTGGTCTTATGATTAGATCTTCATGTTCTAGGACTCAATCCTAATGGTTCAAAAAGTTTGACCTCAAATATGCAGATTAATTAGAGCAGAGGATATTTTAAATTACGAAATCAGACACCAAAAAGTATTTTCTCTGAATAAACATTTTTCTAAATTTTTTTATTTTTTATTGATAGATTCTGATCTCTGATCCTGAAAAAATAGGGGGTAGCCACAAATTTTGAAATATGGTCCCAATAGTTTGGTCAGGAAAGCACTCCAAAGTTTTGTCCCCTTAATCCAAATTTTACTTTTTGCATATGGTACCATATCTTGAGAACTTTTTAAGTGAATTGAAATTTTTTTACTCACAATTATAAAATTCCTTTATCCAAAGATAATTTTGTGCAAAATATAACTCTTAGAAAATATTTATTATTTTTTTATTGTTTTATTTAACAATAGAAGAAAAATTCTGAATGGTAACAAATATAATTTTTTGACATCATTCTAAAGAATAAAATTTTGAATGGTATAATACAAAAGTTGAGCGAAATCGACCGAGAAATCGAATTTTAAATATCTGACTTTTTCAAAATTTGATTTCTAGGGAATTATTCTACCGATTTCACTCTATTTAAAACTACATTTTTTTAAAATGGTGTAAAAAATTTTATACATTACAATTCAAAAATTTTTTCACTATTATTAAGTAAAAAATGATAAATATTTACAAACAGTTATATTTTGCATAGAATCATCTTCAAATAAATGAATTTTTATGGTGTGCAAAAATTTTATACTCGCTTAAATACAGCTGAATAAGCAAAAAGTAAAATTAACATTAAGGAGTCCATATTTGGACAGCTCTCCTAAGGGGGCTTTACCTATTGGGACCATTATTCCCAGATTGCAGCTAACCCCTATTTTTTGGTGGGGAGAAATCTGAATCCGTCGGGGAAAAAAACCCAGGTTTATTGAGAAAAAATAGATTTTTGTGTCTTATTTCGTAATTGAAAATATCCTCTGTCCTAATTAAGTAGGATATTTGAGGTTATTCCCTTGAAACGTGAAGATCTCAATAACGTGGAGTCCCGATCATTAGATCAAAAGTTATTCAGGGTGGTCAATATTTTTTTATGTTGCCCACTGAACCTTTTTTAAATTCTCTTTCATCACTTAAAGTTTTCAAAATTATTTACATTAAATATTTAAAAAAAAAGTTTAAAAAAATGACTAGGTGAAAGTGTACATTAATACCATTGTACTATAATTGTACATTGTATACTTCTAATATTAAATTTATACAACTATACTATAATAGTACATTGTACAGTGTCTTTCTAATACCATATTTACATCATTGTACTAAACTAAGACGCCCGGTGACAGATTGTTAGCGCTTTGTGCTCCCGTGCCACAGGTCCTGGGTTCGATCTTCGGGCCAGGCAAGGGTGACTCAACTTTTTATCCCTTCAGTGGATCGATAAATGAGTACCAAGCATGCTTGGGAACTAAACACTGGGGGTTTCGCGTTCGGATGACCACTTAACTAGAACGTCTGCTCCTGCACCCCCAGAGCCCAAGGTCAAGAAAACTGAGATGGGCACAGTAGGCCTTGGCCCTCCATGGGCTGTTGCGCCACTGAGTTCAGTTTAGTACTAAACTAAAGACTCATTTTCCTCATTAAATCCAAAATATTATAAAATATGGGATCACCATTATTAGGCCCGGTTGCATTTAATTAAAAAAAACCAATTAAAATGAATACATACTTGATCAGATTTAATCAGGTAATTAGGAGGTTCTTTACCACTTGTACTTATAACATTTCCCAGTGATACATTTTTGAAGCCAACAGATTGTTTAATATCAACATCTAAAATGAATAGATATAATGAATATTGATACCTTTGGTTAAGACAATGAAAACTGATAAATAAATTTTTCACATAGTTGTGAAATAATTTTCAAAAACAGACCTCTACCAGAGGGTCAACAAAAACAAGAAATTTCCTGAATTTTCACAGGCTTTCAAAATTAATGATGTAAAATCTTATTATTTATTTTCTGGTTCATATACAATATACATTTACCTACTACCGCTCCTACTGCCTTGTATAATATACCTAGTACAGTACAGAACCCTTTATCCGGAAATCAGAAAACCGGAAAACCAAAAAACCAGAACGAAATTCGATAAATTTTCCCGCAATTTTTAAAAAAAAACTTTTTTTCCTCATAAGATTTTTTGAATCCTTCTTTTTTGAAAGATGTTTACCTTACCATCATNGGCTGTTGTGCCACTGAGTTCAGTTTAGTACTAAACTAAAGACTCATTTTCCTCATTAAATCCAAAATATTATAAAATATGGGATCACCATTATTAGGCCCGGTTGCATTTAATTAAAAAAAACCAATTAAAATGAATACATACTTGATCAGATTTAATCAGGTAATTAGGAGGTTCTTTACCACTTGTACTTATAACATTTCCCAGTGATACATTTTTGAAGCCAACAGATTGTTTAATATCAACATCTAAAATGAATAGATATAATGAATATTGATACATTTGGTTAAGACAATGAAAACTGATAAATAAAATTTTCACATAGTTGTGAAATAATTTTCAAAAACAGACCTCTACCAGCGGGTCAACAAAAACAAGAAATTTCCTGAATTTTCACAGGTTTTCAAAATTAATGATGTAAAATCTTATTATTTATTTTCTGGTTCATATAAAATATACATTTACCTACTACCGTTTCTACTGCCTTGCATAATATACCTAGTACAGTACAGAACCCGTTATCCGGAAATCAGAAAACCGGAAAACCAAAAAACCAGAACGAAATTCGATAAATTTTCCCGCAATTTTTTAAAAAAAACTTTTTTTTCCTCATAAGATTTTAGGATTTTTCTTTCTTTTTTGAAAGTACCTTACCATCATTTCAGAAATAATCATTAGTGTATTACCTCATCGTTTTTTCTTATTTTTAAGATTATTTCCAAATATTTCTTTTTAACTGGGTTTAACACTAAAAAAACGGCTCTTTGTAGCGATTCAGAAAACCAGAAAAATCAGTTATCCGGAATAGCGATAGTTCCGATCGTTCCGGATAATCGGTTCTCTACTGTACCTCATTCAAAAGTACATACCACATTGTAGGTACATTGGGAAGCTAGGCAATATTCATTGTGAAACTAGGGCAATGGCTAGGGAGCTAGAGAAAAAGAATGGAAAACTAAAGTTTGCGATTTACTTATTTTTTTACAAACATTTGATGCTTTTTTTTTCTTTTTCTTTTTTTGTCAATTCTTTTTAAATGGGTATTATAAATTTTTCAATCATATTTTAGTCATTCAAAACTTTTTCAGCCTTTTCAAGAAACTTCAGTCCATTTGCATGCTTTATTTTTGGTCTTTTCACTTATCTGGATGTATTTTACTTATCCAAAATGGCTACTCAGAACCAGATAATAATTTTAAAGGCTTTTTTTTATCTTTAATATACTAATTACTAATTTAAATGCTATTTCAACTCATATTACCATTAAAAACAATTCGTGTTATTATCAATTATTTTATAAGTTTCTTATTTTTTAAATTATAGCACATTGTTTTGTCCAAATTAATCTAGCATTTTATGAAGAATAATTAAATATGTTTTGTATATGTGCATTTGCGATATTACAGGTACAAGTTATAAAGCGCATTGACCTTTGAATGACCAGTGACATTCTATTTAGAATCGACAGTATGCATGCATATAGATGTATACAGTGGTTGTTGTTTTTTTTTTCATGCATACAGGTGCGAGAGATGTTTGGGAGAGCTGTGTACAAAAATACAAAAAAGTTTTTTTGGAGAAAATATGAGGAAGGAGAAGTATTAGAAAAGTCAAAAAACAATGGCTAGATGAATTTGAGTGAGATCTTAAACTCATGAAAATCAAAAAAATTTTAAGAGCCGGAAAGTTTGAAAATGTGTTGCGAGAGAGGTTAAGTACTTTCATAATACGTAGTGCCAAAGAGTAAATAAAACTGAGTGCCTTGGTCTTAAATAACGATTAGATATTTGTCATGTAAGAAGAGAGTCACATATCAAATATTTGCAGCTATTAAAAATCTTAGTATATTTTTCTTTCATTTTTTTTGCATCATTTATTTTATTATGTGAATAACTTCGAAAATATAAATATCTAAAACCAAGTCATTCTTTTTATGAACTATTAGTCGTATAATGTCTTAACTTAGAAACAACTTCAGAAGATAAGGGTAATTCTGAATTAAGTTTATTTACTAGAGTCAATTTAACCTGCGTTTGTGTAAAAGTAAATCATTCTCACAACAGTCCGTCATGGGGCAGGAGTTAAAGGATTTTAAGGCTCCACCAACAACATAATGTAATAATATAGTGAACACTCTGCACCAACGTCCTTTACTTCCAAGGCAAACAAGTACCGATTGATCAGAAGCTGCTGCAGAGAGTGAAACCCAAATTATGTTTTTGATTAATTAAAATCACTTCTATATAATGATTATTTAAATGCAATTATATATAAAGATTAATTAAATGCATTTATGTATAATGATTAATTGAATGCAATTCTGTATAATGTTCAATTAAATGCAATTATGTATAATGATTATTTAAATTAAGTTATGTTTAATGATTATTTAAATGCAATTATGTATAAAGATTAATTAAATGCATTTATGTATAATGATTAATTGAATGCAATTATGTAGAATGATTATTTAAATTAAATTATGTTTAATGATTATTTAAATGCAATTATGTAAAATGATTAATTAAATATAGTTCCATATAATGATCAATTAAATGCAATTATGAATAATGACTTATCAAATGCAATTATGTATAATGATTAATCAAATGCAACTATGTATAATAATAAATTAAATGCAGTTATGCATAATAAATTAAATGCAATCATGCAAATGATTAATTACATGCAATTATGTATAATAATAAAATTCAATAATGTATAACGGTTTTTTAAATGCAATTATGTATAATGATTAATTAAATGCAATTATGTATGATTAATTAAATTCAATTGTGTATAGTGATTAATTAAATGCAATTTTGTATAATGCTCAATTAAATGCAATCATGTATAATGATTAATTAAATTCAATTATGTATAATGAACATTTAAATGCAATTATGTATAAAAATTATTTAATTGCAATTCTGTATAATAATTAATCAAATGCAATTATGTATTATAAATAATAAACTAAATGCAATTATGTATAATGATAAATTAAGACTTATTTCCCTATATTGTTTGAACGTGTAAGTGAAAAAAGACAGGATTTAGTAATCTATCGAAAATTTTGCAAAGGTTACTGTTTATAAAAAAATGAACTTACAATTAGGTATGTTAATGCCAACAGGTATATCACTATTAGCATAAGTCAAGATATCCAGTGAGGTAAAGTCAGGAAGTAAAAATTTATCCTTTTCATATGTGCTTGGCCAAGGCAGGAGAGACAGAAAATGCGGAGCTCCATCCACAAGTTTTGAGAATTTTTCACTTTGTTTCTTGTTAACAACAGACACAAATCCTTGGAGAAAAAAAAGAAATAATCCCTTTAAATCAATGTTATGAAAAAACCAACAAATTAATTTACTTATAAGTTTTAAATAAATATTTTTATAAACACAAACATAGAAGAAATTATAATTATTTGAACTGCAGTCACATGGATGGGTTTAAAAAAATAGATCAAGTAACAAGTGTATGAAATTTTAGAACATGGTACAACATTTGAATTGTACTTAAACGGTGAGGAGATACAAAGTGTCCATCAAATGGTTGACCTGCTTTGAAACTAGCCATTTAAGAAAAAAGTTGTGCCACTTGCTGCTTTATTATTAGAAAAGCAATAAATTTTGGAGAAAAAAAACATTGAAAGCAAATAGTTAAAAATTTCCTCACTGAGTGGCGTTAGAGTTCCATGTGGGATTAGGTTGCAGAATATTCCCTCCAATCCCTGTATATTGTAAGAGGCGATTAATGGGGACTCCTCTTGAAAGTTGGGCTATGGGCTAATCCCCCGTTCCTTTAAAAAAGACCCAGAATTCAGAAAGTCTCGAAATATACTCCTGTGCAAAACACAGATATCGAAGAAACTGATACTTTTAGTTATCTTGGTTCAACAGTGTCTACCTCAAGTGGAACTGACGAAGATGTTGCATCCAAACTTATCAAAGCGTGTGGTGCTTTTAGAACATTAAGTAAAATCTGGAGTTCTTCAGCATTAACAATCAAGTTGACACAACTTATCTTCAATTCAAATCCGTCCTACTTTATGGGTGTGAATTTGAAAACTTACCACATCTCAAGAAAACTCATTTCAAACTAAAGTTCTAAGCAGGATTTTCAAAATCTTTTGGCCTTACATAATAAAGGAAATGAAGGAAATAAAAATATGACCACCGAGGCCGACGTCTTCGTTTCCTTTATTGCTACTTTTTTTTAAAATTCTGCTGCTTTTTCAAAGAAGTTTTATCTATTTAGAATTTCAAAAAAAATTGTTTTCTTTTAGTATTGGCCTTACATATTTTCAAATGAGTAACTATAACAGTCAACGAGACCCATTGCAGAGAGGAAATCAAGCGTTGAAGCGAGGAAGACCAAAATTAATATGAAGAATGATAGTGGGTGAAAGATATGTGCTTGAATGGTCTAGCTGGAGCTTAGATAGGGAGTCGGCTTTTGGACCACGAGCGCTGGAGGACGAGACTTAAACCCTTATGCCCCAGACTGGCATAAAAAGAATCTTGATAAAGATAATGTAGCACTTGAGAATAAAAATTAAATAACAATACTTTCAACAAGGCGGTTGTTCCCCAGAATACACTTTTTTTCCAAAAAAAAATACCTTAGCATGAACTCACATAACAACACTTAGTTGAAAACTAGGCGTTCTTCCTGTTTTTTTTACAGCAGATTTATGACAGTAAAGCATAGAGGTAAAATTTAGAACTATGTAGGCATAATGCATTTTTCAGAATTTATTGCTTTTCTTACAGCAATGCAGTAAACAACATTTTTTTTAAAATTAATTTGTATTTTGTTATTATTTATGTTCATAATGGGTAAGTCATTTCAACACAATCATTCTCAGGGATGTTTCCCAGACTGTCGAGAACAGCCCATTGTGTAGCTATAGTGCAATGTAAATTACGTACCTACCTATAGAGTTAACAAGAACAAAAGTTACTCTATGGGAAATTTAGGAATACAAGAATTTCAATGAAAAAGTAGCAGATATTTCTATATTATGTGACAATTTAAGAAAATTATGCATGCAATTAACACATGATGTAGTGAAGTCCGTACTCAAGGGAGGAAAAGGGGCAATTGTCCCAGGGTCTGGGTCTGCTCAGGGCCCAGCCATAAGCTCTTGCAAAAAATATAGTGTTTATGAAATGAAAAATTAACTAAAAAATATAATATAAAAGAAACGATTTTCATTTATATTATGTTAATCATAATAAAACAGTCCTAACCTTCAAACTCTCCTCTCATTCCAGCTGGATCCCTATATGTTTCAATAAATCCAATGTAACTGAAAAAATAAATGTGTTAATTAGATGTTATTCAAAAATTAACATTTTCATGCAAGCAAGAACATAGTTTTGTATTTATAAAATTTCATTTAAAAAAAAAAGAGTAAAAATAAACATTTATAATAAAAGTATGAACTAAAATAAACATTCAATCACTAATCTATGTTTAGTGAGCAGTTAACAATCGTAAGTAAGGGAAAATTCAAGATGATAAAAAAATAAAGTAATCTAAAACAATAACATGTTCACATTATGCTATGGCCTGTCAAAAAAGTTTTCATACTCTTATTAATATTCTTGATATATATTATCATTATTATTAATAGATTATTCTCGCTATATATTATATTCTTATTTGACGTATCTTATTACAAAGAAGTCAATATCGCATATTTCCGAACATAGTTTAAGAAATTTTGCAAAGTTTTTAAAAGCTAAAGGAGGTCGGTTTAAAATAGGATCCATTAATTTTGAAATATTACAGCCGAACATCTCCAAGAAAAATCCTTTCCTGTTGGTTGAGGATTAATAAAAGATATCTAAGTATAACACTGGAGAACATACAAAACATATAAATACAAGAAAAAAGCAAGTGAAAAGGAAACACATTAAAATTACTATAATAAGAAAAGAATATTTCTTTCTGTACCAGACATTTTTGCCCGTAAAATAGAAAACAATTAAAACAGCAAAAGTTGAGCATGAAGAAGTCAGACATAAGATTGCCCTAGCTGATAGTATTTGATTTACATCAGCTTCTAGCCAAATTGAACTGCTGATGAGATCAATTTGGACTAATAAGTAAAAAACTTGAGAAGAAAAGAGGGAAAAACAAAAGAACCAGAAAGAAAAACCAGTGGAACTTTTAAAGGATTTTTATTTCTGAACAAAGATAAACAACTAAACTAAGATGACTGGGTAATCCAAAAGACAATAGAAAATAAGTATGTCTTATTTTTTCACATCGGTTTACATATGGATTTTGAATTTTGGGTAAATTTTCAAAGAAAAAAGGAGACTCACAGCTTTTATAAACGGATGTGCTTATATTCAGAAATACGAGGTAAATACTCTCAAAAAAGCAGTACATTATGATCTATAGTTTTTTTTTTAAATCATTAAAATCTAATGAGAAAGTATTAATTAAATATCCTTTAAAAAAACATGCCCATGATTCTAACTGTCAAAGATCATCCACTCTATCTTAAAATCCATACATTTTTTTAGAATATTTAAGACTTATTTTTACTACATTGTAAAACTTAAATCAATAAGGTTCTTCTTTTTTACTTTTTTGAAATATTAATGATTTATGAGACCAATTATATACATTTCATTACTAAATACACAATAACGAAGAATATTTCAAAAAGTTATTAAAAAATAAAATAATACAATATGCCAAATTAGTAAACACTTTAAATAATGTAGTATTTGGAAATAAAATTTCGTTACACAATTGTGAGACAATTAGTGAAATTCTAAAAATGTAGCAAAAACTATTCAAACTATGCATTTTTTTAAAAATTATTCTGAAGTAATGAATGGAATTTTAAAAACATGCCTTTCAACAATGGGTCCTTTATCTTTAACCCAAAGGATTGATCCCTCTTTATGAGCATCAATAGATCCTGTTCGAAAACTCTGGATATACTTTTCTATCATTTGTTCTTCAGTAGCATTGGCAGCGTACATCTGTTTATGAAGTAAGACACTTGTTTGATTCATTGTAGACAAGAATATTAATTATTTGAAGATATTTAATGGAAAAAATTTGAATGGAAATAATTTAATGTTTTTAGTAGACTTGAAAAATAGAGTCAACTTTTAAAAGTATGGAAATACAAGGAAATTATAAAAATGTTTCATGTTGAAAATTGTCTCATTATTAGACTTACAGCTTACTATAACATGCTTTCCAAAATAAGAAATCTGAGTTTTTTAAAAATGGGATTAATTAATTTAGATTTCCAGTTATGAGTTAGAACCAATATTTAATTCTGTAAAAAAATTAAACAATAAAATATTTCTTTAATAGCACCAAACTACTGTCTTATATACAGTGATGCTGCTTATGCATTTTATTTTAATAGCCGTTGTTGAACAGTCGACCCAGTTTTGAGTGTACAACTACCCATGTTCAACTACGTAACCTTGTGATCTTAAACCCAATCCAGAAGACAAGGGAACTCTTGAATCAAGTATTTGGAGAAATTTACCTTCCTGGAGGATTTTTTGATGGCACTAACCCAGATTTGCGTTATATAAAAAGAAAACCACGAAAAAACCCCTACAGTTAACCTGAGGTCAAGTGAACTCCACGATTTGCCTACCACTGAGGATATTTCACATTAGCACTGCGATCGGTGCATGATGGGTGCCGAACTCGTATCAACCAGCCACCACTGAGAATCGAGTCTGAGTTATCTTATTTTGAGTCAAGCATTCTATCCCGTGAGCTACGACGGCTTTCTGCTTATGCATTTTTTTTATAGCCGTCGTTGAACAGCCGACTCAATTTTGGATTTATGACTACTAGTGTTCAACTCCATAGCCTTGTAATTTGAACCCAATCCAGAAGATAAAGAAACTCCTGAATAAAGTATTGAGAATAATTTTGCCTTCGTAGCAGACTTTTTGACGGAACTAACACACATTTGGGTAACATGGAGAGGAAAGCAAAGAAAACCTCCTACTGTTAGACTCACGGTAAAGGGACTCTTACCCATGATTCGTCTACCACTTAGGATATTTTACGTCAGCACTGTGGTTGGTACAAGACGGATGCGGAATTCGTATTGACCAGCCATTGCTTGGATTCAAACCCTGTTCACCTCATTGCCAAGCGAACGCTCTATCCCCTGCACCAATACGGCTTACAGCAAACCAAATGCACCAAAAAAAATCACAAGAGGAACCCATAGAAAAAATTACATTGCACCCCTAGAATGCATAATTCTTTGTTCTCCCCCCCCCTAAAAAATAGCAGATTTGTGTACAAAAAATTAAAATAAATTTTAAAAATTCATTCCTTTTCTTCTTGAATTAATAGCAGGAGAAGAAATTGAAAAAAATTCTCAGTTAAATTGATATAGAAATTTTGGTTTTAATTCTTTATTTAATTATCATTGTTGAAAGAATCAGTAATAGTTTTTATTCCCCTAAATATTTATTTTTATGCCTGTATATCTTTAAAGTAGAAATTTATATTATTTTACATAAGATCCAGCTTTTAGTAAAATGGGACAGAGAAAATTTCAAAAACATGCAGTTTCCAAAGCCTAATGGAATCACTGCATATAGGTTTTCAATATTATGCATTGACAACCTACATTTACCTTCAAGGGGTAAAGTCGAACCTACAAAAGTATCTATGATGGGTAAAGTCAAAACATCATCTTCTCGCAAATACTTTGATTCAGTTTTAACTAATGACTATATAAATGACAAAATTTGGGAAAATTATACAAAAAAAAAATCAATAAAAAAAACGGTAAAAAAATTGTGACTCGTAATTTATATTGTATCACACAGTAATAACAGCACAGTATTGACTTGATTTTCTTTCCAATAAATTAACTAGGATAGCAATTTTAGAGGTAAGACTGATGTCATTGAAAATTTATTCTACCTTTACAACGTTATGCAAGAAAGACACTTATTGTATTTGGTTAGACTAATCAAAATAGGACATTTCATATGGATGATTATAGTCTATTATTATGCATGAAGATCTTCATGTAATTTAAAATATATGGATACCAAAATTTGAATGCATAGGTAAGGTTGATATTTAGTTATTTAAGATAGTAAATATAAGTAATGGCTCATTAGTATAAAAGTGTATGCATTGAATGTATAAAATCAACAATATAGTGTACAATAAAAAACTGACCTTGGCTTGCATCAAATATTCATTCACTCTTTTAAGAAGCTCACTATAATCGCCACGAGTGATAATAAACATATGAGAATCACAATCATTTGAGAATAATAAGGACTTTTCTTCTGAATCACCTAGAAATGATAAAAGTAAAACAAATTCAATGAAAATGAAAGTTTGCTATATATCTGAACATAATGAAGTAGTATGAATTAACAACTAACAATCAATAAATTAAAGTATTAATTGCTATTCCAATTATTATATGGTTTCTATATATTACCACCTAGTTCATAAGTTTTTGCAAGTTCTTAAGTCTTCACCTACTTGTAGAGATTCCATTCTCTGTTCTAAAGATTGGATTGTAGTGTTCTTAGAAGGTAATTATGCTCCATGCACAGATGGGCGGTTGTAAAGCTTTGTGCAAAGGCCAGGTGATTAATAACAATATCAACTCTCTGATTTAAATTGAGGGAAAATAGTGCAGATATGCATCAGCCTCGTCTTTAAGGCATCCTCAAGAATAAATCCGGAACTGTCACCAAAAGCCTATTGGTGCAGCCCCAATGTGACACAAACAACAATCCAAACCAATTAAAAATTAGCAATAAAAAATCACTTGAAAATGGGTAGCTAAACTGAGGGGAATAAGATATGTTCTTTTTTCTGAATTCACAAATATTAAAAACAATTAGTAAATTTAAATATATAATTATAAAATCTGTTAAATAATTTTTAAACTACAAATGGAAGTTGAGCCATGGTGGCTCAGAGGATAGAGCGCTCCCTCTCAATGAGTTGATCTGGGTTCGAATTCCGGCAATGGCTGGATGATTTGAATTCCGACTTGTACCGACTACAGTGCTGGCACGAAATATCCTCAGTGGTACACTGGTAATGGGCTAGAGTCCCTTTGCCGTCAGGCTAACCGTGGGAGGTTTTCATGGTTTCCCTCTCCATGCAACGCAAATGCGGGGGATAGTTCCATCAAAAAGTCCTCCATGAAGGCAAATTTCTCCAAATACTTGATCCAGGAGTTTCTTTGTCTTCTGGAATGGGTTCAAAACTATGACGATACGGAGTTGAGCATTGGTAGTCACAAACTAAAAATTTGGTGGGCTGCTCAACGATGGTTATAAAATAGAAGTTAAAGATAAACATGCCAGCAGGAACATAAAAATATTGCCATAATTTTTTAAGTGCATTTTGTCAGCAAAGAAAATAATAAGAAAGTGTATATGCTAGAGGGAGTACTACTTCAGAAATCATAAAATCTGCATAGTAGAATTCTTAGTGCAAAGTGAAATTCAGAAAAGAGTTCAGTGATCAAAAGCATTCAGGTTTAGACTGAAATCTTAACTACTAAAATATAACACAAAAAAAATGTATACCAGTTAAAAATAAGGAGTCTAGTTGAAAATGCCAATTTTGAAACAACATAGATTTCAAAAACGTAAGTTGTGGTGTAACTGATGTTAGTACACAAGAGGTTGTTTTCAAGCAGCCACAGTTACTATTTACAAACTGGCAAAACTTCCCATAAACTATATATTTAGCTATTTGCTACCCTATTTTAGAATTTTCAGAATAGTATGCTTATTTACTTTTAAAACAATAGGAAGGGGGAAATAGAGAAGGAATTTCGTAAATATTATTATTCAGAGAGCTTTCAATAAAGTCCAATTATAAAATTATCTAAAACATATATAGTACATATTATATATAGGTAACTTGGTTAAGTTTTAACATATCTTTTCATGTATTACTTGAGTTAGTGATTAGTATATGTACTTGTAAATAAGTAGTCCTTAAAAACAGAATAATCCATTTAAGCAAATCCTGTATTGATAAAAATTTAAACAAGAACATAAGGAATTATCAATATTAAATGTGAATTAATGAGAAGTACCTGTTTGTAAAGCAGATGCCAATCGTATTTCATAGCAGATTTTCCCAGAATCATTGACCGTTTTAAATACTCGGGTGTTATAAGCTTCCAAATTCTAAAAAGATAAGACACTATAATCAAACCTCAAAAGTATAAGATAAACTAATTATTCTTTACAACAATAGATATAATTTGAGAACTAAGTGGACAAAAGGTATAAAAGACAATTTTAAAAAAAACTAAGATTTATGGGTGAAAGTTTTTATTTTAGCTTTATTTAACTACAAAACATTAATTAAGTTTGCTGTCTTTTCGTTGCAAATATCTCAATATATGAAGGATTCAAGAGACGATCTATGAATGTTTTTAAAATGGAAAGATGATTGTGTACATTAACAGTTGAGGAGTAACCTCAGAAAACCTTAATTTTGGTAGAATAATAACCCTTTTGAACTTTACAAGACATATATGTCCCTTCAGATGTTTCAAGTAGACTATAAGGGTAAATAAATTTCATTTTAAGATTAGATTTGTAAAATACAGTCCTTTGAATTACCCTCTTTCCATTTGGATAGTTGGAAGCACTTTAAAACTGTCATGGTGACATAGCTTTAAATAAATCACATGTTTGTGAAGATTTATGCACCATTTTGTGAGGAAAATAACTAGAATAGAGCTGAGAAAAAATTGGTGTGACAAATTAAACTTAAATGTTAGTTTAATGACTTTTAGTTCAATAGCACACTCTAATGCTAATCCAATTAAAAGATTTTGAAAAGTACATATTGTTATAACTACACATTACAACTTACGTTTTTTTAGTGCATTAATGGTTTTGTAAAATTTATTAATGTATCATCTTTAAACAATAACACAACTAGTTCATTAGAAACTAAGATGTTTGTATCTAAATAACACAAATTAACTTTGAAATTGAATAATTATTTCTGAAATATTAATACCACTTGAAAAATTTATTAATTTTAAAATTGTTTTTTTTTTAAATTAGAAAATTAATAATTGTTCAAAAAATTATAAAACAATAACTTAATGAGAGAAATATACATCTCACACAGTAAAGCTTTAATAAGTAATAAAAGATAAAACAGACCTTACTTTTTCTTATTAAAATAATACACAGAGTTTAATTTTAATATTATGTATATGATGTTGAAAATGTTGTATTAAATTAAAGTTTGAGTCAAAGTGATTTAATTGGGACATAATTTTTCTCTCAAAGTAAACATAATTTACATTATAAATATTATGCAAACTGATACTCAAATTATCTTTCTCAAAACAAAGTGAGGTTATTCTTGCTCTAAAAAAATAGCTAAATGATAATAAAAAATTAATCAAATGGTCAAATCTTTAAAAAAAACATTGTTGCACAAGCTGTCCTTGGGGACGGGTAAAGAGTTTTTTCGAGCCCTGTTAAAATCACATAAATCAAAATAAATAAAATAAAATCTTCAACTACTAAGCCATAATATTTTTGTAGTTTATTTAAGTTTTTTAACTTGAACGTTAAACCAGTTTATAAATGTTTCATTTTAGAAATTGTAATAAGTGAATGTACTCTACTCACAAGTTTGCAAACGAGAGAATAATTAACAAATTTTCAAAAATTCATATTCATAAATAAATCTTATAAACCAACAAAGGATAAGGTACATTTGTGCTATGTAGACTAAAGCAAAAAACGATATGAATAAAGCACAGTTGAAAGTACATAAATGGACGTATAATATAGTTTCAGTTCTATAAACAAGAACTTTCCTCTGTATCTAAACACCAAAATGTCTTTTTTTCTAATGTTTAGACACTGAGGAAGGATTTTGCTTATAGAACTGATACCATGTAATACGCCCATTTATGTATTTTCCTTTGTGCCTTATTCACATTGTTTTCTGCTTTAAATCTTATAAATATTTATTAAAATTAAAATATCTCTTTATTGTTGGAATTCAAAGAAGAAATGTCTCTGAAAATATAAACAATTTAAGCAAAATTAATTCATAAGTTTATTGTTAGAAATTTTGAAGAACTCCAAATTTTAAAAATTAATTTTTCACTTCTATTAAAAAAAAAACACAATACTACTAACAAGCTTTCAATAAATAAAAACTTAACATTGAAAGGTAAAAAGTAAACTCACATGCTTTTCATAAAAATTCTTTACAATTTCCTTATCTTCCTCACAGAAATTTTTGGAAAAATATGTTGTTGTTCCCTATGATGAAAATAAATCACCTTAGTAAGGATTAAAAAATAAATTTGATACAAAACAAATTACCAGCATTTTTGGTTATTAAGACCCCTTTTCAATTGAAGACGTCTTCCAATTTAAGAGCAATTGCTATAGATAAGTAAATTAACAGTTAAAAGAGTAAATTAACAGTTGTAAACTTAAGTCGACAACTACATTCTATATTTACATGCATGGACAAAAGTTTTTGAAACCTACAAAAGCAAAATAAATAAATAAAACATGATGGTCTATGTAACCTACAGTATGGGATAACTTAAATATTATTGCTTAACAAAAGTAACTCTATAATTTGATTACTATTAAATTTAATTAATCTAAAATAGAACATTTATTATGTCGATTAAAAAAATATGTGTTTAAAATCAAAGGTGATATATATATATATATATAGCTTGTTAAAGAATGTCTACAAGGGCGCCGTCAAAGGAGTACAAGAGGGTGCACTTGCAACCCCCTGGCTTTTTTAAAAAAAAAAAACAATTAAAGAAATACAGAAAAACAATTTTGCTATAAATTTTTTTTATTCAGAAACAAATAATTAAGCAATTATTGATACATAGCAACTAAAAATTGTTTAATCAAACAAGAATTGCAATCGTCTTGTTTGCTGTCCAAATCTGTTTATAACTTTTTCAATGAATTCTGAGTCATCTTTGATTCTTTTCTTATGCACACTGAGCATGCACAAACTTGGCAGATATCTAAGCTATATTTTTAAATTTCATTTAATAAAATATAAATAATATTATATTTTCTATTAGCTATTTAGTTTAACAAAGGTGTATAGCACAAACTGACTTCTCACAACTGTAAAACTTCATCAACACAATAAATACCAATGTTAAGCGTGCACAAACACGTTAGTAAACGAAACTACTGTTTCTAGTTATTTGAGTTTCTAAGTCAGTAGCAATGACAGCGCCATCAGTACAGTTTCTCGTGGCAAAATTTGCAAGTAGGAGAAATTTGTACTTTTTTTTAAACAAACTTTCTTGTTAACAATGAAGTAATGTATCTTGAAAAAAATTAACAGCTGAAAGTATACATAATAACAAAACAAAATGTAATAAAATAATATTTTAATTTTCTTTTTTGGGGGGGTGTAGTTTGTTGGAGGGTTGCACGCCCTTTTATATTATTCCGGCGGCGCCCTTGAATGTCTAAAATTTCACCTAAAATATGTAAACTAATCAATAATAGCACAATCAATAACAGTTTTTTAACGTTTCTGTGAAATCAAAATTAATTCACACTCAAGGGTTATTTATTTAAGTGTTCCTGTGATAACAAAAGTCAGTTTCATAGAAAAAATATGGTGATTTCTGTTACCTGGTAGAAGAAACAACAATGATATTTAAAATATAGGAAAAACATCCAAATAGGTACAATAAATTAAGTTAAACAACCAAAAAAAACTAATTGCGATAATGTTTTAAAATGCTTTAGAATGTTTAAACTAAAATTACGAGCTTGTCTTCATATTGATGAAACTTAAAAATTGATGATAAAATTATCTTATAGATTTCTTAAAATTTATAAATTTACCTAATAAAAACGGAAAAAGAATTACAATATGTGATTCAAAACTCCACCAAAAATAAAAAGACATTGAGATATGAAAATTAACCACCAAAGTTAAAAACATATGTTCCAAAAGTATGATTCCCAAATTTAACCAGCAAAAGTGATCAAGTTACCCCAATGGTATAATTAACCACAGGTGATGGTGTTTTCAAAACAATTTACAAAATAAGCATGAATGATTAAATGTTTAAGATAAGTTTTAGTTTCTCTAGGAATAAAACAAAACAATATAGTTAATCAAAATTGTTTTATCGTTCAAAATTAACTATAGAAACAAACAAGTTAAATTTTTCATAAATAAAAAAAAATCCAGTAAAACTTTAAAACAATAAAAAGCATTTTGGTAAAAAATCATTAACATTTTTCTAACTGCAGCAAGTAATATATTTTCCTTGACTTCATGTCAATTTAACCAAGTTAAATAGGTGAAAAATTCCGGTTTTTAAAGGTTTAATGCTTTTAACATCCTTAAACTATATTCATCAACATTTTTTTCACAGATGGTAGAAATGTATCATTTATACCATACTCTTTGTATAACCTGTTGCAAACTTCTTTTTTTCGAAACTGAGAAATATTTGTGAAAGACACAAAGATAATGGATGTTGAATGCATTAAGAAAAGATAAACATCAAAATTAAAATGTATTCTAAACAAAAAGAATTTAAAAGTTGGTTCTGAAACTTTTTTGAAAAGAGAGTAGAAGCAGTTGTGGTTACTTTAAAACATAATAAATATTTACATACGTAATATACTTGATATTTTAAAGAAGTTATTTGATACGCCCAGAAATTAATGGACATACCTTGAATAAGACTTCTTCAAAAACATTAATATTTTTGTTTAAATTGATTATCACAAGGAAACTTATGAAAAATCTCAAAACTTATTAAATTCATTGCCTGTCTAGTTAGATTACCACTCATCTGATACTTTACTACTGACTAAATTGAACTAATCAAGGTATGAAATCGATTTAAACAAATTTAAAGATAAAAATTTTAGGATAAAACTTTAAAATAATAACTTAAAATGGAAAAGCGCTAAAAGCCAAATTTGTCTCGCATAAACAATTTAGATAAAAAGTTCGAAACCAAAAATAAGCAAAACGAAGTTTTGAAGACCTCAGCCTGTGGGGTGCTCCCGGGACACTGTGGTGTAGCTGGTAATGAGTTAACAGACCATCTTGCTAAGCAGGGAGCTTCTATCCTACAGACATCAAAGAAAGCTGTCCCTCTCACCAATGCCAAGCATCTAATCAAGAAAAAGATGACGGATCTCACTTTAAACCAATACACTGAGAAAAATTCTGATAAGATCTGGTGGTATAATCTCAAAGATCTTCGTATGTGGCCAAGATGTAAGGCAGTTGCTGAGTTTCGACTGACTACCGGACACGACTTCCTCCTCAAACATCTCCATCGGATTCATGTTGCTTCTGTACACTCTGTGACCTTCAAGCTGAGATGGATGCGAATTACCTTCGTCTCTGTCTGGCACTGGGGGATGTCTCTTTATGTGACCGTTACTGGCGCGCAAGAGACTTATTGAGTTCATTAATTTTTACACCATGTTTGTTTGTGTTTGTTTATTTTGTTGTTTCTTCCTCCCTTTGTGGTGAGTGGTCTTTTGCAACCTTGGTCATTGGAAAGATAAAAAAAAAGTTTTGACGATATGCATGTTAGTAAAAACAACACTTCATCAGGGGACACACAATCTGCTAAAATGAACTAAGTCACACGACAGCCTATTAAGGGCAAAGGCCTATAGTGCCCACCCCAGTTTCTTGACCTCAGGCTCTGGGGTGCAGAAGCAAATGTTCCAGTGGGGTGGTCAGCCAAACATGGAAGGCGATTGTTTAATTCCCAAGCATACTAAGTAATCATATTATTGCCCCCTTGAATCGATGAAAGACTGAGTCAATCATGGCCGGTCTGAAAGTAGAATTCTGGACCTTTTGCAAGGAATTCAAAGCACTACTATTTAGCCATCAGACCTCAATATAATATTACATACTCACAAAATTTTGGAAACTGAACTTTAAGTTATCAGCATATCTCTGAATTTCATTTTTACATACAAGATTAAAAAGAGCAATTGAAATACTTGAATAATTTATAACAACTTCAAATTAAAAGAGTTTGCATTCACTTAATATCATTTACTTAATATTATGCATTACATACATAAGTTTTAAAAAAAAAACTTTAGAAGCAAATAAGTTGGTTTGAAATGTCTGGAAAATTCAATTGAATGTCACAATCAAAAGAGTAAATCTTTTCTCCAGTTATCAACATTTTTCAGAATTTAATTTTTATATGAATTTATAACATACAAGACTATACAGACCAATTGAAATTGAATAAGTCATAACAACTTCAAATTAAAAGAATTTGAATTTGAATAATTCACTTACTATCACACATTACATAAATTTAAAAAAAATAAATAAATAAACAATAAGTTAGCTTACTATATCTGGAAAATTCAATTGGATGTCACAATCATCAAGAGAGTAAATCTTTTTGAAACAGCTTGATAACAAAAATGTCACTCTTTCTGGATAATTTTTGGCAAAGCTACTAGCCAGCACCAATTTTTCAAATTTCTCCTTTTGATTGAAAAAATTATAGATTGAAATTATTTACAATTTTAACACAGAAAATTTTAAAAAACAAACGTGAATAATATTTGTTAAAACATTTTTGTAACTTTAAACATCATTTTCATCAGTAGAATGAAAAAAAATTGAAACAAATTATAAAATTATATAAGGTTCTTCCCTTTTTTCAAAAAAACAATCTATATTAAAAATGTAACTTAAGAAAATAATTATTTAGAATTTAAGTTTCATGCATAAAATTTGACAGCTGATTCTTCAATTTAAGAAACTAAGAAACTTATCAATATATACATATATATATAAATTTATTAGTAATTTACATTATTAAAATTCATGAGAATTATAATCAAGAATACATAAAAAATATAAACTTTATACTTGGAAATAACAATAAAAATTAGGGGGAAATATAAATATTAAAAGAAAAAAAACACGTCAATTTAAAATTAAACACTGAGCAAAGGTATAATTTGGAGGACAGAATTGGCTGTTTCTTTCAATATTCTTTTAACTAACTAAACTAAAAGTAAACAGTCACATGAAGCAAACTTATGAATTAATTATAAATTTTATTTGGTTGCATTTAGGTAACTAAAACTTTTCTACAAACTTAAATTGATCAAAACATCAATATTTAAGTTTAGAAATAGTTTTACAAGAAAATATTTATGAATGCACACATTTACATAGAATGCAAATTTATATATTTTAGAATAAAGGGCATTCTTTATATGAAAGTAACACATAAAAAATAGTTTTAAGTTTTTCATAAAAGTATTAAGAAAAAGTTATATCAGTTAATTATGCAACTTTAATGCAGAACAGTTAATTTAAGAAATGCATATTTCTATACAAGGTGAATATAAAATTTTTACACACACAATTATTTAACAATATTCCAAAAATATTTTTAATCTGATTCAAAAAAAAAAATCTTTATTATGATCTAATCTAAATAAATAAAACAAATATAAAAGTGTAACACTCACAACTATTTAGTAAATACTAAAAAATAGTTACCTTCAAGTTTGAAAAAGTTTTATTAAATAAAATTATAATATTTCTCAATGAAATATTATTTATTCCAACAATGCAAGTAAACAGTAGAGATTAATAGGAATGCAAAAGGTGTTTTTGTATAAGCAATAAGATATTTGTATGAGCAAGCTTTTGTTGAGTCTATCAAATCAAATTTATTAATTGAGATAATTTATTTATTAATAAATAATTTATTAATAAAGATAATTGGCAGAAATTAAAAAATAAGTAATGTTAGAAGAATAAGGAAAGGAATATGAAAAATATTTGACCCTTTTACCTTTTTTTTCTTTTCTTTGGTCAAGCAAAATAATTATCTTTTTCTAATTGTAAAGTGGTCTCTATCAATTAAAAGTGGTTAAAATTTAGGAAAATAAATAAATTACTTTTTTTTAATTAATATAAATGGTATAATATTTAGTGAAAACATACTGAGCATTAAATCTTCTTTACAAAAGCCAAAAGAGTTCAAAAAAATAAGTTTTAATGCAATAACGAAAATAAGTATTAATGTAAAATAACTATGTAATATAAAATACTAACAAAATTTAATTTAAACATTTAAACTACATCAACATTTAAACTAAATTAATTTAATTACCTTGGGTAAATCTGGAACAAATTTACTACCCATACTCTTAAAATTGCCCATGCTGAACATTAGTCCACAAGAATAAATAATAAAAGCCTAAAATAAAAAGTAAAAACTATTATGACAAAATGTGTAATACATTATTAAAATTAATTGATTGGTATAACACACCAATCAATTTCAAATTACTAACTCTCATGCAAAAAAAAAAATTTACAAAATATCTGAGCCATTTATTTTTTAAATGAAAATTTAATGATTACACAGTTCGTGCAAAACATTTTTATATGTCGTCTTTGAAAGCTTTGGAAATTTAAAAATGTTTGAGTTTTTTTATACTGAATCACTTAAAATAATTAAAATATAAGAAACTTTCAGCTGAGCAAAAGTTAATATTTTTGAAAATAAGCAAGTAAAAATAACATAATGGATGCAATATTGCACAATTTTAGAAAAAAAAGTTATGATTTATATCTGAAAACAATACTAGCTTCAAAACATCATCTCATCAGTTATTTTACTTATTAATTATTAATACATCAAATAGTAAAAGCTTAAAAAAATTAAGTAGAAGTTTATATGAGCTAACTCAAAAAGTAAGAAAACTAATAATTTATAAATCATTTGCTTACCTAAAGTAAGAAATACTTAAACTTTAAATATCTTCAATGTCACAAATTATTCCTCAATTTTATAAATTATTTAATAAATAATAAGGTGATTTTTGGGGAAAGTGACTTAAAAGTAATATTATTTTAACTTAACTTAAAAGTAATATTAATAAATTATTTATGACTTAAACTTAAAAGTAATATTATTTTCCATAAACTTACATATTTATAGAACATATTTTTAGACACTGTTATTTATAAAGTAGAACCAATTGAAGCTAACGTGAAACTGAGAAATTAATAGAAATAATGTTAGATATATTGAAAAAAATTGATAGGTTTAAAGTTTACATAAAACAAAAATTGTGATAAAAACTAGAAACAAAGAAAAGAAACAAATATATACAACTTTATTATTCAGAAAAGCATTTTCATTAGATTTCAAAACCTATATTGTGTTAAAATACTTAATTAAATTCTTTTGATAAGTTTTTTTAAAAGAATTAGTGTTTATTTTAAGCCAAAAAATTTGTAATAGGGTCATTGTATCTTATTTTCCAAACTAAACCTGAGGTCTGATAATTTACTTATTCATTGCTCCAACTTGGAACATACAGCTTCCATCATGTATTGGCATCTTACTGTATTAATGACTAACAACCTTACCTCGTTCTATGACTTATCAATGATTTTTAATTGATTAATTTTCCTTCTCTAAGTTGTTAGATACAGCTTTTATCGTAGATCTGCATTAATGACTAACAGTTTTACCTTGTTCTACGATTTATCAATGATCTTTAATTGATTAATTGTCATTCTTTAAGTTGTTACATACAGCTTTCATCATAGATGGCCTCTTACTCTATTAATGATTAACAGTTTTACCTTGTTTTATGATTTATCAATGATCTTTAGTTGATTAATTGTCATTCTTTAAGTTGTTATCTATTTTCCTCTTTCCCTGGGAAATTTGATCAAAAAGGTGCTATGATTTGTATTTTCTTTAACTCAAAAAATATCTAATTTATTGGTACATTCCAGTTTTTATTGTTTTCAATTCTTTGTTCTGTTATGTTTTTGCTTAGCTTTTAAAAGTAGTTTTGAGTTTTTAACTACATGGAAAAAAGGACTTATGTAAGGCAGCAATAAGGACTAACATAATATGATGTATAAAGTTCATATGAGACAATAAAATTATTTTTTACAATTTCATTTTTAAGACTTAGGGTCTCATAATCATAATCTATTAGATCTGGCTAAGGCTGCAAAATATCTAAATATTCCACTACCGTAGAATGAATAGCATAAGGGTACATTGAACTATTTAAGAAATAATTGAAAATGAGTTATTATTTAATTAGTTTACAAACATAAAGATATGGAAATTATTAAAACATGGAATCATAATGCAAAGCTATAATTTTTTTATAAAAACTATCACTAGCAGCATTGACAGAATTTTTCTCCTATATATGCTTATAAATCTTTAATTTTAGAAATAAATTTAAGAAAAAAAATTTCAAAAAAAAAAAAAAAGACAAATTAAGTTTAGAATTGCATGTAATTGGGCAAAAACAAATAGGACTCAGGTATCATTACCTATCAACAACAAAAATATATAAAAAAAAATATTCATACATTTTATTTCCTTAATTTTAAACATAGCCATTAAATTTTCATTAATAAATGATGATTAAACTATCATAATTCTATCACAATAAAACTTTTTAAGTTTACTGAAGAAAGTTTTTACAACTAAGCCAAAAGATTTCACTGAATGGTAAGCAAATAAAATCTCATTAATCATCAGACTTAAAATATAGATTTAAAAAACTTGCCTAAATCTAAAAAAAAGGAAAACTATCAAACTTGATATGTACTTAATAACAAACAAACTTAATAACTCCTCCTTGATAAACATATTTATGAAATTTAAAGAAAATACTTTTTTCATATAGTCAAATTAAAGCAATAGTAAAAAATGTCACCTTGAACTCATCTTCATTAAAATCATATTCTTTCAAAGCAATTTCTTTCAAAGCTTGAATAGGTTGCATAGAGAACAACTTATGAAGTAACACAAAAATTAATGGACTCTCCAAAGAAGTCTGGAAAAATAATATGTTCATTTAAAATGTATGCCAAATACATTATTTGTTATAATTTTCCAGGATAAAAATCAAATTATCAATAATTTGATGATAATAAATGCTGAATCATTTATGTCAAAAGTATAAATTAGAAAAACTCTTAACACACTTTTGATAAACAACACACAAAGTTTATTCCATAAGAAATAGGAACAAGATAAATAAAATATCACTGGAAAAGTTTAACTTTCTTCATTAATTAATTCACATTTACAATTCAGAAAAATTAAGACACAATTTATGCCTTTTTATTTTATTGAATATATGAATTAAATGAACATAACTCTATACAGAATAAAATTTATTATAACTATTTACTCACTCGTTTAAAAACTTTTACCGAGTCACAAATTAAATTTGGTGTTTCACCTAATAGTTCATTTTCACCAAAAGTAACTTATATGTTATTTATATATTTGTATTGCTTTTAATAATTAGTAATTAACTGAAACAGTGTAGTTACAATTATCAAATTGCATACTGCATACAAATAATAATAAAAATGTAATATTTTCTACTCAAATTAAGAATTATAGGCCAAGAATATGTCCATGTTTATTTCATACCAACCACAAACCTGTATTATCATCTATCCAATAATCATGCAATTAAATAATTCAACCATCCAATCATTAATAAATCATCCAATTGTTCAACAAAAACTCACATTATAATGAAGGAGCTTAAAAACGAGTATTCAAAGTAATGTGTCACAAAAGATATATCAAAAGAAATTACGTCAAATTTTTAGTTAATTTAAAATATTAAATGATAATAATAATAATCAATTTTAAAAACTAGACAATCAGAAACAATAGCTCTGAAAAAATTTCTTCTGATTCCATTCCTTTTATAAGATAAATTGAGCCTATAACTCAAAATATAATTTTAGCATAATTGGTAATAAGTAGCATAATTGGTTTTAAAATTTTTTAAATTATCATACGTCAATCGTGAATCAATCATGAACATGGAAAACAATAGTGAAATACCAAATTACATTTATGCTACTGATAATTTAATAAAAAAGAAATAAAGAAATGTAAAAAGAAATAAAGAAATGTGAAAAGAAATAAAGACATAAAATATAACTATAAAAAAACGAAAAGGACATTACAAAAAAACACACAATAAATAATTTGTAACACAAAAAAATAACGGTAAACAATGATTTTATATTAAAAAAATCTAATTATGTACCTGGGGTAAATCAATAAGACCTCCAAACCAACTTGCTCTAGATAAATAATGGGCATAGAGCTTTTCCTTTTCAGATAAAGAGTTGAAAGACTCTGTACAATCCAATAAGGCAATTGGAGTATTTATTGGATATATAAACTGAGACGACATTTTCTACAAAAGAAAAAAAAGCATACATGTTGGAAAATTTTATCTGAAAAAAAATACAAGAGAAATCAGAAAAATTAAATACCCAGAAATTTAATAATAGAAAATCAAACTATCATAAACTTTATTTTATATGCAAGATAGAGCTTTTAATTTCCAGGATGGATCTAGAACTCCTAACTCCTAAAAATACTAAGTGAATTATATAACCATGCAATATAATTCAAAATAAAGATGAAATATTACGAAAATTTTGTCATTTAAAATCCAGGGTGTGGTGATAATTTTAACTAGAGTGTCCAGAAATAAAACTTAATGCAATTTCTGTTGAAATTAAAACAATTATTAAAAATATATAAACAATAAACACAGAAATGATGTATAATGAAAGTGAACGGAAGAAAATACATCTTTGGATAAAACACAGATAATGAAATCTCTAAGTTTGGCTAAATTACTATTTTTAAATGTAAAAAAAAGAAAATTTAAATGTCTTACTTCATTTATTTGCAGAATAAACTAATGGCAACTTTATTTAATGGAGAAATTATCCCTAGATGCCACTTTCATTCCTTTCCAACTGTGCCATATCTTATTACCTCCTGTTGTCATATGCCCTTTTGTGACTTTATTATCAAAAATCAAAGGCCTCATTCTAATTAACCCAATGATTTTGGTTTCAAAACTTAATTACTCACAACCCAGATGTCACATTTTGACGTGATAGAAAGGGGAAAACATTTAAAATATTTCCAATATGTTTTTCATTTGCTTCTATAATAAATAGGAAAATTTAGTGTATTTCTTTCATTTTATAAATACATTTATGCTATGGCTCAGGAATTTTGATGTTTGAAATATTAGATTTTTTTTCTCGCCCTCCCCCCCCCCAAAAAANCCCCCCCCCCCCCAAAAAAAAACATTATTTGTAACATCTTAACTTAAGAAGGGACTCCACCCTGAGATGGTAAAATATTACCGTTTTCTTGAACTTTTTTTAAGTAATAGAGACAATGCAGAGACTCCTTGTTTTTTTATGTTGTTTAGCTACAATTTAAGTCTATTTTAAAAAATTTTCTTTCACAAAATAATTAAAAATAAGTTGGTGGCAGCTCCGTGTTTGGCTGGTTATCAAAAAGTAGCACCTCACTGGCCTCATGGATTTAGAAGTCTGAAACAACATAGGAAAACAATTTTGTTTAGATTTTCTGAAACATAAAGACATTATCTAAAAAGTAGCATAGCGGTTTTTTGATATTCACAAAATTACCAAAATGGCGGCAACTTAATCATTTAATTCGTTTTTCATTTAAAAAAATATTCCTTAAAATACTAATATAAAATCGAAATATAAAAATATCTAAAAAATCCTATGCTACTTTCTAAAGAATATATTTTTACGCAATTTAAAATAAAGAGCAGCTTATTTCGTTGTATAGATCATGAGAAAAATGCTAGACCAAGTCAAAAAAACAGCGTTTTGAGAAAAAAGCGTTTAAAATTTTGACTTATGGTAGGGGAAAACGTTTAATTTCATATATATAATGGTCGATAAATGGAATGCCTACAATAAGTTTCTATATACAGTCAACAGAATGGATGAGACACAAAAAGAATGTCGACCCTCCTAATCTGGCCGAGCGGGCCTTTCTACCTGCTTAGCGATGACTCTCTATTTTCCTGTATAACTTCCTAACGAAGTTAGGTACCGAGAAATCGTTTTAGACAGTCATTAGAAAGGGTACAAAAATTCGAAAAATGCAATAAATTTTTTTTGGAATTATTCAGGGTGGGGTCCCCATTTAATAAGCAAATCACCTCTTGTTAATTTGAATTCAACGCATCTATTTATTTATATAATTTTTAAGACTCTTTTTTTTGTAGCATTAATATGAATATCTTGCATTTTAATCCAAAATGATTCATAAATAAAAAAAAACTCACTGTTTTTGTAGGCTTGAGGGATGTTGATTTGCAACTGTGATAAATAGATGAGTGAAAAAAATTTACCACTATTCTTTTGTTAGAAAGATAATTGCTCAAAAATGGGCGAAAACAAGAAGGAAATCTTCTAAGCTGCTTATACAAAAATAGAGTTTTCATAAACTAAAATGCAAAATTATGAAAACAATTATAAAATAATAAACAATTAGGAATTGTAAGAGCAACATGAAAAATAAATACTTTAGCTTTTAAAAAATAATTTGTACAAAATTGTATTATACTCAATTGATGAAAATTATCGCCTATGATAAAAGAAGCAAAAGCATTAGTTACAAATCCTGAAGTTGTTGCAACTCACAACATTTACAGTGACAGTGAAATAAAAATTAAAGTAAACATTTAAAGTGGCAGTTCCTTAAGAAAACAGAAAATATTTAATTATATTTACCTATAACATTTACATTGGTACTGAAATAAAATTTTAAGTCAAGCCAGATGCTAGTCATTGTGTCAGGAAAATTATAAGATTAATTTACATGTTTGTTGTTGTGATTATAATCGTTAAAGCAAAAATTTTGTTACCACTTTAAATGTTTGTGAAAAAAAAAAACAGGGACATTATTGATCAGTGATAGTAACTAAAATAGCCAATGCTCATTGTTAACATGCGTTTCTGAATGTAGGCAACATGTACATGTAAAAAAATATTATCTATCAATATAAATTAGCTACAAAAAGAATTGCTGAACCAAACGAAATATGCTTAATCTTAAAACTTTCTAAAATCTCTTAAGAAACATGTATTAAACATATTAACAGCTTAATTATTAATTCATAATAATTACTTTAATTATTCAATCATTTCTAGAGTTATGAAAACTGAATAAACACACATAAATTTTGCATCAGTATTAAAAAAAAAACGAGTTGTTAAAACGAGTGACAAATATATAAACATCAATAAATAATTATTAATGTTCTTATTAATCTTCAAAACATATTTGTGTGGCAACTTTTGCGTGATATTTATCTTAAAAATTATGTTATCGTAACTATAATAAAAACTGTAACAACCTAAAGTAAAAATATTCTGCACGTGTTATCTTTTCTATTATTCATGAGAAATTTTCAACAAAATTAGGATAAATTGAAATTTGACATATATTTTAAGGTAATATAACTTCATAGAATAAAGTGACAGTAAAACTACAAAATTCCCCCTTAAAATACATTTGGCAAGACTGATAAATCAAATTACTTACTCAAAAAACTTATTTTATATGAATTCTGCTTCAAAATAATTAATTTTATAAAAGATCTACACTTTAAATATAAAATTTTGAAATTTACTTGAATTAAACAAGTTAGAGCACCATTAAATATACGATGACAATGCAAAGATAGCAAAGATCAACATCAAAACAAGTAACTTGTAAGCTACAGTGGCAAGTTTCCCACGATAAAAACTGAAAATAGTTATCGATTTTTTCCAGTTTTTTTACTTATAAATTATATCTTAAGAAAAGATAAACTCGAAAAACCGATAGAGCAGGTTTATATTGCGTACGATTTGAAAGTAACGCGTCACAATTGACTTTCAAAACATTTGCTTGGAAATCTGATTGACGCTTTATCTAATCTCAATTTTTATTTTGTATTTATTTCTTAACTTTTTACTAAAGGTATCTTTATTAACAGAAATAAACCGATAATGGCAAATCGAAACTTGGCGTAGCGCAGTGTTAGTTTCACTTTTTGTATATTTTTATCTGGCGAATCGAAAACTTTTTGCAAACAATTATAAAACTCATTAAAGAGATCTTTTCTCTTAAAATGTAACGTTTGAAAATTATTTATCAATTTTTTTAATTTAACTCTAATTAAAACACTTTTAAATCAGTCGCTTATTAGTTTCCAAAAAATAATAATTCGAAAATATAACTGCAATTTAAATCTTAGGGCAGATAAAATATTACAATTTATTTATTGTTGTAGTTGTTATTTTACGTCGCACTAGAGCTGCACAATGGGCTATTGGCGACGGTCTGGGAAACATCCCGGAGGATGATCCGAAGACATGCCATCACAATTTTGATCCTCTGCGGAGGGGATGGCACCCCCGCTTCGGTAGCCCGACGACCTGCGCGCGAAATCGAGCACTTTACGGTAGCACAGTTTAACGAGGACCAATACCGCACACCTTCGGTCCCTACGCAGACTGATCCAAGTGGTCCCCCACCCGCACACTGACCGTAGCCAGTGATGCTTTATTTAAGGAAGTCCTAAAAAGAACTGACTGCAAGGCTCGGTCAGAGAACAAGTGGGTGACCACCTTGGACACCGAGACCGGTGAATTTTCGATGGGACCGAGGGAGAGCGGTATCGGCTCTCATTAAAGTGCTTGACTTCAGCTTAAAGTGCTTGACTTCAAGCAACTACCAAAACGGGGGAGCCATCGTCGCCTTCGTAGAGAAAATTGCAATGACATGTCTTCGGATCCTCCTCAGGGATGTTTCCCAGACCATCACCAATAGCTCTTGCGCTTCTCTAGCGACGTAAATAAAGTATTACTACTTATTAAATAACTTACTTATTATACAGTTGAACCTGTTTTTGCGGAATGTCTTTTTTTATGCTGTTTTTTATTTGTGCTGTCCCTTCTCGTGAGCTTTTTATTGGTGCAATTCTATTTTATTTTAGCTTTTTTTTGTGATGAGGATTTCAAGCAAATTTGCATTAGATTTCCAAACATTGTTGGCGTTTTCTCTTATCTTGATAACGTTTGCTGTTTGGAAATAAAAATTTGTTTCATTAAAACGAAATAAACTTTTCCTATTATTACGAGCAATAAAAAATTTTCATATAATAATATTCAGTTGTCTTATCTTTTTCTGGAGAGTAATTTTAAAGTTTAAAATATGAAATGCAATTAAGTTTTTAAAAGATACTGATCTCTACCAGCTAAATATTAAATTAAGATATATTTACCTCGCAGATATACTACTTATTCATGGCATTCTAAAAACATGCACAGTTTAAAACTTGTAACTTTTAGATATGACATTAAAAGAAGTACAAAATGTGGCTTTATTGTCAATTTGTAACAGAAATTTAATTTTCTTCAAAAAATTTAATTTTATGATGGAAATATTTTTTTTTCATTCTTAAATAAAAGCAATACCTTCAATTCACGCAAACAAGAAAACAAGAGATATGTTACTTCATCAAATTTTCTTAAAATGAAAATTCATTTATTTTATTTTTCTTTCCTCTTTTTCTTCAGCACGACAGCCCCTTACAGGCCTTGGCTGCCTCAACCACGCGTAGCCTCCTATCCATGGCGACTTTTTTCCGATAGTTAATCTTTTTTACTTTGAGATTTTTAGTAGTGTCATCCAACCATCTAGTTGGAGGTCTTCCTCTGGCCCGAGATCCAGAAGGATTTTTAGAAGTGGCGATTCGAACTGCGTTGTTTTCTGGACCTCTCCAGATATGGCCAAGCCATCTTAATCTACTGATTATTTTTCTTTAGGAAGTATAATTGTTTAAAGCAAGGGTGGTCAACACTGAGCAACTCGTGCACCACTTTTAGTATAAAAAATCTTGAGCATGGCAATTATTAATATAAATTTTATGTCAAGTCAATAAGTGCTACCGTGTTAATGTTGTTCATTGAATTATTACACGTACAGTAACTTTTTTCTAGATCAAATTAAGCTACAAGTTAGAAAATATGACAGATGTTATCTTTAAAATCTTGAAAAATTGAATTGTTTCTAGTGAAATTTAAACAATGGCTAACATTTAATCAATCACAATTTTTTGCTCATCATTTTTATACATTTGAATGAGCAGGAAAATAATATACAGAAAATTACATTTAATTAATTTTTTTTTTAAATGAGACAATTTTTCAATTGCAAATAATAAGGAGAAAATTTACAAGGATACAAATGTTAATGTGATTTCTGTATTGTTTTAATTTCAGCTAATTCTTTTATATTAAAAATTTTTGTAAAAAATTATTATTTTTCAATTAAAATTGAGTTGGTGTGCCACACAAAATGCCACCTCTGGTTTAAAGTAACTCTATTTTTTATATGTCAAATATAGCACACACGAATTTGAATTATTTGGTGTTAAAAGTCATGTTTCTCTATTTAGATATTACCTTAAATTTTACATTACATTATGGGAAAGTACAAATTTTATTTTAAACTACGCTTGATGAAATCTTGAAATTTAAAGAATAGGAATACTGTATATATTGGATAGAAAAGTATTTTCGTAAAAATTTTAAGAAATATATGCAGAGAAGTTTTTTTGTTGAGGTTATAAATTTTTTTTTAAACTCAAAATTTCAGGAGAGGGATAACATGGGCCCTTGGCCTTATTTCATCACTGAGTAGAAACAAATATAGCCCGTGTTAAAAAAAAATAGTGTAGAGCTTTATTCTGTAATTCACTTCAAACACACTTCAAAGAACCTTTATTTCTTTTTTAACTTTTATTTATTCAAAGAGCCTTTATTTCTTTTTTAAATTTTATGTATTCAACGAACCTTTATTTAACTTTTATGTATTTTTCCTAATAATGAATTTTTCATATTAATCAGCGATGATTGAATCAGCTTAAGTAAAAACATTAAAAAAGAAATAAGTTCCGGTTGCTCCGGAAGCTTATGCGGACCATTACGTCTACAAGAGAAAATAAAGGTCTGGTTTCTTAGGACAAGCGCCTTATCTGGGCGTCAGCGGGACGTCAACGTCGCGCTGANGGAGTAGCGAGGTTTGGATTTTGTTTTACTATCGGACGGTGGTATAGAATAGACTTCGGGGAATAGTGACGTCACCGTCCGTGTTCGAAGTCTGCGAGGTTTGGGGTCCTGGCCTTAAGCTTCGCCTACAGATAAGGTGAATATTTAGTAGCAGCGACATCTATGGTCATAAACTGCTCCGAGATCCTGGAGATCAGGTGAGTAGAAATAAGCGACCAATAACGTAAACAACTTTTACCGGCTGGCTACCGCAATTATGTTTGTTTAAAAATTCTTTATTGAGATAAACTAAATTAAAACAGACTATCTCAATTATACTGAGGAAGACTTTTATTAACCCCATTTGTGTAAAGGAAGGCTTTACTGAATTGTTTTGTCTTTTTTCATTACTTAATTTCCTATTTAAATTTCGAAGATATATTTGTACAGGGGTATGAGATGTAATAAAACTCTTATATGCACTCAATTATATAAACCTGCCTATCAAAAAACCCTACCAATATAAAGTAAATTGCCCTCATAGTAATGGGAAAAAAATATAGAAAATGCTTTAAAAAGATTATTTCCATGCAGATCTTATTCATTTATTATCTTCTTTATACGGAAAATAAATGTGGCTAGAAATGATAAAAACTATTTTTTCTTCGTGCTGACAGTAAACAGAATATGTTTCCTGAATGATTCATATTATTAATAAACTATTCATGCAGTGTGTGTTAAATGCTTCCTGACAGAAAGAAATATTATTAAACACAATATCATTTTATGTGATAGTAACAATTTATGTTCGGACACTAGCAGCAAATAATGTGTGTCATAGATATAATGATGTTTTAACACGAAAATAATTTCATACAAAGAAATTTAATGTTTGTAGTTTATGTGCTTATAAGATTCCAAGAGTAGTTAATGAGTAGTTGATAGCGTATGTGATATAATTTTTTGAAGCAAACAAGAGTGACAGATAGTTAATACTCTTTATATTAGCTAGAAGTTGGGAGTTTATTTCTTGCAGTATACATGTAATCAGACTTTGTCATAAAATTGTTCACATTTTTCTGCTCTTAGTTGAGAAACCTTGTTCATGCAGTATGGGGGAAAAAAGCTTCCCTCAGAAAAGTAAACTTATTGAACATAGTGTTATTCATCCTGTAAGAAAATCTTATTCTTGTAGTATATGTAATATGAGTTTTTCAGAAAGAGGAACACTTACTAAACACAGCCGTGTTCATACTGGTGAGAAACCATTTTTTTGTAGTGTATGTAATAAGAGATTCTCACAAAGAAGTAAACTTACTGAACACAGTCGTGTTCATACTGGTGAGAAACCTTTTTCTTGTAGTATATGTAGTATCAGTTTTTCACAAAAAGGCAATCTGATAAGTCATCGCCGTGTTCATACTGGAGAAAAACCTTATTCTTGTAGCATATGTAATAAAAGTTTTTCAGAAAGAAGTTCACTGACTAAACACAGTCTTCTTCATACTGGGGAGAAACCTTATTCTTGTAGTATATGTAATAAAAGTTTCCCACGAAAAGATAGACTAACTGAACACAGTCGAGTTCATACTAGGGAGAAACTTTTTTCTTGTTGTATATGTAACAAGAATTTTAGAGTAAGAGCTGAGCTGACTAAACACAGTCTTGTTCATACCGATGAGAAACATTATTCTTGTAGTGTATGTAATAAAAGTTTTTCTCGAAAATACCATCTGATAAGTCACTGCCGTGTTCATACTGGTGAAAAACCTTATTCTTGTAGTGTATGTAATAAGAGTTTTTCTGAAAGAGGTAAACTGGCTAAACACAGTCTTCTTCATACTGGAGAAAAACCGTATTCTTGTAGTATATGTAATAAGAGTTTTTCAGTAAAAAGTACACTGACTAAACACAGTCGTGTTCATACTGGTGAGAAACTTTTTTCTTGTAGTATATGTAATAACAGATTTTCACAAAAATCTCATCTGATAAGACACCGCCGTATTCATACTGGTGAAAAACCTTATTCTTGTAGTATATGTAATAAGAGTTTTTCAGTAAGAAGTACACTGACTAAACACAGCCGTGTTCATACTGGTGAGAAACCTTATTCTTGTAGTATATGTAATAAGAGTTTTTCAGTAAGAAGTACACTGACTAAACACAGTCGTGTTCATACTGGTGAGAAACCTTATTCTTGTGTTATGTAATAAGAGTTTTTCAGACGGAGATAATGTATCGAAGCACATTCGTGTTCATACTGACGAGAAATATTATATTTGTGGTATATGTAATAAGAGTTTTTCACAAAAAAAATCATCTGACTAAAGACATTTTTTCTCACACTCTGTTTAGAAGCTATATTCTTGTATTTGTAAAAAATTTTTTTTACTTAAAGACTATCCAGGTAATCACAGTTGTATTCATATCCTATGAAAAACTTCTCAAAAAGCTGACCTTGCTCTTTCTGTTTGTATTCACTTTGGTGAGGAAACCTTTTTGTTGTAGCATAGGAGTTTATCTCAAAAATGTCCTCTTACTAAACACAATCTTTTTCAGAAAAGTGATACACCATATTTAAATGAATTTCAAATACTGTGGATTACCCTATTTGCATTAAAGATAAAGGTTTTTCATTGAAGTGTCATCTGACTAAACACTGCCTACTGGAATAAAGGATTTTATTTTCAAATAGTTTTTAGTGTAATCTTTCAGTTTTCGTAATTTTTCCTTTCTTTTGATTTTTTATAAGTAGTGGTTATAAAATAAACCTCAGTATAGAAATGTTAAGAATTTTAATTAAAATACAGCGTTACAAACGCATGGAATTTGTAACTTTGTATGCTGAATAGCATTACTTTATCACCAGCAGAGCTGGAGGCCAGACTAACCAGTGGCTTGAGGCCCTCAGTGATAAAGGGCTCCCTTGAAATGGATTTTTTGAAATTCAATTTGAATTAAATTCATTTTGATTTGCACGCGGAACAATTGAAGGCAATACCATAGCAAGCTCAGACTTGTTCAAACAAGAAGCAAAGAATTAAATGTTGTTGACATTATTGAGACATTTTAAATTAAAAAGAAGTTATTTAGTGTCTCAACTGAAGTGCCGCATAATGCATGCGCCTTGATTTGCTGGAAACGTTGATGTTTGAGATGGGAGAAAAATTTGACGAATTTGAGAGCAGAGCCAAATCACTTTTGCCTGAAAGTGATTTGGCTCTGCACTCTGATTTGGTTCTGCACAATGATTTGGCTGTGCACAATGATCACTTTTGCCTGAAAGTAAATTGGCTCTGCAGATTTTTCAAGTGTCGCCTCGTGAATTTGACGAAGATGAAGAAGTCCTATCAACAGAGATGCTCAAGAGGTGGTATTAACTGCTAGAGATAATTTTCGTATAAACGGATTCATCGTAATTATTGACATGCTCAAAACAGAAATTAACAAATGAGACAAAGTTTATTTGGAGGTTTCTCAGAAATTTTCTTTTTTGTCGGATTTTGGACTAGCGGAAAATAAATACTGAGAAGCAATTTCTAATTTAGTTTACTTTTAGTTTGACGATTTGGAAGATTTTTATTCTGAACTAAAACAGTTTCAGAGTTACATGAAATAAAAATTCCCATCAAAAACTCAGTTCATGCATTCTGAACTTCACAAAACTTTGTTTCAAGACAATCTTGGATCTGTTTTTCCAAATGTTGAAACCGCTCTTTGCATTTTTGTAACTTTTATGATAACAAATTGTTCTGTAGAGTGCTCATTTTCAGAAATGAAACAAGACAAGAGGGAGCAAAGAAGCGTCATGTTTCAAAAACGATTAGACATGCTAAGTTTGTTGTTTATCGAATCAGACGTTCTCCGTGAAATTAATTTTTATAAAATTATAGATGAGTTTATTCATCGCAAGAGCAGAAAAAAAGATACAGATACCAATTTTATAGAAAAGATTTTTAATACCAATTTTATAGTAGCGTTGATTTTGTAAAGTGTTAATAAATTTCAAATTCTTTCAAAATTTTATAATTATTTTTTAGTTCTAATGTAACAAAATAAAGTAAAATTTAATCTATTATTATTTTAAATATGCTTTCTTAAATGAAAAGATATATAAATACTTTTATGTTTGAATAAATGTGGCTGGGTGGGACAGTTGGTTTGTCGTCGGCCTTCTGAGCCCAAGTCTGCGGGTTCGATCCCCGTCCCAGGCACCGGATTTTCGGGACTCAGAAAATCCTCAGTGACCATGTCGTATGATTATGCGGCATGTAGAAGATCCCTGGAGTGCCCTATTGGCTCATGGCATTTCCGGCAAAATTAAAATTTCTAGTGAACTTAAGCATCCAAATAAGAGTCTCGGTGCTGCCATCTAGTGTGGCAGAAACTAGACGTCCAAATTAACAAGGCCAACGGTATCTCACCCATTGTGGTGGTCCTGAAGGAGTGGATACCACTTCTGGATAATGCACTAGGTCTGCTCATGTGTGCGCACTTGTGCAGCTCATCGGAAGTAAAAAATTAAAAAAAATCTTAGAATAAATAAAAAAATATGCGAGGAAAAAATTTTTATCTAAGGGCCCCAAAAATTTGAATGGCCTAGGGCCCTGCGATCACGTAATCTGGCACTAATCACCTGTTATATATAACAGCACTTACCCACCAGTTATACTTGACAAAATCATAAATTGTTATTTATTCTCTCAGCATTAGAGTGCCAAGTTAAAGGTAATATTTGTTTTTTTTTATTGCAATTTTTAATCAAAATAGCATGCAGCATATTTTAATCCTTTCTAGCACACATTTTATAATTAAAATTTTTTATTTCTTTTAAATGCAAAATATTTTTTGTTATGATTTGAGGAAAGGTTTACATTGTTTTTAAATAAATTAGATTACATTATAGTTGAGAAAGGTAAGCTGCTTCTTAGACTATCTGTAAATTTACAGTAAAATTCATGTTTAATACAATTCAATATGAAAGCATATTGTGCGTTATAAAATAATCACACTATCACTTATATACAAAACTCACTTTCTGTTGTTGATTTTCACGAAAATGAAATTAAAGTGAAGTAACATATAACGGTTTAATTACAAATTAAGCGTTAAATTTATTATTAATACAGAACTTTAAATTGTTTTACATTAAGCAAATGTATAGAATATTTTTGATGGATTGTTATAAATAAAATAATGTAAAATAAAATTTTAAACACTACATTTTTAAAAGGAGTGGAAACAAAAAGCGAAATAATTTCGTTAATTATAATAACAAATGTCGTATTTAATAAGAAATCTTTTATAAATTCATGGAAAACTGGCACAGGTTTCTCAACATTCTAAGAGATAAAAAAAAAAGTTGTTTGTTATTTTTATTGATTATTAATTTCATTAACTGAATTGAGCCTTTGTATGTTTTTGTATTCTCCATAAAAATTGGTTAAAGTTCGATAATTTTTATTTATTATTATTATTTTTATTTTTTTGCGTGAATAGTAACTTGACACCCACAGTGAAAATATTTTTAGCAAAAATTTAAAAAGCTTATTCAAAAACATTGCATAACACCCGAAAAGTTTGAATAAAAAATTAGGTTATATTTTATAGAATTAAAATAAAAAACAAAATATCTTGTGGGTCAGGAAATTTTTTTAAAAATGAAATACCAGAAACGTCAAAAATATTTTAATTTTGCTCTGAAATCGAAGAATTAAAGATCGAAGATTAGCCTTGAAAAACTTTCAAAGAGTTAATCGAAAAATTTTGATTTCCACCCGATTCATTGCAAAAAGTTTTAAATTTCGTTGTTATATAAATGTATTTATTTTCGTGAACTTACTTTTAATTTTATTTAAGAAAAATATTTTTTTTTATTTGTATTGATCTTCTTTATTACATTTAAAGAGGTTCAGAGGGCCTCAGAGGTTCTTAACCTAGCGTTGTATCCTTATCATTGATTCCGCTATCAGAAAATTAATGGAATAAGTTCAGATACATTATAATATTTAAATTGTTACTGGTTTTAGCTTTCAAACAATAAAATGTTTCGTTCAAGCAGAATTCAATTCTGGAAATAACGAAATTATTGAGAAGGTTCCTTGAAGCAGTATCATTCTTATCTTCTTATGATAAAATGTGGGAAAAATTTGTATTAATAATAATTTCTGTAAAAAGAATGTTAACCATTTCACTGCTTATTATTATTTTTTAAATAAAATTGATCCGAAAATTGCGTATTTTTTATTGATTTCAAATCAGATGATGTTTCTAAAAACAGCAAGACTTTGGAATCTTTTTACAATTTTCCCTTTTTAGTACTTGCTTCTATTAAGGGCATTTGGTTAATTATAATCTATAATCTGATAACCTATTATGTTACGAAAATGTATGAGGATGATATATAAGGTACTGAACGAAGAAAAAATTCTGGTAGAATTAACTTTCTGCATATTAAACACATTTCTGGTAATAAAAATCAAATATACGGTATTTAAATCATTCATATGGCAAAGGCTTCCGCTCATATGGTAAACGGTTTACCAGATATTCTGGTTTTCAAAATTATAGTTCTTATTACCACACATTTCGAAAAATTACAAAACAGAAAGATATATTCAACCGAATAAAGGGTTTTTATGCCATGCACTAAGGTATCATTTTAAAATTATCACATTTACCAAATTTTAGACATATTATAAGACGAAATTTTACTCTTAATTTTACCAAAAGCACTTCGGTAAAAATTACCGTGCTTTTTGGTGTTCCCATAGAGGCTCATTAAGAAAATAACAGAAATTTACCAATTTACAACCAGTTATTTTTATAGGTTTTTATATTCTTAACGTTTCTGAAGTGTTGACATGCAATTTTAGCTGATGAATTATTTTAAGCAAGCATATCTTAATTATTTTAGTCCAAGATCTTTATTAGTGTTTAACAAAAATATTTAAATCTATAAATATCTTTTTTTACTGTAATAGTTTTCAGAAAAGGTTTTTTTCAGCATATATTGCTCAAAAGTTCATACAAATGAAGAAAAAAAATTATAATTTGCTTTCTTGAAACTATTTTTTATTCTTAATCAATTGATTATCATTTCATTATCAATTGATTATCAATTATCATTTCGCATGATTCTATTATTAACAATAGAATCATGCGAAATGATAATTCAGAAATCGATAGTGTACAGCCACCTAAAGTACGGCCATCATTGATTCCCCTTTACTTGAATCAATGATAGTTTGTCGATCTTTTACGATTCTCGAAATGGATAAGTATGTGCAATTTGGTTTAGAAAGCAAAACGTAAAAAACTTATTCCTGAAAAATTAAACTTTGGAATATTTGCTACCATTTTATTTAGTTGTTGTAGCAATCGTGTGTCTTTCTAAATGAACTAATCCCTTTTTCACTCATTTTTCAAATGTAAGACTGAACTGTAACAAAAACAACTTCCAAAGAAAACTTGAATGATAATTTAACTGATGTCTTAATTTATTTCTAACAAATTATTAAAATTGTGGTAAATAAGTGCGAAATTTTTGGTTACTGCCAGCATTTATTCAGACCTAAAAAGATGATTTAAGGTAACATTCTGCCCGTATTTAGATTTTTTTTTTTTTACAGAAATAAATGTGGAGCAGCGCCATTTGTAACTTTTAATAACTGCGCAAGCGCACAAAGAATC